CCTAAGCCCTAAGCTTATCGTACGAGAAAGATGATCGTACCCAGAGAGGAGATAGCCAGGCTCGTCAAATGGGGTCTCAGCAGATAGAACCAGCTTGCTGGAATGGCCCTGGAAGGAGGCAATCAGCTCGTCCACGTACGGATCAAGTCGGACCGCCTTGTGGAGGACGATAAACCGGGCAATCTTGAGGATCTTTGACAGGATTGGGGGGTAACTGTCAGTATCCATCCAGCCGTACGAAGTGCGGCCGAGGACAGCTAAGGCACAGACAAAGGCGCTCTCATACTCCGATACGCCGATCCGTTGGTTGAGGAGTTCAATACAAAAGTCCATACAGGCGATCTGGACCGGGCTTGCAGAGAAGGCGTCGTACGACTGCGGGTCGGGATAAGATGGGGAGCCCTGGCTCTGAGCGGTTGTAGATGATTCGCCTGGTGGTACCTCCGTCTGGGCCTGGGCCAGTCGCCAGAGCTCTCGCCACGTACGAGACTGACGGGGTGTGAACTGGTACTGAGGGCTTTGCCAGTCATGCGGCTGCTGTGTGCGAGCAAAGAAAACCAGGATCCGCTGCCAGGGCTCGACATGGCGCTGGATGTTCGCCTCGTCCATGTAGGCTAGGAGGGGAGTAAAGGGGCTCTCATGCTGCTCCGTACGAGCGGCTTCAGTCCGGGCAAAGTGGCCACACTGCTTAGTGATACGCTGGCTCATAGCCGCAACCGAGCCCATCACGTCCCAAATTACTCGTACGATAGCCTCGTTCTCGACCCCCTCAGGCGCTGGAGTCTCGAGCGACTGAAGGAGGGGCGGTACTAGAATGCCCCGGAGATACGTGGGCCACTGCGTACGGCGAAGCCATGGGTTAGCGTCATCGACCTGGCCCGCCTCGATGGTATGCTCGACCGTCGAGAGGGCCTCAGTATAGCGCTGCTCGACCTGTTGTACAATCTCCTCGGCCTGGCTGGATGGGATCGGTGGCGCTTGCGGTAAATGGGGGATCCCAGGCTGCTGCACCCAAAAGTATGATGAGCCGGCCCCTCGTACGAAGAACCGCTGACAGGTCACTTGCCGCCAGGATCGATCAAGGAGATCTCTAGCTCTCTGCCGGTGCTGAGCTCGAGGGTGCCCAGGCTTCGTACGGACAGAGAATCTATGCGTTGTCCGCCAGTGCTCCTTCATCGCTTTCAGGCTACGACAGACATACTGACAGTCAGCAGCCACAGTACACAGTATGCCGTCGGTATAGATGGATAGAGCTTGGATTGGGTCCTGGACACTCAGGGGGTACTGTAAAGTGGTTGGATCGTACGAGATACCTTCCCATGTTCCTATGGTCGCTGCAGTCTCCTGGGCGTGGCGTAGAGAAAGCCGATGAGGATCGTGGGTAAGATGGTAGGCGATCTGCTTTGGTCGTACGGCTACCTGACAGGACTGACAAACCACTAGAGGAAATCGGGGTAGGAGTGAGATGAATTGTGGACCTATGGGGCTGGTCTCGGCCATCGCAAGAGTGATAGCCAAGGATAGGCTCCAAAGGCTGTCCCTTATACAAAATCGTACGAAAGACAAAATCCACTTGTGAGTGGGGTATTCATCAGTCTAAAGCTTTAGCCTTTTTTTTTTTTTTTTGGCACTAGAAAGGGGGAATAGCCAGAAGTTCACGTGGAGGACCCACAATAAAATATATATCTCCCATTGGTTTAAACTCGGAAGGATTGTACAGAGTCTATATGGAATCGGTGAATAAAGTTCATATTCGTACGATGCCTTGACTCTATAACTCTTGAATCCCAAGCCCTGAACTTCCTACTTTGACTACCTAGTGTATTGTCCCTATCCCCTCACCCAAGCTGCCAATACCACCAATATACCTGTCGTACGATCCCAATCTATACTGCTGCAGCAGTACCACTAGCACCAGCACCAGCACCACCAGCACCATTGTCGTCATTGGCTTCGTCCGAGTCGGTCAGCTCCTCGACCCGGCTTGGGGGTGGAAGAGGAGCAGACGCCTGCGGGATGTATCGCGGCTCGTTGGGGTTTCGTACATTGCACTGCGCTGTCTGTTCCTTCCACTTGCAATTGGCACAGCATCCCTCCCAGGTACCAGGCAATCGTACGACATTTTTACCAAATGGGTGGCCTTGGCGAGACCGATGGCATATCCCTTGGAAACGAACTCCACGAGAAGCGATCAAGAGTCCATTGACGTACGACGGCCGTGCACTGCGGATCTGTCCAGATCGAGAATTAGTAGCTGGTATCAACCCAAAGAAATATCAACGTACTTGATCAGCCGAGATAACGGGAGTTCGGTCCTTCTTCATCTTCACAAGAAACTCGTACGACGGCCATGACCAGACCTCGCGCTGCTCTGGGGTACGGCAGAGCTCTCGGAGCGCCGCATTCCCATGGGCGGTCAGTCGGACAATATAGTACTCGGCACCCCCTTCTCCTGCAGTCGCCCTTCGTACAAGGTTGAAGAGATTCGAAGCCCTAGGAGTAACCTGGGAAGGGTCACTTGGCGTACGAACAAGCGATCCGGGAGGGGGAGGAGGTCCTCCAGGAGGACCAGCACTAGCTGTAGAAGCCATAATGAGATAACCAAGAATATATAAGAAAGGCTGGATTGGCTAGAAGTTGTTTCTAGCCAGAGTAGCTGGGCAAAGCTCAGGTTTAAATGTAGTATGGTGAATATAAGCCTAAACCTAGAAAAATGCAAAACCCCTCGCTGACCAGAATAAAAAGCCCATGCCCTCGTACGAAGGCCCAGGTTCAAAACAAAGACTGGATAACATAAGAACGAAGCCATAGAAAATGCGAAACTCTCCACTGACCAGAATAGAAATCCCACATTCGTACGAAGGCCCAGGTTCAAAACAAAGACTGGATAACATAAGAACGAAGCCACAGAAAATGCAAAACTCTCCACTGACATAAAGAGAAATCCCACATTCATACGAAGGCCCAGGTGCAAAACAAAGACTGGACAACATGAGAACGAAGCCATAGAAAATGCGAAACTCTCCACTGACATAAAGAGAAATCTACGCCGTTCAATAAACAGTAGTCGTACGAAGTCCCACGTTCTAAGTAAAGTGTAAAGATCATAAGAAAGTAACTTGTATTTATTGTAACTTGCTTGGTTTCACCATAAAGGCTACTTATCCTGAACACCACGTAAAGGTGCAAGTTTGCTCAGGTATCGCACACAGGCCCCGTACGACTGGGTAGGGCATAGGGGAATAAAAAGAAAAGGTATCCTTACTCAGTCAATGATGATGACGTCGTCGTCATCATCCAGGTCGACGGGATTGGCGGCTGTCCCAATGGCCAACTGAGACTGTGGAAGGGGGCTCCGAGCTGGGGGAGCGGCCGCTCTTCGTGTCCTGTTCCGGTTGCCAGTGCCGTCTCGTACGGAGCAGCGGAATCCATGATCCTGGAACTTGCAGTTGCCGCATGCTCCGTCGAAATGCCCCGGTGCACGGGAGCAGATCGGGAATGGGGAGGGGCTCCCTGTACGACGGCGCTTATCAGCACACTCATCGCACTCGGTAATAAGCTCCCATCCACGAGATTGTATCAGCAAAGCATTCACGTACGACGGGCGCATACTCGCAATCTGGGCGCCCCGAATACGGCCAACCATAAACGGGACGTCATGGCCGGTCAAGGCAAGCAAGGCGCGGCCTTCGTCGCTATATACGAAACGGGCAAAAAGAGGGCTTCCCACTGGAAATGGTGTCTGTGAAACACCACCTCGAGGACCAGCATACCGTACGAGAGAGTTATTCCCTCCAGTACCTGGGGAGGTGACAGGCCATCCAAATTCAGCTCCAGTCTGGATATACCCCTCACAGAACTCAATCAGCCATTGTAGGGCAGTAGGCCACCCACCGACCGGGTCAATATTGCCATCAACTAACCCCCACAACCTGGCAAACGCAGCCTGAGCTTCGTGTGTGTGAGCTCGTGCCCGAGCATGAGGACCAAGGGGGAGGTTAGGACGGGGGGGGCGGGAGCCAGCAGGGCGAGGCCTGGATCGTACGGAGTGAAGCATTAGTGAATATTCTGATTCAAAAAAAGGTCTCACCAGAAGCAGGAAGTAGGATATTGATGCAGGATGAATGGGTTTCGTACAGAGAAGGCATCTTGATGAAAATCAAAATAAAAGTGAAATTTGAGATGAAGAGAGAGAGAGAGAAAGAGAGAAGTGGGAGGAAAACTAAGAATTAAATATCTGCTAGATAACAATAGAGGTGATTACTGAATTGGGTAATATTGTTACCTTATACAGCTATGAAAATAAATATTGCTACCTAAGGCATTTATTGTACGAGATATCAATAATATGATGAGGCATGAATAATGGGATAAGGAATCAACAATAGGATAAGCCATGAATATGCCATGGACCTAACAATTATGACAGTCCTGCCTAGAGCTTGAATCGTACGAGACATCACTCATGGATGATACATGAATAATGGGACAAGCCTTCATCAATGGGACAAGCCTTCATCAATGGGACAAGCCTTCATCAATGGGATAAGCCTTCATCAATGGGATAAGCCTTCATCAATGGGACAAGCCTTCCTCAATGGGACAAGCTATGAATATGCCATGGACCTAACAATTGTGACAGTCCTGCCTAGAGCTTGAATCGTACGAGACATCACTAATGGACGATACATGAATAATGGGACAAGGTATCAACAATAGGATGAGCCTTTAACAATGGGACAAGCCATGAATATCATATATGACAGTCCTGCCTAGAGCTTGAATCGTACGAGATATCACTAATGGATGATACATGAATAATAGGACAAGCCTTCATCAATAGGACAAGCCTTCATCAATAGGATAAGCCTTCATCAATAGGATAAGCCTTCATCAATAGGACAAGCCTTCATCAAGGGGACAAGCCATGAATATGCCATGGACCTAAAAATTGTGACAGTCCTGCCTGGAGCTTGAATCGTACGAGACATCACTAATGGATGATACATGAATAATGGGACAAGGTATCAATATCCCATGGACCAAACAATCTTGACAGTCCTACCTGGAGCTTAAATTGTACGAAAAAATCAATAATGGGACAACATGTAAATATACCATGGATTAGAATATGAATCTATAAGTAATTCTAACTTGAAATATATATTTTAAAATAAAGTTGAAGAGTGCTGGCCCTTCGTACGGTCGCACCCCATCAAAAATAATTCCGATTTTCAATCAGCCACCACACCTTTATAACTTAGTCAATTACTCTAAAATTCGGTGACCATAATCTTTATAGTCTAGAATAGAACTTTACAAATTTTGAGCTTTATCCTCGTACGAGAAGCTTTTCCAGTCTACTCACGAAAAGTATTCCAGTCTACTCATGGCCCCACTTTTATCCACCATACTTAAGGCAAAGTCCTAATTCCAGTCTACTAGACTGCAACAACCCCCATGGGATAGATAAAAAGGAGTTATAAAGCACTCTTTCCAAATATGATATTTTATCCTAAAAGGTTTTGATCATATACTGGTTTTAATGAGACTTTATAGCAAATACTATATATCAATAATCCCTATATAACTATATAAGGATTAAGGGGGCATCTTGGTATAATAGTATATTATAGTAGAGTATAATGGTGTGAAGGATATCATATATAAATTACTGGTAACTATTACTATATCTAAGGATATACTAATAGTGGTAAACTATATTATGATTCACTTCTAAATCGCCATAAATCGTGAGATAATATGATATCTTATATTATCTTATATTTGCCTCCTAAAATGTCTATAAAAAGGGTGACAGTCTACTCTCTAATAGAATAATAATATATTCTCATTAATATATATATATCTTTATCTCCTATTTAGGATAAGTATAACCTTCAATACTATATCTTATATAATCATATTATATAAGATATTACTTCCTCTATAAAATATTATAACCTACTATTAGGCTATAATATTCTATCTGCTAAATTACTCACATTTACTAATATATTCAATAGTAAAATAGAAGTTGGTCGTGGTCAAAGATCAATATATTAGTGGTGGTCGAAAATGTAGGAGAAGGGAATAGTCTAAAATGCAGAAGAAAAGCATAGTCCGAAATACAGACGCTGTGCTATATTTTCGACCAAAGCCTTCTTCTGCATTTCCGACTAACTAGTTCTCCTATATTTCCGACTATAGTTAACTACTCTATATTCTACTACCATATATACCAGGAGACTATACAGCTATAATTTCTAACCGCGGTTAGAGATTAAGGTTATAAAGGGATATTTACTAATATATTCAATGGTAAAATAGAAGTTAGCTATGGTCAAAAATTAATATATTAGTGGTGGTCGAAAATATAGAAGAAGGGAATGGTCCGAAATATAGAAGAAGAGTATAGCCCGAAATATAGACGCCTTCTCCTACATTTTCGACTAAAACTTCCCGATTAGGAATTTTAGACTAAACGCTAACCCGATTGGGAATTTTAAACTAAACCTTCCGGTGTAGTTAGAAAACTTCTATCGACCACCATAAATTTAGTAAAATAGGTAAAAATATACGGAGTTCATCAATCGCTTACTAGCACTTATAGGTATATATAGAAAATATAAAACAAGGAGATACCCAAATATAGAGCTCCACGTCTGTGCCTGTATTCGGCTACTAGACTTGTCAAGGCCTACGGTATTCTACTTCTATTCCTGCCCACATACGTATTATTCCGCAATTTTTGTTTCATCAAGACTCAGCCCTAGATAGTAACAGGCAAGGAGTCATGGATCTTAATTGATAGAATACTGCCTAGATACAAAAGAGAATTCCAACATTTGTAAGGGATTTCAACAATTTCGTAATATTGTTCAACCCTAGACAACGCGAAAGGGGCCTTCTCCCTCACTCACAGGGCAGCCAGCACTATCGGAATCAAACTCGATGGCACAGCTAGCGTCTTTACCAATGGCGATACCAATGAATTTCGTATCCGACATCCCATCACCTCTGCCGATAGCTATGCCTTTGTCATTTCTAACTTCGCATTTCTCGGGGCTGCCTCCAAAGTCGGCCCTACACCAGAACTGGAGTGCTTTATTCCAGCAGTCGCCCTCTAGAGTAAACAGGCGACCGTCGTAGTGCTGACAGGGTGAATGGTCGCCGGGGTAGCTTGTTGTGTAGATGGCATCGCCGGCCGTGTTGAGGATTGCGAATCCATCGTAATGGCCAGACTGGGAACCACCTTGAGAGCCGGACATTGATGAAAATGAACCAGATGACCAGACGGCCCTCAGGCGTTCGCCGTGGACCGTTGCGGAGGTAGCCATCAGGCAAAGAAGAGTGGCACGGAGAGAAACCATGTTTATGGTGTGAAAATTGAGATTCGAGGATTGAAGTGTTGTAGTTTGTAGTTGGTTGGGTTGTTGATGCTCTCATCTTGATGGTGTTATCCAGAAGTCTTTATACTTCGTCAAATATTTCCAAAATCCATGCATTGCTCTGAAATTTCCCTCGAATAGTGGAATAAAGCAGCCAAGAAGTGTCCATTATATCGCCCCAAGCCAATCAAAACCTCCTCCCATGCCCATCGAATTCTACTTTTGGAAGTTTCAATCGACAATATGCAATGCCCTTTCCTTACTCCGCGAAAGCTCAATAATAACATAATGAGGAGGCGGCTTAAGCCGACCGCCCCCAGCAGTAGGTGTACGTAGGTGGACTATAAGGGCCATTGCATTGTAAATCATCGTCCCCCGTACCTGGAAATGATCCAAAGAGGTAGCTACTCCGGGGAAACCCCACTATCACAAGAACCGCTTTTGAGACTGTGGAAACCATGACATCCTGCTTGACTACTCCGACTGCGAAACGAGCTAATGGGGAAGTTAGGCGGATAGCGTGGGGATTCTAATGGACCGAGATGGAGGAAACTGCTCCGTACCGTTAGAATATATTGCCATCATCTCTTGGCAGCGGCAGGAAATTGCCCAATAGAAGACTTAGTATGATTCGCTGCTGCAAAAATGGCAGGTCTCACGGCGACTCAAATTCAAATTAGGTAAGATCATCCACTAGGGGCACCCAACCCCGGACGTGGGGCGCTGGGGCTGATTTGATCTTCTTTTACGACCCGGAGATTTTGATCGATCGTCGAGGTGGATTACTATTTTCGTTGCCATTAAGTTCAGAATTGATTCATAGCCTTTGCCCTTGCCCCCAGGAATCTTGTGGTTTGGTGTAGCCTCTTTCTATATATTCTTTCTGGTGTTTATAGCCGTAAATCAGTAGCAGAACAGGAGATACTGGCGTTCAAAGACAAATGGAACCACCCTTTGGCATCTCAGACATGCAATATCGGATGCTTGACATTCCTCATTGTCGCCGATGAAATAAACCGAAATATCAATATATAGATTTGACAGACAACCAATCCCAAATCTTGAATCCCACTAACAGAACACTGTTTGACCGTCTGGTTACTTGCGAACTTCTGGAATCGCATATCTGGACTTATCTAACAGCTCGAATATTGTGGCTTATGAGGAAGGAAATAGCATCAATCGGACTACTAGTCACATGTCGAGACTCAAGAGTGTCAGTACCCCAGATCCGTACCATAATTATGGGCACCGGTGGAATGCATTTACTGTCGAACCCAAAAGTCTCCTGCCCCAATCGTCGAGTGTACCAGGTGCTTGGGTCGTATGATCTGGTGCGATGCATACAGGCCTTTCGCATTCAAAGTATCTGCCACCTTTGCATCGCATGTTGTCCCCCAACAATAAAGCTCTCACTGAGGGTATATCCGATTAATAGCGAGTCCCTGGGCTTATAGGCAAGGGGATAAGATCATAAAGATGATATCGAAGAGGTGTGAGCTATGCATATTGGAGGAAGAGTAGGGACTATGAGAGTCGACTACTATGGAGAGGTCATGTTGGTGTAAGTCAGAGCCTTAAATGATCGTCCCCATATCAGACCGTCCTATGATGAATTTCTGGTCAGACTAAACAGATTGGTTGCTTTATTGACAGGGTATAAATACCCTGCTCTCACGTAGATTGAATATCAGAGACTTTTACCTTCTTCACATATCTCTCCTTCATAGCGCAAGACGTCTGACTTTTAGGGGATTTTGACATGTAAACGGAAAGCGTTATGGGAACTGGACTGAGAGTCAACGTGTATATTATATTTAACTCCTTTGCTCCCAAGATTCTTTGTTGCTTACCGAGAATCACCTCTTTGATCGTCTTGATGTACTAAGAGGGGTCTGGAAGCCGGATAAATGTATTGGTATGACGTACACGATTTGGAATGAAAAGATATAAGAACGCCTTCCCTAGAAACCGGACTCGGCAAGAATTGTTTCCTGCATGAAGAATACCATATATTTTTCTCATGTTCAACTCGCCTGACCAACAAGAACTAGTCTGACAATCAGTATTCTTTTGCATAATGTAGTTAGCCTCGTTTTCTATTCTGGTTACATGTATTATAATTTAGACCTTAGAATATTCCAAGATTATACAATTTGTATTGGTGATCTCATTTTCTACTCTATATACATACATTGTCCATTAGGCACCTTGTAAGATTTCACCAAATTTCAGGTCTCCATATAACATGCAGACGACAGCGAATTCAAGATCAGGGCTTGACAAAGGTCAAGAAGTCCAGAGAGAGATCCTGTAAGAAACTAGCTCCAGCGGCAGCCTCGGGGCGGCCCGCCTCCGTGACGTTGCAGTAATCCAAAAAGTCGCCCGCCTGCTCAATCTTCTTGTCAATCAAAGAACGATAATGAGATAAAGAGCAACTCTTTCCAGGGCCGTTCTGACAACTGGCTATAGGATAAACAGCGTCATTGAACAAAATACGGATGTAGGGTGAATTTGTGTCATGGTGGACTTTGCAATCCATAACCTCGAAAGCAATGGTCCCTCGCATGGTGATGAAATGCGCCACGTTATATAAATGGTGCGCTGGGAGGCGGTCATTGGGAAGAGGTCGCTCGGAATCGAAAATTCCCATGGCAGCGGTCATCTCGGCAAGTTGATTATCATTCATGAAAGTCATGATAAGGCTGGGAATTGCGAACTCAGTGTTGTTGTGTCCAACACCGACCTTCCCAGCACCAGCCTCTAGAAGGGAAAGCAAGCTTTTCAGGAATGGAAGGAAAAGCACCTTGGCTGGACCAATTGAACCGGGCCCAACGCCATAGAAATACCCCAGGTCCTGCGAGTATGCGTAGTCACGGAGCTCGCTTTCTGTAAAAACACCACACCAGGGGCTGAGGCGGCCTTCAATCTGACTCTCGTATGCGCAGATGTAGGGGAAAAAGAGTACATCATTTTCGTCAAACGTAAGATTTCCTCTGATTTTGGAGTTGATGCGATGTAAAGCCTTTGGTAACCACGTAGCATCCCCTGTAAATATGTAAGCTATTGTCCTCGAGGGAATCGCGCTGGAAACAGAGCTGGGTTGATCTTCACGTGAAGAAGATAAAAAAACGAATTTGCTTAATGGTACTTACAATTCGTCACGTTGTTTCCTCCACTAGAGATAGAACCAAATGCAGGACAAGAATCTGAAGGCCCAAGTGAATTACCAATGGCAGCTGGAGATCCTGTAGAGTTCACGCTCACCACGGTTCCGTAGTTGTCGGCATACTCATAGAGGTAGCCATTGAGAAATGCTCTTGCGGTCTGGACCACCCGTGATTCATTGATTGGGAATTTATATTGATTGGCCCACACGTAGAATGGGTTGCCATCCTGATAAAATCCGGGATCTGTTGAGATATGTGAGCTTAAGTACTTCATATTTGGAAAAGGAGTAGTGCCTCACATCTAGTCCGCAGTTGGTAGCCAAGATCACTTGCCTGTAGTTTATCAGCGAATTAATTCTCGTTTTGAATGTGTTGTTGTATACCTCTTTCCATCCAGTCATAGACTCCTGTGCCAACTGCAAGGCAGGATTCGTCAACACCGGTTTCCATTCAGGGATAAAATTAAGCGATCCTCGAGCCTCGAACCCATCTTGTTGCGCTGCAGCTTGAATCTGAACCAGATGAATGAAGAGTCAGTATTTAGAACAAAGGCAAGGAGATGTAGGCAAGAACAAAGCACCTTTTCGTGAAGTGCAACCCAGGCCTCATATGAGCCAGTATCTGGAAATCTACCAGCTCTGAGGTCAAAATGATTGCCCTCGTGATATAGTGTAATAGCCCACATACCTACTCCCATGCCTAACAGCATAAGCAGCCTGTCGAATAGTGCATTGGTCTGGGACCTCGCTGTTGATGCCATTCACATTTGGGCCTAAATCATATATTAGTAGGCACCAGGACTCATGATAATTAGACCCCACCTGGAAAATACGGGGAATTGCCGCCTGCATAGTGAAGAGGATTTAAAGATAGCTTTTCTGATGAAAATGCAATCTCGTTTTCGGCAGCCAGTGGTTGACAAAGCCCTACCGTGGTCATGCCCACCAGGGCACAGAATACCGAGCTCTTCATCATGCTAATCTTGAACGATAGTGTGATTTCAGAATCTAATGGGGGATGAGGTGGCCAGCCTTGTTCTTTATGATGAGGATAGTGGAGCATAAGAAGTACCTACCATAGATTGCAGGTTAGGTGCACTTCCGTGATATAAGGGGCTAGCTATTAGCGTCGACTGTCATCTGACTAGGTCAATCCATGCACGCCTACGGTTGACCCACGTGGTAGGAGTTCGGCGTCCACCGCTTTTTGAACCTATAAACAATGCGAGTATAATATTGATTCTTCCCCAAATATATCCTTGGAGGTACCGCTTAGGGCTGAGTACCTATGTACGTTATAGCGGTTCAATTTGTATACCTGCGCCGAAGCGAAAGGAACGAAAGGCGATCCCCACTATGAGTTTTCGTTGATTGACCAATCACAAAATTTTCCGAGAGCACAATGCTAAAGAAAATGAATTTATTGAACTGTCAGACAATGATCCCGCCGGTGGAAACTGTAATACTTCAAGGTGTCACTCCGTACTTCAGTTATAGATATGGACTGTTTTGATGAAGAGATCTCGGCAGAAATCTATTGATCCGGTGAAAATGGACCCATACTGTTCCATATTTCTGCCAATACTCATGATTATGCTCCTAGACTTGATGCAATTGAATGCATTTGTCGTACCCTTCTTTTCTTGTGTAGATGATCGGCCCGTGAATCTTCTAAGCAACTCTCTCTAGAGTAAGATTGTAGATCGGCATCATGATTGGACAAGCCTCTTTACACATTTCGCTTGAAAACTATAGCATTGAGGACTGGTCCATACATTGAGGTTTTGAGAGGATTTAGCTTGTTTCCGACTGGTTTGCATTATTTGAACTGTTTGTATTGTGTGCACTGTTTGTTTTGTACGGATCGCAGGAAAACAAAATACTCCTTTTCCCCCTCTATACTTATTCTAGCTAAAATGCAATCTTTTCTTTCAGAAGACCTGCTAACACTGTAGAGCAATCTTTGCGAATAACCTCTGTGCTAGATGCTAGGATATAAACAGGCCCCGGAAACAGATGTTAATGAATCTTGCCAGGTCACATCTTACAAAGCCGAACTCTCCACGACTAATGTACTCACCGAGGGGCTGAAGGGAACGTTGAGGCGGAAGTAGGATCCTGCCCTGATGCTTCTTGTTCATATACGTACCTGACCCAATATCCTCATTAGAAAATAAAACATGTAGGAAACCAGAGTGAACACGTGTTTCTATGTAGTTTATTATGTAAAGCCCACCAGTATGTGTCATGATATCATCTATATTCGAGTGGTATAGAGCCAATCAACCACTTTTCCCCTCCGTTAGAGCCTTGGCGTTGTTACCTCGATTTATTTTTTTTCCTCTAAGAAACAAACACATATCCGACTTCAAAAGTCGTTTAGCTCCTACGCAAACAAACAAACATACCAGGAAGAACACCCAAATCCGCTATGTCTTCTCAGCGGCAGATACGCGATATCGGATTGCGTATTGATATCATACACCAACCCGAGGATATCATTCAGGCTTTCGACTGCGTGTGCGAGGCATTTGGTCGGCAGGTGCAAGATGGGATCTGGATAGCCATGAACCCAGGATGGGACACACCTCAGGGAATGGCACGTGGGGCCGAGAGAATGGTAGCCCGCTGGCGCCACAAGACCAATGACAAACATGGACTGCCGAACACCATATTCCTTAAGGCTACGCTGCCGTGTCCGCAGAATGAAGAGAAACGTATCATCGTGGGTTTCGGTATTTGGGTGCAAGCTTCCACCATAGAGGGCCACGGTGATCCTCCAGCGGAAGATCTGGTTAATTCCCTGGACCTCAAAGCTCTTTACCCCGAAAACGAGCCTGAACAACGTTACCTTTGTCAAGCTATTTCCTCTCTGCATAGAAGACGCAACGAGGTAATCAAAGAGAAAGCCACCGCAGCACCGCCAGCAGTTATGATCCTAGACATGTGCGTCGTCGATCCGGCCCACCAACGCAAAGGCGTCGCGAGAGAGCTTGTACGGTGGGGCATTGATGAAGCACAACGACGTGGAGATCTGGAAGCCATCACCGAGGCGTCCAGTATGGGTCGGCATGTGTACGGACAGATGGGGTTCCAGGCGGATGAGCATGAGATCGAATATGTTGTGGACGACCAATTTGCTTCTCGTGCGAAGCCACCTAACCTGTTTATGCGCACAAATGGCAAAGTGCTTTGATGTGATCTGATTGCGATAATTGTACTTTACTGTGTGGTTTTGCGGCCTTGCCAAACCCCGATTCACCTTATGTGAATTCTGTACTCTAGTAGACCGTCTGGCCTCATAGCAAACCAGGGGAGTCCGTATGAATATGCTAGATCTTGATTTGCATGTTTCTCTCATTCCTGTTCTGTAAAGTTTCCCATCCTCCATCGATGGATATCAGATAACTTCCAGTTCAGTAATTCCGGTTTGCCATAGAAAAGTGCTTTCCACCTTCAGTCTTTCTTTGTCCTTATATCAAACCAAGGTTTTCAATAGCCCGACCATCTCATTGCGCGTTTGATGTGGAGAGATACCAAGTGGTCTCAGTCTGACCACTAACTGCAATAATGCTTCTTGCATTCCTAGACGGTAACTTGTGTGTTAAATAGTCATCTCTCGCAACAATCTGGATGGAAAGCGCAGGCCGAACATATGAGATAAACTGACCGAGTCGCAGATATCTTTAAGCTCGCTGGTGAGGACTAGACAAGCCTATATCAATCCAGATTAGTCTACGACTATAGTGCAGGCTTGGGATAATGATACAGATCGAAAGGCAGGCAGTCTTCATGGCATACTTACTAAATGGCAAACCGTATATCTTGGCTTGCAGTTAGAGGGGAAAGATTCGAAAATTGGATCAATGTTCTTCTCAATATCGGCAATGGGAGTGGGAGTGGGAGTAGCAAAGGCAATAGTGCCAGATAGAAGATAAAAGAAAGCAGCGGAATGCATGGCGTAGTAAGAAGATTATATTATACCAAGAATGTATGAGCTAAGTAGAGCTAAAGTATTTTGCCTGGCCTTAGAATCGTATGAGAACTATGATATATAAATACTTCTCAACGCCTGCTTTATACTAACAACATTGCCCTAATTGGGTAATCTGAATACTGGCGCCTACTCTCCTCGGTCTATCTCTTAACGGGTCACACCTAGGGCATAAATTAGTCCGCCTGATCTATCTGAGTGTCTTGAAAGGAATACCATAGAGGAAGAGGGATATGACACTTGAATATATACTTTGTCGTATTATGTTTTCAATAAGGACTCAATATCGATTCTGGTGGGTGTTTTTGAAGCTAGTAGGTCGAATTTTGGAATCGTGTACCCGAATTGAGCTATTGAGGTAGATTGTTCTTTTTATCAATTTGCAATCAATTGGGAGTTGTGGCCCCAAAATACCTAGTAATGTCTACACTATGACGTTTCCGCATCATTCAATACACCCGGACCAGTAGGTCCTTCGTAGTGCTCTTAGCCCTGAAGTCCCTCGGCCAATATACTATTTGCAACTACCCACAATACCTGTCCCTCAATCTTTGGTTACAAAGACACCGTACTTTCTATAAGTCCAAGCTATAAACGCTAAGAGACGGTCCATACTCGGTACAGAATTCCTTTCGCATAAGACAGAAAGGATTGAGTGTAACATCTCTGAATGCAGAACTATGGAATACAAAAGAATTACGTAGCACAGTCTGGATACAAAATAGACCGTAAGTAGTTATGAAAAAGATATTTTATATACAAGCCGATTTACTCGCTAGATTGTTCCCTAGCACAGCACTTTTGACGCTTCTAGCCCTTATGCCGAATACAAATCATCATGTTTCACAAATCTTGCTTCAGATCCTCTCAACGTAAAGAATATCCCCGTCCCCTCTCTATCATCGCCCATTTTTGGGTTTTGTCTAGCCTGCCTTGAACAAGGAAATCAATGGATATTGGGGCTGCAATTGTGAAAAAATTTGAAATCAGTTCACGGTTCCCGGGCTTTTGCTTATCCTCTGGAATTAGTCCTCATTTTGATAGCTTTTCCAAAACGAATAAGTGCTAGTGCAATTCACGCTTCAATCTCATCTACTAACCAGTTGTATCTTCAACGTGCGGATATGAATTCCTCCGTTCTTAGTAATCTTGGTGGCAAATGAGGCACGGCAGGTATTAAAGCAGCTAATAGGTCCAGAGTTGCTACATCCACCAAAGACAATGTGCTCGGTCCGATAGCAGGCTTTGACAATATCCCCGCCCAAGAAAATTGTCCCAATGTCCCCTCAAGTAGTCCCTATATCTCTTCTCTCCTCTATGTCTACTCTGTATAGCAGTCATTTCTTCTTCCTACCTAATAGACACGTCCCAACCTTTATACATGTTTCTACGCCTATGAATTCTATTCTTGTTCCTGTAGCACAGCTATTAAGCCTTTTGAATTTGCTCACTAGTTCCGCACGCGACAACTACCCTTTGCTACTATTGCTCTTTCGGTCTAATAGAATAAGTGAGTGATCGTTGTCAGCTAGGAACAGAAATTGTATAGCAGGGTTGTAATAATAGTACATTAACCACGGAGCGAGTTGTAGATTCAAAACACAGCGCTTCATGTAAGAAAAAGCAACAAAAGTGTTACGGTTACTATCGAAGGGGAGGAAGAGGAAGAAGAATCATTGTAGTTCATTCTAGCAAAGAGCAGGGTCTTTATATCCTGCCATTCAAGCAAACAAACGCTCAGTCTGACAAACAAGCCAAAACACGGTTCGAAGACGGTCTGATATTCAACAGAAAGAAATGTTACTCTACAGTCTTTCGAAGGTTTCCACATATCATCTTGCATACTTCGTTGCACTGCGCTAGGATTTTACAATCATGCCCAATGCACCGGGGGCGGCATCTGCGAATACAGAAATACGGGGCTTGCCATCAGACGGAGCCCCTTAGTGGGTGAATTAATTGGAGGATAGCCTTCACGATCACATCCCCAGGTCCTCCTTTTTAGTGCTCAGGATGTATAATCATGTCTGTGATACGGAAATATCAGCCGCCATCCCCAATCACTCGTCCGATCTCCATCGGCTATGTAACACCACCTGCTGAAGGCAAGGCTCTCGTTGACAGTCAGGTAGTTGAACAAAGATCCAATACCCAGTGTGAAATATGTATGTCGAAGGGAAACTAGATCGTGAGAGAATCCATGTTGAAGAGGTGAAAATGAAATTACTATGAACGCCAGGGCTATCTCACTGCGTGTGGATACCCCCTCATGCGCGAAGAAAAATGCTGTGTGAGAAAGATGTACAGGCGTCATGAATCTCTTCGGCGTTGTCGGCTACATCATCCTTCTCGCAGTAGACAATATCGCCGTCAAATACTTTGCCAGTTTTAAGTTTTCATCTTTCTTTCACCAAACAGTCTCCTGAGTTTATACCTTATTAGAGTAACACATTATTGTAGTTATAATTAGGTTTTTACAGCATATTTAAAAAGCGAGAATGGGTGTAATATGCGGTGCGACACTTTCACAATGAAAATTGCTTACAACCCCTCTATCATTTCGAATGAAATCTCATATTATTTAGATGGTGAGACACGGCGGGGTGAAATACGAGGTTGGCTATCAGCTCTACATGAGCGAATTTTGAGATCTATAACCCAGAACCATGCCTCTTCGTATTTGTCAACACGAGGTAGGTCATGCCTAAAGACTCCAGTAATAGATGTCTTTGATTTCTGTATATTCTGTGGGGTTTGCGTTGAAAGATGAGACATTGACACGGACGCGGGAAATTATCGATTCTCATCGTGTTCTTTTTTATTTATTTCATGGGGCTTTTGATTTGAAATCGATTAAACTGTCCGTAGAATGTCTCTGCTGAAGCAAGCACAAAAGACGAAACAACTTCACTACTCATCAAGCTCATCCATAATTTTTGATTTGGCATAGACAGACGTAGTCCTAGATGTAGTGGGCATTCAGGCCTCAGCCAGACTGCAAGGCGAGAAACACGACCTAAGCCTTGACAATTACTATCATCCAAGTTGAGACATTTCCTTATAAGACTTGGGCTGCCTAATGTCTCATAACAGTGGGCTAACACCCTTCTATGGGGAAATTATGTTTTTTTGGTCATTATTATGTGCGCATCCATAGCAGCATATATATCTATAATTTCATGTTCACTATTGACGATCCGACTGTTACATTCCCGTTATTGCTGGAATCTCTTGAATACGTTTTCGGTTGCTGAAATGCATCATACAAGGGAGATAATAGAGATTTCATCATTGAGCTACAAAGTCTATTCCTTCATGTACGTAGATATGGAATGGGAATGGGTGGCCTTGATCTGGAAGCTCACCTGATTAGTATACGAAGGGCTGTGCAGATCAACTACTGTGTTCTCAAGGAAGCCCAGACCGGTTGCTGCAGGTCGTATCATCACTTAGATGTCTACTAATCGAATGTCTAAAATTATCACGAATGGCAAGGTCGTGGGCACTTCGGCTCCGGGTTAGACTTCATCATTGCAATAAGCAGGGTATAAAACCCACCTCCTTCCTGCGAGATGTGATGTCTTTCACCCCAAAGAACATCAGACTCCAACCACTATTCGCTGCAAAGAACATCATAGTATTTGCAAAGTCTCCTCCAAATATTTCAAAATGAAGTTTGCCATTGTTATTGCCTCTACCATGGCGGTCGCCGTCTCTGCCACGCCTGTTGAGGTCCGCCAGTCCAACCAAGTCACCGTGGCTCTATCCAACGATCAATCTGGAGCCTATGCTGGCGTGACATTCCAAGCCGATGACACTGATAAGAGCGTCTTCTCCCTCTTCAGTGGTACCTCTGTTGGGGCAGGTGGTACTGTCAAGGCAACTGCCGCCCAGCTCACCAACTTTGCGCAATCCATCAACTGTGTCATCACGAACAATGGCGCTACTATTGGTACCTTAACTGCTCAGCAAACGTATCTGGATCTTGATGGAAGCTCCCACGCCGCTATTCCAATCAATCTCAACAATGCTAAGATCCACTGCCGTGTGTGAATGGCTGGCTCCTCCCAGATGCCATCAATCTCGGGCTCGTTTGAGTGATCGGCTCTACTAATGCTGAACTGGCATCGACTGTGAGACCGTGATTCATCATTCATGTTCTCTTCTGTGGCAGAAATCTTGCTTTAGTCAGTATATGTCGATAAATAACTAGGCATTCAATTCGTTAGGCATGAGAATTCTGATATATATTGACTCGCCTTGAAGTCTTGGCATTAGGAACCACAGTGTAGCACCTGTCGTAGCCTGTTTCCACCAAGTCCGCCATAGCCTCGTTTTCTAAATGCTACTACTAGCTTTGGACCTTTTCTTGCTCTGATCCTTCAACCATATTATATTATCTTATCATCCCCAAGGTTTTCAACTTTTAAAATTGCTCACAAGGTCCTCCGAAGATAAAAAGACACCTCACCAATTTTTTGACATTTCATTTCGTGGCTGGAAATAAAGAACATGGCATTCGCATTGAGTGTTAATATGTTTAAATATAGAAGTTCCAGGCCTCTTCGCCGTGCTATGGACAACACTGAGCGCTGTAACAATGGGTATTCCGACTACAGTCGGAGAATGTATGTTCTCCCCCTTGCTGAACCTGTTCACCAAAAGACCCAGCGGATATTTTATTTAACAGGTCAACAGAGCTGATCGTCGAGTCTTACCCCTCCTGGTAGTTGGATTCGCTAGCTATCAGCTTGACAGAACCAACATTGCCAGCGCACTCACGGGGAATTTTGCAACCGTCATATCTGTGGACCAAAACATTATCAATCTGGGAAATCAACTGATGTTCCTGGGTGTTATTCTACTGGAGATACCATCAAATGTTATCCTACACAAAGTATGTCGCATCCCCGGCCGGATGATCCTCGAGTCACTAAGTTGGATCAGATTGGCCCTCGCCGATGGATCAGCGGACAAGTCTGCGTATTCGGGATAGTAGCATGCCTACAAATATTTGTGCACAACAAGTTAGGCTTCCTACTCACTAGAACATGTTTGGGCCTTGCTGAAGCCGGGTACATTCCCGGTGCAATGTATACACTTTCCACCTGGTATACCAAGGAAGAGTTAACAAAACGAATCGCAATATTCTTCTTCGGCATGTTTGGCGGAACGGCGGTTTCTCCGCTTCTTGGAGCTGCTCTCTTGAAACTGGACGGAAAAAATGGTCTCTTTGGATGGCAATGGATCTTCCTCGGTACGATTAGGGCTGAACCGTCAAACATCAAATTATGCTAACAAATATGCAGTCGAAGGTCTATTCTCCGTTTTGGTATCTATTATTCTCTTTTGCTTCCTTCCTGAACACAAGCAAGTCTCTGTTTCGTCTGATCAGGTGGACATTGCGGAGTCTGGAGGGGTTCGTCTAAAGGAAAAACCATTGGCCCACCCTGGCAAAACGAACATATCAGTCAGATTAGTTTGGGAGACGTTGACAAACATGCAGAAATGGCCGCACTTTATTGCCACGGGGTGTGTTTTTGCTACATGGAGCCCTCTCACAACATATACCCCGAGCATTTTTATGGAGCTGGGTTTTGCTCGAATTGAAGCAAATGCATTTTGTGCAATCGGAAGTTTGCTTACTCTTCCCGTGATTTTGCTTTTTGCATGGATGAGCGACAAATCCAACAAACGAGGCCTTACCGTTATGGTTGCTATCTTTGCCTACTTGATCGCGTTGGTATTTCTAAGAATTATGATGCACCGCGTGGATAAATGGGGCAAATTCGGACTATGGACTACAGTCAATGCTTTGGCTGTAGGCTATCATCCAATCCACAATTCTTGGATCCAGATTAACTGTAAGAGTTCCGAAGAAAGGAGCATAAGCGTTGCGTGAGTCAAATCTTCCCACTGGTCGTTCTTTAAACATATGAGCTAATAATCTCGCTTCAATACAAAGAATGTGTAAGACTACCACTAGTCCTATAGTGGGCATTCTTATTTTTTGCTAACTCAATAAAGTCGTCATGGCAGCTACAGGAGGGCTTATGGCAGGAACCCAGATATTTCGGGCGGACGAGTCGTCTATATTGTAAGTCCTACACTTTCGGATCTTACCTGAATCACAACATTAATGACAGACTTACCTACTTGATAGTTATCCGAGAGGGGTGGTGATCATGATTGCACTTGTCGTTTTGGGCCAGATGCTTGTTTTCTTACAAACATCAATCTTTTGGGTCCAAAACAGGCGTATCAAAGCAAAATATGGTGTGAGGATGTTGAACGTTCTGTAATAAGCCTGTGATAGGCTCCAGGGCTTTTTATCAGGTCGAATTTCGTAGTGTACGATCATATCCACTATATACAACTTTACAGCTATTTGAACTGGTAGTTACGCAGGAAAAATACAAATTACAATGAAAGAAACAATTAAATGAGAGATTCATCGAAGCGCCAAGCAAAAACCATGAACTTCCTCAACAAGCTTTTATATACATTTCAAGTGCCCTAGCGTTTCCATCACTTCCTCGGCTATTCTTTTAGCCAACATCTGCTCTGAGGGATCCACATCATTGAGGAAATCAGCACATTTTTCTTCCACCATGCCTGGAGGATGGTCTATGCTTTGGTCGATGTCTGATATCTCTCTCAACAGTTCCTGCATCTTCTCAAAAACCCGCATAGGAGGAAGCAGTCCCATTTTCACCCAATCCAGACCTCTAAGACGACATTCCGGCGTAATTTGCAAGGTTGCACGAATAATTGCTAGGCTTCGGGTTTGGTTATTCAAGACTCGGGCCGTAAAAATATGGCCATGAGCCTTGGTTTGCAGATGACGCGCAATCCTGGTCGCACCAATCTCAGCCAATGAGGAGTATACCAGAACCCCCAAAAATGCCAATTGCAGAGCGCCCTTCATATTCACCATACATGCAACCGAAGATATGCCAGAGAATGTCCCTGACAAGGTCCAGAACCAGTGCAAAGAATCCTTCACCCAAGTCTGGTCATATTCCCAAGTGGAACGGGCCCATTCCTCAAGTTCCTTTTGTGGTCCTTTGAATATCACAGTGCCCCCCTCATCGCGCTCGTACACCGCATATCTATCCCGCAAGTCGTTTTTGATGTGCTCTGGCTTGTGGATCTTGACCATAGAAGTAAAGGAAATAAGCACCGAGGCGAACCAATGACTGCTATATAAAAAGAACAAGCTGAAAGCCCAAAGGTCGGCTGTCAAAATCCCGCATACCATACCGGTCATCAGCATGGCCCCGTTGACCAGGCAAATCGAGTCCAATGTCCATTTCCCTAGAAGCCATCTTAGGTTTCCTGACTGCTGACGCAGATTCTTTTGCCGTTCTGAGCTTGATTGATACATGGGATCCACACAAACGACAACAAAGTCGTTTCCAGGTTGCTTGGATGTTTGGAAGGATATTATATCAGTCAACCATGCGTTGCTCAAGTTGAGTGGTAGTTGGCGAAATACATTCCCCGATACGTCTGATCGTACGGGGAGCATAGTCGTATCTTGCGCGCATAATTTGATAGATGGATGGATCCACTTCATCGTGGCATTGAGGCGTTCAACGAGCATCTGCATGGGCGGCAATGTCCCTCCAATCATTGTCAGATGTGGCCATATGAATAGTCCTCGATCAAACTGAGTATAAAGTCTTGCTGCACTTTTGTCAACGCGAGGGTTGTAGAGAACGGCCGCAACACCAAGCGGGTCAAACGTAACTCCGTCATCACTCTTCAGTTGTGCGTGTAAGTCTGTTAGTGACTGTGGGAACTTTTCTGCTTGTGCTAACCCAACTATGGAGAGAAGGCTTGAAAGATACAATGATGGTGGCATTTTAACAAACACGGGGGCTTCTCCAAGTGTCGCGACCTATGGTTCATTAAAATGGACTAAAGTTATCTAAGTCTGTAAACACAAGGCAAGCTACTCAAAATCCCGCTCGAAATTCGCTAATTCTCCTTTATTGGGGTTAGTGCTTACTAGCTGAAGCCGCTATGTCCATATACTTCGTACCCATGTCTAGCGATCCACTAATGGCCGTATCTCGTCCAATAAACACTCAAGAAAATTGTGCCCAGAAAAGCAAGTCGGAGACAGCTGACAGGACAGAAAGCGAAAAAGAATATCGAGGGGGGAACATTCACGTTGGAAAGCTCGAACTCACAATTCTTAGTACTCCGTATGCACCATCCTCTTATTTGCTTGGTCTCTCAATATACTCATTCCGCTAATTCATATATTATTTACAATCCACTAGAGAATCGAAGGGGTGGACAAGGAAGAGGAAAGATTCAGCAGCTCAGCCATCTCAAATAATCTGTACCCGTGACCCACCATCTACAATAAAACCTACATCCCACAACACCATCCTACCCCTATCATGTACGTGGCAGCATCTTTAGTGTGAGGCTTTACACGTGTCCGAAGAATTTATGGAAGTTTCAAACTATGTTCCCGGTCTTTCTCAACTCTGTGCTTCATTCGACGAAGGTGGTGGGGTTGCACTAGGAGACGCGTTCGCTATTTATTCTGTTGTTGCGTCTTCCCCAGATTGGAGCACCACAGCATTCAAATCCGGGCTTCATGTGGAACTCATATCAGCAGCTTCTGCTGTTAGAAATGTGATTCCTATCCTAGTTGCCAGAGAAAATTTGATCACGGCGAACATTGTCTCGTTGCCATGTCCAAAACATCCACCTTTCAACTCTGCGCGGAATATATCACCTCGCGATAGCCTTCCTTGGTTCCTTGTCAACGCATCAACATTCTCCAAGCACCAGATTGTCGGCCGTGGGGATGTTATTGAGTCCTTACTCATAATTCTCCAGCGACCGTGGTGTGTCCTTGAACTATGTTGCTGCGATACTCGGGTGATATCGGCCATCCACCGGTTCGCCATCATTGCGACCAAGATCAACTCCGAACTCTACAACCATGCCTCGGTATTGTTGCATCAAGAACTGAGAAGAAGAACGCTTCCCTCTCTTAGCGATATAAAACAGCCTGGGTTATCCTTTTCTAAACCCTGGATATCCTTCGCCGAGCTTGATACAACATCGTCTGATATCAAAGAAGTGTATATCAACTTGTCTTTTAGTAGACTTCGCTCGCACAACTCGTTCTGGTTGCGACTAATTTCTACCTGCGCTCCATACCTTGGTATAAGCTGTTCAAATTTGGTTCGCATTCTGTCAGGCATGACTTCTAGTGGCCTCAATCTCTCGCGGCAAAAGCACGCAAACCAAGAATCTTATTCAAGCGCTGAACGGCCGTCACTTCGCTTTCACAGTTCATTAACAGTATCCACGTGCAAATCGGGGGTTCCAACAAGGAGGAGTACCTTGAGTCTCAAGGATCAAGACAAGCGTCCAGCACAATATGATCTGGAGCTTCTCGGCAGCGATCTACAATTCCTGCTTCTAATTTACAAACAAGTTTTGCAAATTGTTTCTGAATCATTGCCTTAACACAGAGAGACATTTGTAAATTTTCATCTGTCATCTAAGCGCTTTTCTTCAATTGTCGAAAAAAGAGTCGGGCATCATGGCGGGAATTCCAGCTTACACAAGAAATTTCTCGCAGTCCTCATATTGTTTCACTGTAAATTTTCCTGGCGAAACCTTTTCCCCCAAAGGTTATACTGATTTGCCGTATAGTCTCGGTCTCATGTACAAATGCATCTCCTATACTCAGAAATGCAGAGATGTACGTGCTTCTGTTGTTCACAATGGAGTCGATGCTGGAAGCGGTGGTCTAATATGAGAATTCAAAATTTCGACTTGTACCTGTCTTAGTTCTGTTATTTTATGATCCATTGTGTCTCGATATGACCTCTCCTTGTGGGGAAATGATGCCTGATATATCAGGTGTCTTTCCCTCATGTGTTCCCTTTCTTCTGTTTTCTTCTCTTTTCTTCTCTTTCCCGTCAACAACGGACTAGAAAATAGTTTCTTTTCACTTACTTCCCAGAGCCTTAGCATATCTTGGTGATTGAAACTGACATAACTATTCGCATAGCTACCTCAGACTACTTAGTATCCCGATCTTCCTGCGTTCCACGTCCACGCATACCAACGCGGAAGCGAAAATTCGAAAAATCCGACGCCTACCTCAGTCCATATATGACAGACTTTGCCATGCCTCAGCCTCTCTTGACTCAGCGGTGCTGGACTTGGAGTGCTTTGCTTGGCTCAGGGACTGCGACATCCCATTCAAGTCTTCCAGAAACGAGAAACACTATTTTTATTCCTAAGACTACATATTGAATTTATAGAAATCACGCTCAGGTCTCATACTCTCTTTGAATACGACTGCGACCAGCCTGGCCGTACCAAATACAGCAACGATAGCCCCCTCTGGGGCCACCTCCTCCATCATCGATCGGAACATATTCCTTGTTCTTCTGACCTGCCTCGGTACCCGTGCGTTTTGGAAAGAGTTTTCATAATTCCTCCACAAGCGGGATTGGAATGACAGCATCATTTACAAATGGGACATGGGCATTCACTGGACAATTCCATATCAGCGCAGATTGTGTTCTAATCAGTGTCGAAAAGTAATCATTACCAACGTTGACACAGAGACGCGCATGGTCTGTTGGGAAATTCATCTAAACAACTGATCTCTAGCCCATTCTCCCGAGGCAAATCACTATAGGATGAATGTATCTAATCATTAATCCGGATGAGGAATCTCTGACTTGACTGTTATTTAGATCTTTGCATACCTCACAAAAGTATCAAAGTATTGAGCCTCGACATGCTGCCGTACATGTATTAGGTGCTGGCCACTCCGCCAATTCCATACTTATCGCAATCAAGCCTAATATCTTGACCTGTAGATCCTGTTCGACAATGCAGAGATGTCAGAGACTTCACTTCGACTAGATAATCTCTCTCTTGCCAGAACTGAGACCTGGGAATCCATCCTTCTGCGTGCTATCTGCGTCATGCCAACGACTGCAATGGCTCAACACTGCTTTCTGTGATGCATATTCATGTCGATCGCAGGATTTTTGTTGGAGATTATGGGCCAGACTTGAGTCTTCCAAAAGAGTGAATTGCTTTAAATTGACCATTTGGCATGTGGCATATATTGGAGAGGACGATCTCAACCTCTAGACTTTGTAGATCTCCGAATCAACTTATTGTTTTGTAAAGATTCTTGAAATAGATTTCCTGTGGGGGCTGAATCCTAAGCCATATTGTTAATTTCAAGCCTTGGCCCCCGAGGATCTCTTCCGAATTAGTTAATTGGTCTTTTCGTAAGTACCCTGTTCTTCATACGGGCTTCTCCGTAACTACATTCTTTTTTTTATTCACATGCTTCAGGGTCGCATTGCATGGATTGGTGATTGCCATGTAATACGTGGACTTGCCCAAATTTCATATATATTTTTTCCATCGACTTGCCAAATACTGTAGACGTATGAAGAGAAAAATGGAAAAAAAATTTAAAAGAATTTCTATTTTTTTGTACAAAAAAGAAAAAGGTACCTTCATGGGAGATTTTCAAAATTCCTTATTATTATACAAAATAAGTTATCAGAAACAATTACGAGTTTCTTGCTTTAGTCCAGACACCCATAATCTACCCCAGAATTTGCAAGAATCTAAAACAGATCGGCGCCTATTTCCCTAAGGTTACAGCGTTGAGATCACCGTGCTCTCTTTTTCGCCAAGCGTGATGTCAAATATTCAAGACAATTCTGGATTAGATGATTGGGACCAAATTGGCTATTGCATGGCCAGATTGCGGCCTCTCATTGGGCTTTGAAAGGATTTTGAAAGGATACCAGTGGATAAAAATAGGCACCATTGCACTATATCCCGTTTTGGACATTGCCCTATAACCAATATTCACTTTAGGTAGGATGTTCTGAAACATATCATTTTGCCCGAGCGGATCACTCCCATTTACCCCTGCATATCATGTTCACATCTGATATATATTCCACCACCTCCCTGACCTTTTTTTATGTTGTAGTCATTCCAAATCAAGTCATCAATTCAGTTGGTGTTTTTCTTCCCCAAAATGCACGTTCTCAGTACTTTGATTCTGTCCTCCGTCGGACTTACTTTGGCATATGAACTCCCCGCCAATTTGAAAGCAATCTACGACTCCCACAAGGTAATTCTTACATGAGCATCAACTATAGCCAACGGCCTAACATATATAGACTGGTAAATGCGAAAACGTACTTGCTAAAGGATTTGACGATGGACAATCCGAAGATGACAAGAATATGGGCTATTGCGGCGACATAGATGGGGCTATCTACTTGTACAGCACCTCCGGAGCGTACGGCGACATGGACATCGATTGTGACGGCGCTAATCGATTGGAGGGAGACTGCTACAATGATGGGAGTGGTCAAAGTCAAACGGCGTTCATGGATGAACTGACCGAGATCGAAGACTTGGATGCCGGCATTCACCCCTATGTGGTCTTTGGAACCCATGAATATGATCCCAGGGATGACGGTATGAAGGCTCTGAGTGTGATGGCGATTGTGTGTGGTGGCAAACTGGTACTTTACCCCCTGTTCCGATTCAATCTTTCCCTGCTAAAATGTTATCACAGCACTATGGTGTCTGGGGTGATACCAACGGCCACACTGCTACCGGAGAAGCTTCCCTCTCTCTGGGTCAACTCTGCTTCCCTGGCGAGGGAATTACCGGTGACAGTGGACATACCGAGAAGGATGTCTTGTACATTGGCTTCAAGGGAAAGGGCGCAGTCCCGGGAAATAAGGCAGACTGGAAAGCAAAGAATAGCAAAGACTTTGAAAAGAGCATCAAGTCGATTGGTGATAAATTGGTCGCGGGTCTTGGTTCGGCTGGATCCGAAGGCTGGGTCGACGAGTCTTCATCTTCATTCACCACATCCGCGCGGACTACCACCAAGACGAAGACCCGCACTCTTTCCAGCACTCCTGCTGCGAGTACCACCGCGAAAGCGAGAGCGTGTCATCTGGACTAAACTTGAGATACACAGCGCTTGGTTTGGCCGTGCGTACCTCGTGGAGAATGGCAGTTGGCTACGCTTTCGGCCATAGATTGTAGCTAGTGTTTTTTGATTGTTTATTGTGAATGTATCCTGCGTTACTTCGACTTGGAAAAGTCACATAGGAAGATATAGGCCATCTCTCGTAGAAGTCTTTCCCCTCTCGTATCTAGTCTTTCCACTTGTAAGAGTTGATATCTCGGACTAATCCCTCTATAGTCGATGTAAACAATCATAGTATGTCGTATATAGCACATACTCCTCACTACTTGAATCTTCGTACAAATTCAGCTCTTAATTTTTGACTGGCTACTCGGTAGTTTGGACGGAATTTGGTTTGTAAAGGTAAATAAGACATATATGTCTTGAATTCTATAAATGTAATAGGTATATGATCGATCTTCTATATATACAAAGAAAATAATTGTGCACAATAATGCCACTCAGTACTCCAGGCCCAAGATATACCGTGCAAGTTGATGCACCATGCCAAATGCAGAATGCAGAATGCAACACCAGTTGTAGAACGAAAAATAGAAGGAACAGTTCTTGTTTTACGAAGAGGTCTTTGTACTCACGCGTTCTCGGCGTGGAGGGTTCCCTGCGACTTGCGACCGTACGGGTTCTCATCCGCAATCCAGTCCTGGTGGCGCTCGGGAATCTCGTAGCTGCTGCTCTTCCAGGGAACAACCTTATTGACATACATCCAGTCAAGCTCCTCGAGTGTGCGACCCTTTCCTTCAATAACGAAGAAGTAGACAACACCGATAGCCACGAAAAGGCAACCAGCGAAGACGTATCCGTAGGCAAAGTCGATCTCCTTGGTGATGAAAGTTGTGAAGAAGCTGATGAGGAAGTTCCATAGCCAGTTGGTTGCGGTCGCTAGGGCCATTCCCTTGGCACGGTACTTTGAGGGGAAGAGCTCTGCGACAATAGCCCAGACCATGGGACCCCAGGTCATAGCATATGCGGCAATAAACAGGCAGGCGACGACTATCATACCCTTGCCGGCGTTGGGAGTGTTGGTAGGTGTTTCCACATCCAACACGAAATGACCGATCGACGAGAAGATCATGAACATGATAAACATCCAGATCGCTCCGAAGATCAAGGACTTGCGACGTCCAAAGTTTTCCACGACATACAAGCCGCCAAATGTAGTGCCGAAGTTCACAGCGCCGAGAATGCACTGGGTCACGAAGCTGTCCGAGAGACCGGCACCTTCGAAGATAGTGGTACCCTATCAAAAGAGATTTCGGTCAGCGATTTCTTTTCCCCAAAAAGAAGCAAAAAATAAAGAACATCTGTAGAAAACTTACATAGTAGAAGAAGTAGTTAGCACCGCTAAGCTGCTGCAGTGACTGCAAGACCATGCCGAGGGCAATACGGTAGAACATGCAGGGGGCGGTGAGGAATTCATGCCACTTCTGCTCATCAGACTCGGCTTCAAACTGTTCACGAATCTCGTTCATTTCCTCCAAGATGCGAACATGGTTCTCTGGGATACCGTAGAGTTTGGCCAGGGTGCTTTGGGCACTCTCGGCCTTTCCGTGGCGGAACTCATACCGTGGGCTTTCAGGGAAGAAAATCATACCACCGCCGAGGACCAGAGCGAAAATGAAGGTAATGCCGAGAGTGATGCGCCACTGAGCAGTGCCATCCATGGTGTGGGTGCCCAGGTTAATGCAGTAGGCCAAAAAGATACCGAGGGTGACGAACAGCTGGTAGCAACTGATCATGGCACCACGGATATGACGGGGGGCACTTTCACTTTGGTACATGGGGACGAGCAGCGAGCAGCCACCAACACCGAGACCGGTGACCCAACGGCCAACGACCATCTGGTACCAGTGACCAGCGGGAGAGGCGATTTGAACAATCAAACCGACATTGAGAATCATACACCAGAGAGTGATGGACCACTTCCGGCCCAATTTATCAGCGACGGGAGCTCCAACCAGGGCACCGATCATGGTACCGATGGACAGCAAGCCGACAATGAGACCGGAGCGCACGGTGCTGAACTCATAGGAACCATCTGCGTTGAGCTCACCATACCGCTCCAAGTAGTTGCTCATTTCTTGGAAGCCGGAGATCTGACCCGTGTCATATCCGAACAGCAGACCACCCATCGAGACAAAGAGGGCCATCACCAAGGACCGAATGGTTATCCGAGGGATTGGGGTATCGACGCCTGCGGGTCGCATAGGCTTCTCAATGGGGCTATTTTGGAAGGAAGACTCAACGCTCGGCTGTTGAGCCGGGGTGATGGACTCCCCATGGTGGGAAGACGCTTCGGCACCCATGGCGTAGGTTGAGATGGGGAAATATGTTTCTGGCTGTCCGATGTTTGATATTTTCAAGTTGTATTTAAAAGAGATATAAAGGGACTAGTGGACCAGCTCAAGAAGAAAGATGAAAATGAAAGAAGAATAGAAACAAGCCGGGGAATAAGAAAATCTCGGGGAACATGGGGGAATAGGGGGCTTTTTGTAATCCAGCAATCAGAGAATAGAAAGAGAAATAAAACTCAGAATTGGGGGTGGGGAGAGAATTGTGGAGAGGCGACTTGCGCAAGATGATGATGCTCAATGTACAAAAAAGTAGGCAGTCAACAAACCGGCTTCCACCGGCTTATACAGGGACTCCACCAGGGGGAAAAGCCACACATGGCAGGTTCCAAGTGATGAGATCTGGTTCGCCCTTTTTTTCTCAAGTGGATATGTCCGTAGCCGATTTGTTCGGGGGTCGGGGGGGCGAATTCAAGCTTATAGGCCAAGGCCGTGCCGAAGTGATTCGGGATCAGATATTTCAGTGCCGAGTAAGAGATTCATAATCTGCCTTTTTGATTAGGTATACTTTGTATGTTGTATGTTTTACATAGGATATCAGGATTGAATCAATATTGAATCTGGAGAAACTGCGGGCCATATGCTAACATTCCCCAGGCTCTCCGGGTTCTCTCCGGTTTCTCTGTTTTTCTCTGTTTTTCTCCGGATCCCAACAAATTGATTTCCCGATCGGTATCCCGGTGAAAACTTCCCCGAGAATTACCGTTCTCCAAAGAGGGTTGGTCGAGGGGGAAATGCGGAGTCTGGGGGTACATATGCTCTGACCAAACTACGGAGTACTAACTTGAGACGTTATTATATTATTATTATATTATATACGTAATACTAGAACATTACTTCTTTGTTACATCTGACCTCTATGTTGTAAAACTCATATCCCAAACTCAACGGCCAAACGTCGGCTTGATATTGCCGAGTCGTCAGTGGCGGCCACGAGCCGCCACACCCGTTACCGTACGTCATTGAAGAAATTTGCAAATTGAAATTTTCACTTCTACGTAATTTCAAGTTATGTATTTAATTTCATATGGAATCTATTTCCTTATTGATTTGCTATGCCCATACTACTTTTCAAGGGCATACCTAGGTATCCATGGATGTTGTAGCCCTGGAGGTATCCAATATCACTTAGGTAATATGGGCGATCAAATTTGTTCCGTAGTTTCCCGTGTCTGAATTACGGGATAGCTCGACTGTTCGATTGCCGATTGATCCGCCCACGGCATCCCCTTCTAATATTCCCCGTGCCAAGACGGGCTGATTCTCGGGAAGCCCCTTGAATTGGAGACGTCGTAACGGTATGGATCGGATCTCGCGTAATTATGTAGCTATAATCTGGACCTTAAGGGCTGTGCCGGACGGGTTATCCATGCTTCTGCGCCGTGAACTTGCAAAAGCTTGTGGAGAAACCAAGTATTATGCACACCATACATATTTATATATTTTAGTATACAAAGCAAGTACAGATTACTATCTCCGGCTCGACTGGTGAATAATCCGGGTCATCGGCAATTTAGCTAACTCGTGAGATTATTTGAGAAATGAAGTCTAAAAGTCATGAGACACGTGTAGAAAGGGTACGAAGTATATGTTGCTGCATTGTCCCTAGCAATTACAATTCTCGGCCTAGCTACCCGATTTTCCATAGTACTAATTACTCGGTGTTAGTGACTTTCCTCCCAAGCATGGCGGCTGAAACGCCTTGACAAATGGAGACAAGCGTGGCAATTCCTCCGCGTTTCAATTTCTGCAGGAATTTCCCCCGCAATTACAATTAATCCATACAGTCCTGGATTTCTTAGATACCCCGCATACTAATGCAGGTGGTCTGGCTTATGGACTTCCTTCAAAGGCCCATTGGTGCATCGCAAGCGGACTACCGCTTCGATTAGTCCGCAAACAACACGGGGGGCTTGCGGGATAAATTCCACAGGATCACTCCATGGCCTGATATCTTCTTGAGTAGATGGAATAATTTCGATTTCCTAATTCAGGGCGGAAGTTGTTCTCCGTCTTCATATATCCCCGCGATCCCAGGATATATATATAAACATCTACTTGCATCCAAAGCGGAACAACAGGTACACAGCGAAGTTTAGGATCACTATGAAAACGCTAGCAATCTTATCCCTGACCGGCCTGGTCTCTGCCCAAGCTGCTCCGTACGCTCAATGTGGCGGAGGCAGTTATTCTGGCCCTACAACATGTGTCTCTGGCTGGACTTGCCAATATCAGAGTGACTGGTATAGCCAATGTATTGCATGTAAGTGTGCTAAGATATGTTGTAATGCTGTTCTATCGATTGACACGGAACGCTCCAGCTTCTGGGGGTAGTACCACTACTCTAGCAACAAAAGTTTCTTCAGAAATTGCAACTAAAACGACAACCACAACCAAGGCAACCACCACCAGTGCCACTGCGACTGGATTCCCCACTACAAATGGACTGAAATTTGAGATTGATGGAAAGACAAGCTACTTTGCCGGCTCCAATTCCTACTGGATCGGCTTCCTCACTAACAATGACGATGTTGATCTTGTCTTCGACCACATGGATGAATCTGGGCTCCGAATCCTCCGAGTTTGGGGATTCAACGATGTCAACACTGTTCCCTCTGCTGGGACTGTCTATTACCAACTGCTCAAGGATGGAACTGCTACCATTAACACCGGCGCAGATGGTCTACAGCGCCTGGACTACGTGGTTGCCTCCGCCGAGGCACGGAATGTGAAACTGATCATCAACTTTGTCAATAACTGGTCGGATTACGGGGGTATGGCGGCCTATGTCACTGCTTTCGGTGGCAGCCAGACAAGTTGGTATACAAACACTGCAGCTCAAACAGCCTACCGCGCCTACATCAAAGCTGTTGTTTCCCGATATATTGACTCGCCTGCCGTCTTTGCATGGGAGTTGGCCAATGAGCCCCGCTGCAATGGTTGTGATACTTCGGTTCTTTACAACTGGATCAAGTCTACCAGTGCCTATATCAAATCTCTGGACTCAAAGCATATGGTCGCCATTGGTGATGGTATGTATACCCATGAGATTTCTGCTGCCTGGTCCACTGTCTAACATATCTTTTAGAGGGCTTCGGACTGGACACCGGGTCTGATGGTAGCTATCCCTACAGCTACGGCGAGGGCCTGAACTTCACGATGAATCTAGGGATTGATACCATCGACTTTGCTACCTTCCATCTCTACCCCTCCAGCTGTATGTATATCCTCCCCATCACCTTTTGTCTCGACCTTGCTAATGGATCCATGCAAGGGGGAACTACCAATGATTGGGGCAACGGTTGGGTCACATCCCACGGTGCTGCCTGTGTAGCAGCTGGCAAGCCATGTCTCTTTGAAGAGTACGGTGTCACCGCCGATCACTGTGCCATTGAGGCTCCCTGGCAGAAGACCGCGCTGAACACCGAAGGCGTTGCAGCTGATCTCTACTGGCAGTATGGAGACACACTGAGCTCTGGAAAATCCGCCGATGATGGAAACACATTCTACTATGGAACTGCCGAATTTAAATGTCTGGTAACGGACCACGTCGCAGCCATTAACTCCTAGGCCTCAGAACTGTTGAGTTGGAGGGGAAGATACAGATCCATATCAGCATCAGATAATTGAAATGCGGCCGTTCTAACGGGCCTCAATTTACTGTATCTACTACACCGGGGCCCATAAATTGAATGCTCTTTGTCATAATTTTTAAAAGAGCTGCGCAGGCTATGATGTGCAAATCATGCAAAATCACGCAGAAATATCTATTTTGGTGGGGTATTTATACTTATGTACAGGCAACTTGGTGCTTTTCTAGAATTAATTAGATTGAGCTAGCCTCAAGAGGGTATAGAGAGTTTGGTGTCACGATAGCACAACTTCAATGACTCGGTGCCTTCTTGGGGACTTCAGCGTAGGCTGAAGGTTCGGGGAGGTTTCATCCCGCTCCACGGCGTCGGTTGGCGGTCCGCGGTAATTGTGGTAGCCCCAGACACCATACCAGATGGCAGCAATAGCAATGAAGCCAGCAAACACCACAGAGGCATAGTTCATGCTCTCCTTGGTGACAGTTTTCAGGGTTGGCATACAGAAAAGAGGAATTGCAAGAACACTCCAGCCTAGAGTAGTTTAAATGGTTAGCGTGGAAACTCGAATGTGTAACGAAAGGAATTCTGCAAGAGGCAACTCACAAAGAGCAATAACGTTGGCGATCAGGCCAAAGACACCAAAGTTGAAGCTACCGTTCTTGATATCCTCCCGACCACGGAAGATCAGGGAAACGGCGATCGGGCAGGCATAACTCGTGGTCAAGAAAATGACACCAACACCGGAGAAGGCATTATACGCAGCGGTAGAGCCAAAGTAAATCACACCAAGAATAATCTCCACCACCATACCCAATACCAAAGCATTGAAAGGAATGTCCAGCGACTTGTTGACGGTGCTCCACCAGCGCGAACCGGGAATGCCGCCGTCACGGGCAAAGGCCCAAGTACAGCGAGATGTGGCCGTCACACAACCGACACCGCAAATGATACCCAAGACGAGCAGGGGAATCAGCAGGCAGAATGTACCCGCCGAGTTGCCGATGGCGGCCTTGAAGATGGCAGGGGTGGGCTGGCCCGAAGCCAGATTAACCAGGTATGTAAGATCGGGGAGCACGAAGCAGACGGGGATCAAGAAGAGAAGACCGGCGATAAAGTTGATAATGATGGTTCCGACCATAGCCTTGGGGACCATGATGGCGGGTTCTTGGACCTCCTCGCAGAGACTACCATCTATTAGCAAGTGGAACGGGTGGTTTGGAGAATCCAAAATTCGAGTTAAAACTCACGAGATAATCATGCCGGTGGCCGATGTAGCGTAGGCAGCCTGTAAGAGACCGATGAAAAAGGACCACCCCGCAGGCCAGCCGGCCTGAGTCTCAAAGTGACCAAAGACCCAGGCGGCATCGTGACGACCTTGCTTGGCGATAGCCAACAGACAGACAATAATGGCGAGTAGACCAGCCATGGTCCAGAAAATGGCGAATGTCTAGAGAAAAGGATAATCAGTACTGTTACCCCATGGGGTAAAGGGGCACGTGCAAAGACATACCTCCAACCATGGCAGCCATTTGTTGCCAAATGCCGAGATAGAGTGCGTCAGCAGGGTAATGGCCAAGAAGATAAGGAAGATCTGGTATGTCTGGAAATCATCGGTGATTCCGACACCCGGCGATTTTTCAAAGACATTCAGACAGGCCACGAAGAGCAAGGCAGTTCCAAAATTGACGGCAAGGGTAATCGTGATGTTCCCTGCAACGTAGGACCAGCCACAGATCCACGATGCAACGCGACGACACCACAAGGGCGACAAGACGAATGTTTGATAGTAGACACCACCTGCAGTCGGGTAGACCGAAGTGATTTCCGCCAATGAAATTGCCACACATAGAATCAAGAAAGAGATGATCACCCAACCCCAGATGACATTGGCCGGCCCACCTGCCGCGAGTGGGTAGTATAGAGTGGTCGACAAGCCGTAAGGAACTGAAGAGAGAATGAAGCACATAAAAGTGACCTGCCAAATTGATCGATTGCGAGACAATTCAGGCTTGTATCCCATATCCTCCAGGGTACGATCCGCATTGGAAGTGCTCACACCCTGTTCGATCGAAGTCACCCCGGAGGGGCGACGGGTTCCAACATCGACAGCCATAAGGAATGAAGTTATTGCGTGATGTTTCTGATCTGCATATGGTGCAGATAGGAAATAATACAGTTAGAGAGAGGTGGAAAAAAGATGGAGAAATACAAAATACAAAAACAAAAGATAGAAAAAAAGAAAAAAAGAAAAAGAAAAAAAGGAAAAGGAAAAGCCACAGTGGAGACGAAGCGGCAAAAAGAAAATTGAAAAAAATCCCAAAAAGATGACCAGCAGATTAAAATGTAAGCGAACGAGATCCACCTAGGTCCACTCAGGTCCACCAAGATCCACCCAACCCATAGGACACGAGCGTGATTTAACTTTGAACCAGTTAACGTGGATGGAGGGGCATATGAAATAGCTGGAACCACCAATCAGACTACTTCTAATCCTAAAACAGACTAGTTTCCAACTGTTATCCTTGTTTCGAAACCTTCGAGAAGATTATTTTCACCTAGGAAGACGGGGGTTTAGTTAAGCTCCGAGCGATAATATATAAGAATATGTATTATTATATATTTAAGGGTTATATCAGAGTACCAGTCAATGGGGATACTGCAGCAACTACGGAATTCTCAGCCTGGATACTTCAATATACTTCTGTAACTCTATACTCCGGGTACAAAAAATCGCATGATGTCAGGGGCGTTGGAGGCGCCACAGCTTCCCGAGGTCCGTTAGGAACCTTTGGAAGTCCAAGGGAAAATAGTCCCCGAACAAATGAAAATCTTTGAATTTGATATGTTTTGTATTCAACGTAGAATTATAGATACTTTGTTAGGAAGTTCAGATACTCAGGATTGTCGCCCCAAATATGGTTAACATCCCCCGTCAGATTCCGATATCAGCCGTGTCCCGACAGGCCATCCCGCAAGTATAGAGATAGCCTCAATTAAAAAGGGGGCGCCTACTCTCAGCCCAAATGTTTCATTGGTCACAGCCATCTCGGTTGAGATTTTTTTTCTAATTCTCTACGGCGTACTCCGTAGTGAATTTTTTCCCAAGAGATTGGGCAATTTTGAGCGAATCTCGAGAGGCTATCTTTTTTATCTAGGCAGAAATCAAAGTGCACACTCTCTAAATTCATGTTCCAATATGTGTATAAATATATGGTGAAGAATTTCCATACAGATGTATATAGCGAAATGTAGATGCCTAAGTTGTCGGGCTCCTTTCCAATCTTGGAAGGTTGTCCCGTCTAATATTTCGCATATCTTCGGGCGCAAACACCTTACACCAATATTCGTCCAAATCCCATACACCATCCAATGCGAAAGTTCTAGGAATTGCATCTCATTAAAGTCAACTAGTTGCTCATTCAGCTCCAAGCACACAGGTTGTTGCCAGTCTCTCGTCTACGTCAGCCGCCATCAAAGAGTGTACGCACCCAAGGCACGTAAGAGACTCTACATTTGCGCTCGGGACACACTCACCTGTGTGGCACGTATCCAACATATCGCGGTGCGCGGGCAGCGAAACGGTGACATCAGGACCACGGACATATCCAACTTGCCGTCAAAACACCGCTTCCCAGAGGTCCCGTCAGTCATGTAGAGATGTCTAACAAATTTTATACTAATCACACAACGCCATACAAGATCTTCACCGGTCGCTGACCTGTGCCCAGACGTAGAGCAGAACTCAACTCAACAGTCGGCAATTCTCCAAGTCTCCGGTCTTGGCGATAAGTGATTTCATGCTCATAGCCTTAGATGTGATTATGTATAGACCTATGCCTGTTGTAAATCCCATACAAATTGGAGTCTGGAATTAGATGTGATTATGTATGGACCTATGCCTGTTATAAAGTCCATACAAATTGGAGTCTGGACTCTTAAACGCGATACCCACGGAACGCCCAAGGCTTCGGTCCGCGGTGGGGGGAATGTGGGGGTTGACATGAGGGTCCTTTCCAGTATTGGAAATTGTGGGGGAAGTCTGGAGGTTTTGATACCTTCCAGGGCTCTTTGCATGTAGCCCTTCCTAGGTAAGAGCGAGTCGTTACTTTGACGTTATCAAGATACATAGCTTGATCCCCCAAAAATACCATATCACTGTCTATAAGCTCACTCTCCAGGTAGATATTCTTTAGCTCTTGATAATGATAGATTTACTATATGTAGGTTGCAACATTTTATATCTGTATAGAATATCAATCATCGGTGCGTCTTCCTATACCAAAGTGACGTCGGTTTCCTAATCGAGTGTCGGCCCTGAAAGTCATCAAAACAGAGTAAGCTCGAGTGGTTCAAAATGAATCCTCTTTTCATTCTCTTCCATCAGACCCTCATATAGGATGGTTACCCAATCTCCAAAATTGTTTCAACATTTAGCTACATCCCTCTACATGACAATCAAAAATATATTTTCTTCCATCGCCATTACCATCAACCATCTCAAAGCAAAGTATCGCGACCATGTCCAAGCTAACAGAGTCAAACTACTGTTACAAGAGCTCCAAGAAGCAGAACATACCCAGATCCAACTCGACTGGATATCTGAACATCGTCGGGAGATAAGACGGGCCAATAATATCATCCAACGAGAAATTCACCTCGGTGCGACGTATTCCCACTATGAAACTCAGGTACAAAATGAGAGCCCGCCAGAACCTTCCACCCTTAAGGAGCTTCGGCAGTGCGATATCGAGCTCAAGCTACTCAACATTGAATACTTCCAGCATCTGGAACGAAAGGCAGAACTCATGAATCGCAAGCCACCAGGGCGCTTCGTTCATCGGTATACAAAAGGTCTGCGGTACAACCCCAAACGGCTCTGGACTATTGAACGGGCCTACTGCCAACTTCGTGGTGGCTGTTGCGCTCGTGAGTGTGGTTGCTGTGAACGATCTTGGCACACCATTCGGGATCCTTCTGGAGAGGTTCGATATATGCACTGCACAGGAAGTTGTGGATGCTGCACCCGCCATCGCGGTTATTCTTCAAGTGTGGTAGTCAATAGAAAGTCCGACATCTAACCTAAACCAGTAGTTGGTCGACAAGCCTGGGCAGGTTGTAGCGCCACAACCAATGAGATAGCATTTTCCTTTACGGGGAAATTTTCGATTGAACAGGAATTGAGAATATGAGGATGAACCGATCGGGGGATTGTCCTTGCATGATTTGGGAGTTTGGATGCTTGAATGCTTGATACTTGATATTTTTTGATCATATGGTCGATACATCAAATATATCCCCGGCATTGCTTGTTTAGGTTTAGTATACTCCGACCCATGTAGGCTAGTATTACACATATGGACTCTGATTGGTTGAATCTTGACTATATCTCCTATTCTAGTCTTAGTATCAACTTTTCCCATTTTCTGATACGAGGTGTTTTGATTGCTCTTTGCCCAGTCTCTTTGCCCAGCCTTTTTCTTTTCTTTTCCTTTGGTTTGGGGCCAATATTATTCCCGGACCGGTCACCGGACCGGTGCTATCATTTAAGGGCCATCTTTTGCTCCTGTTATCTATCAAATTGTCAAGAGAGCATTTTCCATTCTACCATGGTGCCGTTCACGGGTGCTCGGGTAGATGTCATGGGATGTAATGAATTTTAAAAAAAAATTAAAAAAGTCGTAACTTGGTAGGTCATACCTTGATTTAGTTCCTTAAGACTGTCAACTATATCTCCCGTTGACCATGCCGTATGGAGACTGGGAAACTTAGAAAGCGTCTAATGAATATCAAAATCAGTCCCTACAGGATGTTGCACAATGCTACTCCGTACAATCTTGTCTTCTAGAATTCTAGTGGCTTACCCCAGGATTGTACATCCCGCCCTACCTGCCAGTAGGCGGCCACGGACCCCTCTATTGACCAGTCATTGACCAGAGATTATAGCCATTTAATATCGCATGGCTGAGGGTCTCCTGTATTAGATGAGACTGCCCTTCCAAAAGAAAATATTTAAATCTAGCACATAACCCTGTCGATCGTTTCATTTTTATCCTGCATTTTCCCCTTTGGTTGTCGCACAAGATGGAGATAGAGAATAAACCCCCCACTATTATGCGGGTGATCAACATCCGATCAGTGAAAAGGGCAAAGCACTGAGAAATTTGGTTGAAGCCGATCTGCTCGATGATCGTTATGCAACCACCACCAAACGTGGTTTGAAGAATCGTCATGTTCAGCTAATGGCCCTCGGAGGCACGATCGGAACTGGTAAGTCTGCAATTTTTGCAAAGGGAAATTTACTCACGCAAGTCAGGACTTTTCGTGGGTTCCGGTCAAGCCCTGGCCATTGGAGGCCCCGCGTCGCTTCTTCTGGGTTATATCTTCATCTCGGCCATGGTTTATGGCTTGGTCACAGCCATCGCTGAGGTTGGGGCCTATCTTCCAGTACATGGTGGAACGATGAGCTATCATGGATTCCGATACGTGTCGCGGAGTATGGGTTTCGCCATGGGATATCTATACTGGTACTCTCTCGGAATTTTAGTGCCATACGAGATCACAGCTGCTGGACTGGTTATTGGATACTGGGACCAGAGTGGGTCGATCAATATCGCTGTGTGGATCACAATCATGATGATCGTCATTATTGCGCTCAACTTTATGCCCGTGCGGGTATACGGCGAGTCGGAGTTCTGGTTCGCCGGGGTGAAGATCATCACTCTAATCGGCTTGTTGATGGTATCTTTCATCCTCTTCTGGGGTGGTGGACCTAACCGTCAGCGACTGGGCTTTCATTATTGGAAGAATCCGCGCCCATTCAACGCGTATCTCACGACTGGAGATGCGGGCCGCTTTGTGGCCTTGCTGAAATGCACAGTATCCAGCGCCATTGCGTTCATCTTCGCCCCAGAGCTGATTGTGATCAGTGGTGGTGAGATGGAGTCCCCTCGACGGAATATACCCCGGGCGGCCCGGAGATACATTTATCGTTTGGTCTTCTTTTACATCTTTGGTGTGCTGGCCATCGGTGTTATTTGCCCATCCGATGCCAGTCGTCTGACCAAGGGTGATGGCACGGTAAACTCATCTCCATTTGTGATCGGCATCCAAAACGCCGGCATCCCCGTCTTGGACCACATTGTGAACGCTGCCGTGTTGACATCTGCCTGGTCTGCAGGGAATTCCTTCCTGTACATGTCTTCGCGGTCGCTCTATTCCTTGGCTATGTCAGGCAACGCGCCACATGTGTTCAAAACGTGTAACCGATGGGGTGTCCCATACTGGGCTGTGTCGGCTTCGGCATGCTTCTCGGCATTGGCCTATCTTGCTGTTGGCAGCTCCAGTTCAGTTGTGTTCAACTGGTTTGTCAATTTCACAAACACTTCTGGCTTTATTTCATGGATCTGTTGTTCCGTGGTGTTTTTCCGTTTCCGCAAAGCTGTCAAAGCACAGGGCATTGAACAGCCATACCGATCAAAGATACAGCCATATGGGGTTTACTTTGGCCTTGCAGGTGCCACGCTAATGACGCTCATCAATGGATTCACAGTATTCTTCCCATCGGAATGGTCTGTGAGCAACTTTTTCACCGCATACATCGGTATTCCCGCTTTCTTGATTCTTTACTTCGGACACCGGGTACTGTATTGGAGTGATCCATGGGCATGGCGCCCGGAGGAGGTTGATATGCATACGGGTCTGGATGAGATCATTGCTGCTGAGCAACCACCAAAACCACGAGGGGCATGGTGGAAGTTCTGGTAATATACCCCCGGAGTAATGGAGGATGAAGCCATTGTTTGTCAGTGTTTGAGGTGTTTGCACCTTTTGCAACGTATGCAATGTTTATAATGTTTACAATGTTTGTCCATGTCATGACGCATCGAAATACCAGAGCGGGTATGTTGCTGCCACTCACCCGCCTTATCACCATATTAATGTCCAACAACATCCAGTAACGTCCAATAACAACTAATAAATTCCAATTCTCCAACATCTTATTACTCCGGAATTCGGAGATTGTCTTATCAACCCATTCCATTGGGAAAATAACCAGTGGACTCTCTCTTATATTCGGTATACGCCGTGGACCGTCTACAATCTGGTCTGGAGAACTGAACCCTGTAGTATCAGCCCACACGTTTAAATACTGTCTTGTAGAACATCCTCTGAACATTTGGTTTCGACCTGTGAACCCGAAAATTTGAAGAATCCGAACCTATGGCCGTGCTACCCATTACTATCCATCCGCTTCAGCCTCCTCCGGGATCAAGCATTGATTTCGGTGCTGAGATTCGCGGTGGTGATTTGGAAAATCTGACTGGTTTGTGCATTACTTCCAACTATAAACGAGCACCAGCTAATGATCATATAGAGGAGCAATTTGCTATTATTCGGAAAGCCCTCTACGAGCACCACGTTGTGGTGTTCAAGCACCAGAAAGGGCTATCACCTAAAGCCCAGTATGAACTGACCAAACGTTTCGATCCAGCCTCCGATAACTACGGACATGGCAAGACCATCGATGCGAAGCGAAGCATTCTCCATCCTGATCTCAAGACTGTCCCTCATCAGCCACAAGTGCAGGTGATTGGAAATGGACATGTTGATTCGTACGAGGGTCTCAAAGATATAACATTGCGACACCCTCACCACCGGACATTCCACCAGGATCATATCCCGGACGAGAAGGACTATGAATTCACGCGGTTTTATCGCTGGCACATCGATGCTGCACTTTACGACCTATACCCGCCCCAGGTGACAACGCTTATGGCTGTGAGTGTGCCTAAAGGCCGCCGGCAGACATTATTGTATGATGATGGAACCGAAGAAACAATGGATGTACCACTTGGCACAACGGCGTTTGTGAGTGGCGAGCGGATGTTTGAACTTCTTTCGCCCGAGGATAAGGAGTTCGTGAAGACGAGCAAAATGGAATATGCTCCTCATCCGTAAGATCTCCAGTGATATGCCCATGCTTTTAATTAACTAAGCTAACCCACGAACAGTTACATCTGGATGAGCCAAGCCCATTCCCGTTCCACTGGGCTCGGTATTCACTCAGAAGGCCTTGAGTTGCCCGACTCAGAACTGCCACCTATCGACCCTAGCAAGATCATGGTATTCCCGATGACCTGGAAAAACCCAGTGACGGGCAAATTGGCTCTGCAGATCCATCCCTCTGCCGTGCGCCGGATCCATTGCGCCGATGGAACCACGATCGACGACTTGGCCCGTGTACGGGATATTGTCTATAAGTTGCAGCGGCCGGCTATCAGCCCTGAGTATGTATATCCGCATGACTGGGAGGATGACGACTTGGTGTTATTCAACAACCGCGGCGTTCTGCATTCCGTGGTTGGTGCGTTCAAACCTGACGAGGTGCGATTGTTCCGTCAATGTAACTTGGCGGCGTCGGAGCCTCCGGTTGGAGCTTGAGTGTGTTTGGTTTTGATTTAACGAGTATCATGTGTGTTTGTAAATATTGGGCCATGGGAGGCAGTTCAACTTTGGATTTTTGCTGAAACACATCTTGAATAATGAAATATTATTATATCGAAGGTTGTACATAACATACTCCACTATGCGTCTGCAACAAGGATTATCGGACAATAAAAAACCCATTTACAGCAATTTGGCTCTCTCTGAGCTCATCGGTGACAGACCGAACTCCAATCAGGTGTAATGGAACTTGCTCTACCAACTTCTGTCCACGGGTGATGATATTGGTGTATCCCTCGACCGTGCGATCAATCCAACTCGAGTCTTGTTGGAGGTCCAAGACCGCTGGGTGTTCCGCGGCCCACGCAGGATGGGCCAGAGTATCCTGCACAACAGATGCGTCGTATACATCAGCGAGCAGAGCCGCCTCTGCAGCTGCGGCTTGCGCGTCAACGAGCTCTTTGCTCGTGGTCCCAGTGGGCGGTGGGATTTCAGCGCGGAGATAACCCAAAACACGAATCTCGATTTTGCTTGTTTGAGGAGGAACATCCTCGAGGAGGCGAATTGCGACCACGCGTTTCGATACCTGAGCCAGATTTACTCTCGCCGCCTGTAGTGGATCCAATGCCCGCACAGACAAGATCGCTGGGCACCATTCACCAATCGAAGGGCCTTTGCTCGACCCAGTGTCAAATCGGGCCCAGCCGAAGAAGTAGCCCCTTAACTGCTCAGTCACCCAGTCTGGCATTCTAACCAAGCTCAACTTCGGTATATCATCAGGGTTGCTGGGATAGGAGATTTGATCGGTTTGACAGCGAGCTTTGAATGTCATAGGAAACGGTGGCTGAGGACCGACATCGATAGAGACCGGGCTGCTTCCAGCTATTTCTGGCGCTGCTAGATTTATCTGGGATCGCCCAATGGGGCCTTTGGGGCCGTTTATGATACCGCCCACACGGTTCTCGATACCAGTAGTCGCGTAAGCCTTTTGTACCACAGTCTTGGTCACCCACGATGGACGAAGCGCAGCAGCTTTAGCTTGGAACGGAGCAACTTTGGATTGAACCGCCATAGCAGCTGGGCCTGCCACAGTTCGCGCTGCAGTGTGGGCGTAAAGACTCACAACCATCGCCCCAACCTCCAGTGGCAACGTGCTCAAGCTCGCACCACGGATAGAGCTGGGGGCAGTAGACGTCGAGAGAACACGGAACACAGGGCTATTGCCAAGCACTTTCTTCTTGAGTCCTTGGCAGAGAACTAGTTGAAAATAACCATCGCCTGCTTCGGCGGGAATCCGCACAACGGCAGTTTCACGTAGCTGATGTGTGTCGCGCGGACGGGGCGGAGCCTTCTTTCGGAATTTCTTGATGTCGCGTTGCCAAGCTCGTTCATCATCCGGGGTAACCTGATCAGCCCTCAATGGCATACCCGGAGTCACATCTAGCCAGCTATCTCGGAGACGGAGGAATGACTTGAATTGCATCCCGGTCTTCCCGGTCCAACCTTTGCTCTGCAACCACAAGGTGTGTTCAGGTGGTAACGGGACATCGGAGAAGATTGATATAGCGACCGAAGTAGTGGGTCCACGGTAGAAGACCAGTCCATGGGAATGTCGCAAAATGGTGACATGTTTGTTTGATTCCGTCGGACGACTGATTAGACCAGTGAGAAAATGCCGAGCTTCACTGTATGCCTTTTGAACAGGCGTCGGAGGCGGAGGAGTCGGAGATGAAGTTGGCCCCGCTGTCCTAGGTCGCGGCAGTGAGCCTGGACTTATAGACCTGGGGGGCGGTCCATAAAGGTCCGTATATGACGGGGGCTGTAATGATGGTGGCACAAGAGACGGAGTACTGGTAGCATAGGCTGCGTCCCGCTGATCGGCATGCGCCGTAGCTCGCAAGTTCGGATTTGACACGGGCTTACGCCTGACGCGAAATGAATCTTGCGGATAATTTGGATCTAAATATCCAGACATTTTCTACATGATCCTCAAGGAGTCCTCTGTTTCATTTTAAAGGGGCGCGGCCAAGAGTGATTGGCCCAAGCTTGATTGAAGCCTGAGGCATAAAGTTAGTGCCTGGAATTTAGGCCTGGATTTCTATATCAAACAATCTGAACCAACAGAGACAAGACAGGCACGGTGTATTCCCATTCATCTCTGTGATTATTCTATTGATTTACCAGCAAGTTTGTGGAGTGCTCAATCTCATTGTGTGAGAAACAAATATTCATGATTTTCACCATTTCCGCAGCTATCTCTGTCAGTTGAAATGTATTCTGAGGCTTAGGGCTTAACGTACCCGATATTCTATCGCCAGATACATCATTTTCATCCCGTCCGTTCATCCGAGTATAGTGGAGGACAAGGTCGACCCGCGGTCGACGAGCCATTTGATACATTTCGAGTCGCATGGGGATATCGTGCGGTGTGCTACCATAAGGAAGCAAGGTGGCAATGCTGATAGCATCTTCAATTGCCATAGCTGCCCCCTGTCCCATGTCTATCGAGTTGTCAGCTTATATCGCGTATTCAGTTTGTCAATTTAAAGTTATTGATTTGCTTACATGGCTGGAACGGATGTGCGGCGTCTCCCAGAAGAGCAGCATGGCCTCGAATCCAGGTCGGCAGCGCCTCCATATCGTACAAATCCCATACTTTGAGGTTTTTGTCCGCGCTTGCGATGATTTGCTGAACACCAGGTGAAAAGTTGGAAAAGGCGTTGACAATCGTAGTCTTGTCTCCAGCTGCCTGCCAGCCTATCAATGTCAATTTGTCAGTGCCTTTCTAGGCCAAACCCCAAGAATATCTTACTTTCGCTTTGATTATCTGCTTGAACTTCATTTAATGGGACAAAAGCACAAAGATTGAGGATTTTGCTATCAGAGCAAGGGTAAGCCACGAGTCGCCGATCATCAGATGCCCACTCAATAAACACGCCAGTGTCTCGCACAAAGTCCACAGTGTTTACATCTTGCCTTAGTTGATCTGTGGGAAGGAGCCAACGAAAGCATGACTTGCCCACGGGGTATGGGGAGGGAGAGCCCGGGGCAATACTCTGGCGAATTTCTGACTATAAAACAGTCAGAACAGAGACGAGAGTAGGGCAGACACCGGTAATGATAATCTGATATTCATACATGCAGTCCATCTGCACCAAGGAGCAGATCAGCTTTGAAAGTGCGACCATCAGCGAGGGTGACTGACGGGCAAACCCCCTCCAGATTGACCTCGGTGACTTTACACCGTGTATGCAGTGTTCCGGTTTCAAGGGCGCGTTGCTTGAGGTGATTGTGCAGCTCAACCCGATGCACCAGATACCACTCCTGTGTTAGAATTAGAACATTGTCCTGGCTAGATCCGCTTCATTCGCCTACTGCTTGCCAATGACGACGAGTATCGGCAAATTCTCTCTTGTACGTCAACTCCCCATCGAATCCATATCGGTGTATCTGGAGAAAGCCGAAAAAAAGATCAATTTAAGCCACTCTTCTTGTCAAGAGACAAATCTGACCTCATGCAGCAATGTGCCCCCGAAATCAACTGGATCAATGCCCATCCAGCGTAGCAAGGCAGTGCAATTCGGCGGCAAATGGACTGCGGCACCAGTCTCCTTCAAAAAAGCCGATTTTTCCAGAATCTAAGCAAAAGTGAGAAATTAGGTTTGCAACAAGCTTGATGGTTGTTTCTGGGGACATACCACCACATGGTGCCCCTGCTTTCCGAGGGCAATAGCTGCCGAGAGACCAGCAATGCCTGCGCCGATCACAAGGACTTCGAGGGGCTGATCTGAGGGTGTCATGGTGAAGAGCCTCTGGTTTAGTGTATATCAAGTAGCCGTCACGAATATCTGAGGTGGGATTTATAGTGATATGCTCTCTCATCCGAGGTCCTAATTTGGAAATCCCCGACACTTATATCCGAGTTGCCCAGGGAAAGTGGACGTTTAAATGATGCTAGATCGTCTGAAATCTTGAATTACGATACTTTTTGGGCACAAAGCATGTTGAATATTCTTGGGCCGAGGTGATCGACACTGCATTGTTGGGCACATTTTTCGCTTTCCCATCTTTCCCTTCTAATATATCCAGACCAGATCGAGAAAAGAATAGACCAAGTACCATAATCATGAAAACTCACAACCCATGAAAACCGTCCTTTGAATTGGAGTCTCGTAATACGGTGCAATATCCACAAATCCATATTTCCGATATAACTGTTGTGCCGCTGTCATTTCAGGTAGTGTGTCTAGGCGCATTCCGCGGTAACCCAGATCTCTGGCTTGTACGAGGATCGCTTGGACGAGTTTTTCACCCAGGTGTTCTCCGCGTGCTTCCTTGAGAACATACAGACGCTTCATCTCGCACCAGCCATCAGAGCTGCGCCGAAGTGCTACACATCCAAGAACAGAGGGGGACTGGGAGATCATTAAGTTCAGTCCAGCGTTCGTATTATGCTCTCGAATGCCCATATATGCCCGTGCGATCAAGAGAGACCCCCTTTGAGATGGGGCATATTTCCCAGGGAGGGAATCAAGTTCCTCTTGGAATGATTGAAAGGTGAGGTCGATGCCAAGGGATGAGGCATAGCCAGAAAACAATGACAGGATAGAATCAATATCGTCGGGGAATCGCGCTGGCTCTATTTGGATGTTCATGACAGAGAGGAAAATAAAGGGAAAACGAGAGGTTCAAAAGTCAATAGAGATCTTGACTTGTCGTTAACCTCAAGCGCTACCTAGCCCTGGAGGTCCACGGCTAAGCAACACGATGACTCATAATGAAATTGACGGGAGATCGCGGCCTTCTGTTTATAATAGACGTAAATGCGGGAGGGAGCCTTTTATTTTTTAGATAAATTGCAGTAAATTGGTGTCAAAAAAGCATACCTCCCAGTTTATTGACAGATGTCCACTTGTCTCGATTGACATACATGACGAAATATCACCCATTGTACAAAAAACCAAACTTATCAACTCCCAAATCAAAAGGCCTGCATGAATATGTATATCATGTTACTGATAAGTAACAGAGAACTCGCTGTCACTTAGGATTTTAACGTGGGCCTTCACGTTACCATTCTGCTGGATATCCAAAACGGCAACGTTGTTGACACCATACTTCGCACCACCGGCTTCAGCCTGGGCACCAGCAAAGTCGATCTTGCCGAAGTTGGCCAAGGGAACCATGCTGGTACCGGAGTTGAAATCCTCAACTATCCATTCGGCGTTTTGACCAGCGAGAGTAGCGGAGGCCGAGGGTGCAGATAGAGTCTTGGTCACACTCTGGCCGCTCGACTTATTCTCGATGATGGCAACACCCTTGCTGGGCGAATATGATTTCACTTTCGCAACGACAACGTCGCCTGCAGACAATTCCAGGTCAAAGTTCTCCGCACTCAAGGGATACCACTCGTACCAGGCGTCAAATGTCTGTTTGCCATTCTGGATATATGCATCGATGCCAGTCTGCAGAATGGCTTTGGTGTAAGTGTCGCCATCAATACCGACCCAGGCTGACACAGCCTGCATCTCGCCAGACTTATCGGTGGCCGTTGGCTCGGGGACAGTGAACGTTGCAGACACAGCGGTGTAAGTGGCACTGGGGGGTGGCTTCTCGCGCACCACTCCAGCCCAGTTCTTGCTATATTGGACATTGGCTCCCTGGGTTGTTTGCTTGAGCAGAACGCCTTTCTTTTCAGCGGGTAGTGACTGTCGTGATAGAGCGCCACGGGCCTGCAGGCGGTCACTCAGGCCGCTGCGAGGGGCAGCGATAGAGCTGCCGGCTAGTATAGCGGTAGTCAGGATTGTAGTGGTTGTGAACTTCATATTGGCGCTGATGGTGGGGTTGAGCAGATCCTGGAACGGTATAGCTTTAAGGTGGAGCTGTGACCTGACGAGCCTAATATCCTTTAGGCACGGCCTTGATGGTGCTTATATTCTGCATCTCATGTAATTTGCATGCGGCACGATATCACACCAAATCCGCATGGGGAATCGGAGCTCGTGGCGTAGTACCGGTGACCCCAGACACAAGATGAGAGACAGTTATGGACCCACTAAAGAGCAGATATGGAAAGGGAAGAAAAGCAGGTCATTCCCCGGTATGTGAATAGCGATAACTCTTTCATGACGTGCAATTACAATTGTAATTGTGTTGATCTTCTCTCTTTCCCCGGTAATTGCGCATGATCTAGGCCAAAGTTGCATTTCCATTGTCGTCATGACGTTAGACCTGAATCAAATGAGCAGCTCAGCCGATCTTGCGAGTTTCTGTGACAGACACATTCCTGGAGACAGAAACGTCTGACAGCGGAGCCTTGACGGATCAGACGAAGATCGCCAGATCCCGATATCTTGCAAGCCACGAGATTCGACCAACTTGAAGTGACACGCATCTCATTGAAGATTAATAGTGCATATGTTGTTTGCAAGTGTCGATGTTCCCGGGCTGTAGGATTATTCCACATTTGTGGGTTTTGGTGACCACTTGGTACTATTGACCCATTCTCATCTACCGATCTGTGAAACCGAGACTCCTTGTGGGAGACGACATCGCTGATAGAACGAAACAAAAGCCGGTGTGGGAGGAGGTTTTACAGCAAAACTCATGGGAGCGCACTTGTAATGTCACCTGCGTGCGGTTAGTATGCATACCAAGCAAGGGATGACAACGTGTTCACCGTGTTCACATTCCTGAATCTGCCGTGGCGGAGCATCCGGGAACAGTACACCATATTAGCAGTCCTTGACTTGAGCTATTCTTGTGCAGTGGCAGATCAATTTCACAACTCTTGCTGATCTGTACCAGATGGGATGGATATTGAAGGAATCAAATCTCCTGGAAGCCAACATAGCTTCCTTTTCAGACGCAAATAGGAAAATAAGAAGTCGTAAATAAATTCAAATGGACACACAGATACATGACAAAATAAGAAATAGAAGGCTTGATAGTGAAAATCGAGCGAAAAACTTGCGTGGAACTGCAATCCTCGCCTCCGTTTCTCAAAATGAGGTCACATAGGAAGTTGACGCATCTCGGCAAGAGACCAGAACTTGCGCATATTGGCAGCTCCAAGGGTTTGCACTTCTTGGTCCAAATGTGTCCACAGAACCTTGCCAAACCCTTCCATCAACCGCTTCACCTCTTCGCGGCGCATATCTTCCTCGCCGGACCTACACTGCTCAAGATACTTCTCGAGTTTCTCAAGTCCCGCATGAATCTGTCTGTGCTGACTCAATAACTCGAGCTCCTTTCGAAACTCGGGCATCCTTTTCGCCAATACGGGGAAGATATGTTGCTCTTCGATGGAATGATGGAAGTCCAATTGCGAGCAAAATTGAAGGCCCATCATAATCATCTGGCGGGCGGAGAGTGCCCGTTTTCCAGAGCTTTCACATGCCTCCCAAAGCTGATTCCAGGTTAAACGGAAATGGCTATGCTGTATGAGAGTTAGTGGAATGCAAACAAAAGTGGGCGATAGTAACCTTACAAATCCTTCCATTTGCTCCGACATGCGATTATAAGCCCGGAAATCACTCGCGGACAATGGCTGAGCGTCACTCGAGTCCCCGGAAGAAGAAGCCATCTTTTTGGAACCCATTGTATTGAAATTTCGAGGAAGAAAAGTCGGTCGAGGGATAACCAAGAGTAATGGGGGGGAAAGGCGAAAACGCATGAGACGGCACTTGGAAGCAATTTATTGCCGAGAAATAAGATATAAAAGAGAACACTCTGTGCGTAGTGTTGTATATAGTAAATGTAAAGTAATCTAGGGATGTGAAAGCAGAAACTTCTGATTCGATGTTCCCCAGGTCTATTTTTAGTTGGAAAAGTTCAAGGTTGATTTCATTCCCTATAGACATACAAAATTTTACATATACGAGAATATTCCAGATCTTCAATGGATGTTTGCCACCTCGGGCGAACCGTTGGACAAAAATCTAGTACTCACTGGCTAGGGAAATAGTTAAATCTCCATTTCGATATAAGCACTTCTTCGGCGCGACCTCGACCATCAGAGGGTCGGATCGCAATTTGACATCCGTGCTAGAAAGTTGGGTGGGAAATGGCCAAGGTTAGCGTTTGCACAGAAAAGAAAAAGAAAAAAAAGTTATGTTATTATCAATACACATCGGGGGCACCGGGGCCGGGCGAGAAAATAGTAAGACAATATGCCGCCGGGAGGGGGAATCGAAAATATTAGACAGTAAAAGGTCGTAACGCCGTGGATGTGAGAATAATAAGACAATCAAAGCTCCGGGTGCTCAAGCTCCTTCCTGGCCGGCGGCCGGAAGTTGCCGGACGTGAGTTCCTTGAGGGCAAGGTCGAACCGAGCGCCCATCATCCAGGCTGCAAAGATCATGACACTAGCAATAATGACAACGATGATGCCCATGAGAGCCATCATGAAGTAGACATCATTCTTGTTCTCGGCATCTTCTTTCTTCCTTTGTAGCTCAGCCTCAGTGAGCTCACCAGAGACCTTACGGTTGGCAGCCTCGGCGGATTGCGTGGGGAAAATGGTCTCAATGAACTTCTCGATCTGTCCGCAGACAATGCTGATCTTCAGGAAGTTGGGATCCTTGGGGGTATTCTTTTTGTGAATTTTGCGGGTATACAAGCGGAAGGTGTCGCACAGAACCGACAAGTTCTGGGTAGACTTGTGCATGAGTTCACATGCATCTCCCTTGGTGATCTTAATGTTGCGCTTGAAGATGTCGGGGTTGCGGAAACACAACTCCATTGTGGCGATGGCCATGGACTGCGGGATCGCACAGAAGTTAAAAACACTCTGCTCTCGCAGACCGGCCAGGTAGAACAGGCACTCCTCAGCGTGCTCCAAGGCGTTCAGGACCATCTCCGAATTGCAGTTGAGGGCTGCGTCGAGATGCTCGGGCTTGAAGAGATCCTCAAAGTTGTCGACATGCTTGGACCAAATTTCTTGGGGCCAGAATCGTCGGTTATCATCGAAGTCCTCCCGGATATCACGGATGATGTTGGTCTTCTGGAGGAAGAGACCCATGGACTTGTGCAACTTGGGACGCTTCAACAAAGCCGGGTTACCAAACCCGGCCTCGACAAAGAGGCGAGTGAGGCCCTCGCCAACCAGCCCAGCAACATAGTAGCAGTACAGATCATACTCCTCCTTCGTCTTCACACTGGCATCGTCGTTCTCTGCCTTCACGGCATAGTCAGCCATGCCATTACCCATCTTGTCGGTGATGTCCTTGATGATAGCCTGGTATTCAGGCTTCATATTCATAAACTCAGTGATGATGTGGTTGAACTGAACCAGCAGCTCACGGTCCTTCTCCTCCGGTCGATTCCCAGTGAAAGTCCAGCCATCTTGTGTCAGGATATCCTTGAAGTTCCGGAGGAGGGGTTCCTTGGTGGCCAGGGGAATGGAAGTGTCATCCTCGATGGTATCCAGCCCACGAAGAACCAAGTAGAAAACGCAGATGGGGATCAACAGTTCCGGGTGTAACTCCTTGATCACGGCACTAAAGCTGCGGCTGGTCTTGTCCAAAAATTTGAAGCAGGTCTTCTGATTCTCGGTCTCGTTCTTCTCGTTACGCTCGTGGGGCGGATTGTGCCAGACTTTCCTATGCGACGTGTGTGATTAGCTTCGCACGCGGCAGTGGCACAATGTGTTTCAAAAGGGGCAAGGTCGAGTCCAAATTTTCCCGAGTAGGGGGAGCCAAAATTCTTTCAGAGCTGTTTTTTCTCAACAGTTACAGTTCAGACAGGGATAACTAATGGTATCTCATCATAAAGAATAGAGGCGTAAAAATCGACCGAGGGAGTTCAAAAAGGAAGGTGACATTTGTAAATTCCAGGACATACCATTGGAGAATTGATCTCAGCTGCATGGGGTGAAAGGAGTAGTAGAGAGCATTGCCGATGAGACCCATGATGGGGGGAGGCGAAGCCGGGGAGGTTCAAGGAATTATTAAAAGGCACAGCGCAATGTTCATAAAGTGAAGTAGAGTTGAAGCAGGTAGAGAAAGGAATTGAAGCCCGAGAATAAATGAAAACAAAACAACAAAACCTGGGGGAACTTCGGATTGGGGGGTGGAGGGAAAAGGGGAAAAGGCCAGAGCAGATTAAATGCAGAGTTAGCTGGCACGTGACCCGGAACAAACCATGCATACAACCCCACATGATATCAGCGCCAACTTCTGAAAAATATCTCGAGGTTCTGCCTAAACACTGGTTTTTTTTTTTGTTTTCTTCAGACCTTTGACTTTGATAAACTTATATCTTCCCTTGACGCCTCTTCTGTTCTCAAGGCTCGGTCGCTACGATGGTTGCCGATACTGCCTACTACGACGCCCTGGGTGTGCCACCTACGGCCACTGAACTGGAGATCAAGAAGGCCTACCGAAAGCTAGCTATTGTCACTCACCCGGGTATGACCACCTTTGACCTTACGGTTCTTTGTCGATCTTTCTAATGCATTATCACAGATAAGAATCCCGGAGACGAAACCGCACACGAACGCTTCCAGGCGGTATGATTGCGCAACCCCAGGGATGATGCACAATACCCGAGGCTGACATTCTGCTGCTATAGATCGGTGAAGCATACCAAGTCCTGAGCAACGAAGATCTCCGAAAGCGATATGATAAATTTGGAAAGGAGGAGTCGGTGCCTGGTGGTGGTTTCGGTACGTCGATCACATGCGTGCTAATACCCAGCACAACATTTCTGATTTGTCTTGTTCAGAGGACCCGTCCGAATTCTTCAGCATGATCTTCGGTGGCGAGGCCTTTGTTGATCTTATCGGCGAAATTTCCCTTATGAAGGACCTCACCGCGACTATGGACATCACGATGCAGGAAATGGAGGAGGAAGAACTGGCCCAGGCCGCGGAAGAAAAACTCAACATCCACGACGAGGAGGTGAAGGCTGCAGGTGGCGATCCTGCCCCTGCTTACGAACCCCACGATCCCGCGACAGGGGCCGCACCTGCTGCAGCTGCTGCCGCTGCTGCTGGCCCCTCCGAGAAGCCAACCTTCGACCAGAGCTCTGGCGCCAGCACACCTCGACGAAACTTCGGCCAACAAGCCCTTATGGACAAGTCTGAAGAAGAAGCTCGCATGGAGGCAGCCGGTCTGTCTCAGGAAGAGAAGGAGCTGCGCAAGAAAGAGAAGAAGAAGGGTCTGTCCAAGGAGCAGCAGGAACGCCTTACTGCCTTCGAGGATGAACGCAGAAAGGCTCGCGAAGATCGTGTCAACACACTGGCAAACAAGCTGATTGATCGTTTGAGTGTTTGGACTGAGACAGACAAGGGTAAGGATGTGTCCCATGCCTTCGAGGAGAAGATTCGACTTGAGGTCGAGAACTTGAAGATGGAATCTTTCGGTCTGGAAATTCTCCACGCCGTGGGTCAAACCTACGTTCAGAAGGGTACTTCGTTCCTCAAGTCACAGAAGTTCCTAGGTATCTCTGGCTTCTTCTCTCGTTTGAAGGACAAGGGCACCCTTGCGAAGGAGACATGGACTACCATCTCCACAGCCATCGATGCGCAGATGACTATGGAGGAGATGGCTAAGATGGAGGAACGTGGTGGTGAGGACTGGACTGACGAGAAGAAGGCTGAATACGAGAAGAGAGTCACTGGCAAGATTCTCGCTGCGGCGTGGCGTGGCAGCAAGTTTGAGATCCAGAGTGTCCTACGTGATGTCTGTGACCAGATTCTGAACGACAAGCGGACCCGACTTGAGAAACGCGTTGAGCGTGCGCATGCGCTTGTGATCGCTGGTAACATCTATGCAAAGGTATATACACCTCTTTTCCATCCATTGGTATCATGCTAACCACTAGCTTCTAGGCCGCACGCGATCCCGAGGAAGAAGGCGATTACATGGCCTTCGAGCAGCTTATGGCCGAGGCCATGAGCAAAAAGGGCAAGGATGAGAAGGACAAGGACAAGAAGAAGAAGAAGTCCAAGCATGACCATGAGGAGACTCACGGAAAAGAGCCTGTGGCAGAGACCACTGTCTGATTGCCTCATTATCCATCTCATTTTTCCTTTTTTTTTTGGTTTGAGTTCCATCTCGTACCTGGTCTTTCTCGATAGCCGATTCATTATATCCTGGACATACATGTTGGGTTTGCTTTTTACCTTCTCACCTTTTTCTCGGGCTTGACCATTCTGCTTTTTACGGCGACTGACAGTTGCGGGTTGCGACGCGCGCAATTTGTTCGAGCGATAGATTGGACTATATACCTCCCCCTTTGATTAGTCGCAACAGCACGGCAGCGGTTTGATGCGGACTGTATGGACATAGATGCTCTTAATAATCACATGGAAACAAATATTGAAACATATTATTAGTACTGTAGGTGGTATACGAATGGAGAAAACACGCAGATGTGATCCATTCCCGATGAAAGCCATTATTCCTTGCGACGGACACGACCAACGCCACACCGAGAGACCAAAACCAAACTGCGACGATTATGCTGGACTGATCTCATGTGGACCTGGGTGGTGCTCGGTTCCACAGCGTGGGCGAGGGCGAGAGAAAGGCTAAGCGATCGGCTGTTCGGCTGTTCATGAGACCCCTTTAGCGTCACAAGATCACACCTTTCATTGAGCTATAGAATTCGTACTCATCGGCACTTCGTGAGCAGGGCCAGCAGTAGTCTGTTGTGCGCCAACTCCGTTCTCCTTCCTGAGTGACTGGTACCCAGCCCAGTCAGACACCAACACACCACACATGGCAAGAATGGTGAATACGACGAGGGCAACAAAGAGTAACCTAGATATATAAGTTGAGCGTCAGGTTGGTTTCTTGTACTGCATGTGAATGGACTGGAGTTTATCCGAGGAACTTACCAAAGGAGCACACCAAAGGCAAGTACGGCATTGTAGTAGGGATTTGTACTAGTGCCGCCACCAAGGAGACTGGCGAGGTCAGCAAAGCATGCCAGCCAGAATACCATAGTGACGAAGTAAATGGCCACAAAGGCAGCGGCGAGGACAGTGTTGAGCTTTGCGCTCACGAAGCCCTTACGGGTATAGTACCAGGGCAGCACTAGGGCGGCGACTGTTACCAGGATAGTCCAAACCGAAGAGAAGACCAGGAAGACGAGGATAGCCGGAGGTTTCACATTGACTTGACCGTATGAATAGCCCGAATATGCACTCCAGGTTGCGATTTCTTGCGTGCCAGAATATGCGGCCGCAATGAAAGCCGAGAGACCCAGCTCGATGATTGCAAAGACTAGGGAGGTGCCTAATAAGGCATACAAGACAATACTGAGGGCCAACATAGTGAAGTCAATATAGCTAGTATATAGCTACTTTGGAAGTCTGTGTAGGTGCAAGATGAAAATAAAGAAACAAAAACCGATTGAATCTTCCTCAAGGGGCAGAATCCCTTGATTTATTTCTTTCACATGCGGCTCATGAGCTCGTAATCAGAAACTATAATGAGCCTTATTTGGAGCTGGTCCAGTTGATATGCAGATCAATGCCAAGAAGTGTAGACTTCAATGACTCGTGTCGGATACGAGCAGCCGCATCGACATGGCGTCTACGCTGACCCTAATTGGTACAAGGTAAGCGAGTGGGTGTTTCGGGGGGGTATCATATAGGGTTGAAGTCTTCTTGACCTCAAAGCCCGAGTGTTGGCAAAAGGTCGTCATGTGCCGAGATGTGATGTGTTTTTCCTGTCACCCTTTCTTTCATGCATCACAAGGTTTATACGAATCGAAAGCCTATTTAATGAGCACAGCCTGTTGGCCTGTTTTTTGGGGGGGGGTTTCCCTTGAAAATCTCCGTATAACATATATTTCTCTTGTGCCAGTGATGTGGCTTATAGGGCTTTGTACTTCATGTTAATGTCAGCAGGGAATAAGAAGCGGTGTCAATATTGCAAGCAGCACCGAATAAGAAACAGAACTAAAGGAGAGAGTTATGAGAGAATAAGGAGAGATACAGAGAAAATGGAGAAAGAGAAGGGAGCCCTGGAGAAAGTACGAGTCTCTGCTTCCCAAACTAAAGGCCTGATAATACAGGCATCAACTTCAGGCATCATTTCACGTGATCCACAGCTAAGCCTTTTCCCCAGGGCCTTGGCTGTGATATCAGGAGCTTCGGAGCTTCGGAGATCACCGCTCAAGAGCTTATCTTGAGAAAATACAACCATTCTATATTAATTAAATCAAGTCTAAGGTCACATCGCGCCGGATTTAAACGGCAAAGCCGGCGGAAAAGACTGTATAGAGCATTTCCACACCAAAGGATTTGGTCGATCCTCGTTCCCCCTCACAGCTGTAATAATATGTATATAAAAGTCGGCAATTCATCTTTTGTTTTTTTTCAGTTCATCTAGTGAAAAACAATAAACATCGGTATGGCGTCTCTACAATCTGCCGTCGTCCTGTTGGCCATTGTGGGCAGCACTGCTGCAATGGTCTCAAGCACCTCCTCGGCCGAGCCTGGTCCCACCGGTCTTTCGTATCCGTCCGGGTTTGATATGAAAACAAGCTGGGCCAACCTCAGTCCCTATGCCGATGCATTGGATTTCAATGTCTCTAAAGGTTTTCCATTAGAGTGTGAACTGTCACAGGTGCATGTGCTACACCGTCATGCCCAGCGGTATCCGACACAATGGTTGCTCGATGGGGAAGGCTTGGAAAACTTCGCCCAGAAACTGGCCAACTACTCCAAGAAACATCCACACAAGAAGATCGGCTCTGGAGCTCTGGATTTCTTGAATGATTGGGAGTACATGCTGGGTTCAAACACTCTACTCCCCACTGGTGCCGCCACCGAAGCCAGTTCCGGCGCCCAATTCTGGAGCCAGTACGGCCGATTGCTCTATCACGCAGGAAGTGGTGATGCGGCTTGGAATGCATCGTTGAATGTGTATCCCAATGGCACTGCGCGTCCAAAGCCGACTTTCCGTTCGACCTCATACCCCCGGATTTTGGAGAGTGCTCGCTGGTGGCTGGGTGGCTTCTTTGGAAACACAGGAGCCAACAACTCATACTCGGAGTATGATCTGACAATAATCCCCGAGGTCAAAGATTTCAACAACACTCTGTCGTCAACCAGTGCCTGTCTCAATGGCTTGGAACCGGGTGACAATGCTGCCCCTATATTTGCTTCGTCTCTTGTTAAAAATGTCCAGAAGCGCCTTGCTGCACACCTGCCCAAGGATCTGAAGCTTGACGCTGCCGACATTATGGCGATGTTCAATATGTGCCCCTATGAGTATGCGAGTCTGGGCCAATCATCTTTCTGTGCGCTCTTCACTGAGCAGGAGTGGCGCGACTATGAATACTACGTCGATCTCCAATTTTACGGTAGCTTCGGGTTTGGCTCCCCCAGTGGCCGCGCTCAAGGAATTGGCTATGTCCAGGAACTGGCAGCACGATTGCAGTCCAAGCTCATCATGAGCAGTGACAGCAGCATCAACTACACATACGATGATAACACTAAGTCTTTCCCGCTCGACCAGCCACTGTATATGGACATGTCGCACGACGATGTTATCGTGTCCGCACTGGCTGCTTTGGGTCTGGATTATTTCAAGTACGGTCCCCATGGCTTGCCTGTCTCGGTTGAGCATGCCCCGCGCCGCACCTTCAACATCAACCAGATGACCCCCTTTGGCGCTCGTCTATACTCTGAGATTTGGACCTGCCCCAAGGATGTCTCGTTCAAACATCTCCAAGTACAGAAGTACAAGAACCCGGATCTGTCCTCCAAGTCCCATACTACTGATTACATCCGATTTGTCCTGAACAATGCGCCCGTGCCTCTAGATGGTCTCAAGGTCTGTGATGGTTCTGTGAATGGATTCTGCAAGGTCAAAAAGTTCCTTAGCGCTATTCCCGATCTGAACAAGGAGGCCATGTACCAGGAAGCTTGCTTTGGCGACTACAACATAACCAGCCAAGTTGGCAATGGACAGCCGAGAAAGCCTTGATGTTCAAGATACGGGCTCTCATCTTAGTGATGCAGATTAATGTACATAGACTCTGCTAGATTTAATGTATCTTTTAGACATTAGTAATCTACATTGGGGTTATTCTTCTCACGAGGGGACAAAGGATATATGTCGTACGATGTCGGTTCTAATTCATCCGACCAAGATACTATGTCGATCAGGCTGATGTCGATCTAATTGGATCTTAAATGTCCAAACTCCGAATCATTCGGAGTTGATTGCAAACCTCGGTATACTAGAATCACACGACTCCGGTCTTTTGATCTCTTAGTGAAATATAACTCAACAGTGTTTGATCTACATTTTACTTGGCACAGTATCCCATATAACACACACATATACACAAATTTATGCATTTCCGTGGGATTTCCCCGCAAGATCGCCCATACTCCTCGGTCCGCTCATTTTTAACATGAGATCTACATACTTCACTTGATATTCATTGTCATGGAGGCTATATCTTGATAGAAGAATGAATATAAGATCGATTTTGGTGACTGAATTTCAGTAAATACTATTTTTATTTAAAGATCTCCCCAAATCTATACAGAGTTATTCCCATCGCCTTGCTAAAGAGATGGCATCACTCCAGATATCTAGTATCAAGGATGTCCCCCTATTTCACTCTTTGTTACAAGTCTCGCTCTATCAGCAGATACTATGTGGGCTACTAGGGCTAGCAACATATCTCGCGTTGATATCTTCACTTCGTTTCCAACGACGACAGACCATCCACAAGAAATATAGTTACTATGGAACGAGACAGGCTATGCGCAGCATGACCGATCAAGATGCCTGGGCAATTCAAAAGACAATCATGCAAACCGAGTTTCCATTTATTGTGCTCAAGTCCCTGCAGTTTGCCCTTTTCCGTGTATGCAAAGCTCCTCCTGAGTATATGACTCGAAACTAACATGGGACAGACATATGGCATTCCAACGATATCTACCCTTCTCCTGAAGACATCTCAATTATCAGACTCTACAACCTCATTCAAACGATATGCCGACACGGGCACACTGATCGGCGAATTCATGGCCTTCGACCCACGTTCCGAGCGAGCGCAGACAGCAATAGCCCGAACCAACTTCCTACACAAGGGCTATCGAGCGAGCGGCAAGATCCTCGAAGCCGACATGCTATACACACTCAGCCTGTTCGCCCTCGAGCCAATCCGGTTCGTGAAACAATTCGAGTGGCGCGAGATGACTGAAATGGAACGTTGCGCTGTGGGGACATACTGGAAGAGTCTTGGTGATGCGCTGGGGATCAGTTATGGCCCTTTGCCTTCTGGAAAGACTGGCTTCCAAGATGGGATTCACTGGTTGGAGGAGATCGGTGCATGGAGCGGGCAGTACGAAGCCCAGCACATGAAGCCACACCCTCGCAACAAGGAGATTGCGGAAAAGACCATCGATGTGCTAGTGTATAATTTGCCCAACTTCTTAAAGCCGTTGGGCGGATACTTCGTGTCGTATCTGATGGGAGATCGATTGCGAACCGCAATGATGTATGTCTCCTGCCGCATCAACCACCTCACAAAGAGTCTAATCAGTATCATTTTCTAGGATGGAAGAGCCACCAGCATTGTTCAGCGGCATACTCGCCTTGATATTCAAGCTCCGTAAACTATACCTGCGATACTTATCCCTCCCACGCCCCAACTTCATGCGCTTAGATGTTTTCACCGATAAACCGAACAAACATGGCCGCAACTGGGTGCTGGTATACGATGGAGCTCCGTTCTACGTGCAGCCCACGATCTGGAACCGCTGGGGCCCCATGGCGTGGTTCAGGTGGGCACTCGGACAACCTTTGCCTGGCGATGACGGCGATAAGTATTACCCACAGGGTTATCAAACCCCTGATCTGGGACCGAAGTATTTTGAGGGCAAGGGGTACAAGGAAATGGAGGGGTTCAAGAAGACTCTTCGTCAGCAGCGGATGGGACAGTGTCCATTTCCATGAAGTAGATTGGGGTGAGCCATGTTGATGTTGACCATGATATAATGATATTTGCGCTTTCCAAGTTGCAGACTGTGAGAGTAACCCACAGTTAATTCTGGTTCGTTTCTAGATGAGTCGAGAAATGAGACAACGAAGAACACAACATTAAGCCAACATAATCAGAAGTCTAGCATAATCAAGCGTTCAAGTCAATTAGTGCCCATGTAAACAGAATATAAACACAAGACAATAAGCGCACGGGTATCTTTCAAAATAGCCAGGAAAAAGCATTCGAGATGGATGACATGATCGGGTATAGAGGTCTATCATTGACCGTTCTGTCTGGTGAAAATTGTGAGCATAAAAGAAAGGTATAATAATGCCAAGAGTCTCATAGTACAAGTCGCTAAGCCCAAAAGAGTGAAAGAATAGCCTATATCAAACGAAAAAATGAAAGGACGAATTCAGAATGAAAGGCATCAAAAAGGGGTATTGTGCAAATGTATGAGCAAGAAAAAAAAATTGGATCGTCCCGCCGGGAGACGAGGGCAAGAAATGGGATCATGGACTCGGATCAGCAGAAATAGATGGCGTAGAAGATATTGTTCCAATAGATGGCGATTCAACAAACACCTCGGAGGACAGCACAGGAGAAAAGACAGCTTTGTATTCGGTTGAGGGGTATTCGGTTGAAGGGCTCAAAAGACCCCGGCCGCTCTCACCAATTTCGCCCAACTCTTCAGGCGCTAGGACTCGGCCACCCAGTTCAATGTCTTGAATGTGGACATTGTACTCAAGGGCCCGCTGTCCTTCCTTGATGAGTTCTTCGGTCCATCCGAGACAGCGCTTGAGGCTTTGGTTCATCCTCTGGCTGTCCACCAGGACCTCCTGGTGTCGCGCCAAGTCAAGCATGACGCGTTTCTCATCATTGACACGGTGCTTGGCATCATGCTCGGCCAGCGAGCCCGGACTCATGATACTTTCGTCCACAATTGAATCATCATCGGTGATGTCAGACATATCATCTGGGGATCGATTGGAAATCTCGCTTTCGCCCTCATCCAGCTCACTAGTTACTGATAGTGCCCCGGAGAATGAACGGGTGGAAGGTGCCATTGATATCCGTCCCGAGCGGCTTAGTCGCCGGAACCGCCGAAGTTCTGCCTTTTGTTGCCGCATTTCGCGCTCCAGCGTACGATTGATGGCTAGTAGTGAAGAGTTGCTAATTTCCAAGTCCATGATCTTGCGCTCGGTACGCGCATTGAGAGCTGCCTCGCTCGGACCTTCGGATTTCCCGGGACTGAGCGGTACAGGAGGGTATGTATCAGTTGAGACGGTTGATCCATTGCTGAAGATGCGAGGGCGAAGGGTGGGGATCTGCTCCGACATCACGGGCGTTGCCCCTTCACGAAAATGGGTCCCGGATACGATGATCGGGCTTGCTCGCAAGCCATCTTGTGGATGATGGCTATGGCGGCTGTCCACACTTGAGGACTTGGTATGTCGGATCGGTGTCGGTCGTGTTTTCTCGCCGATTGTGCTAGACGACGGCGAGCCAAAACGCGGGATAATTCCCAGTCCATTATCAGAGCTGGCGATGTATGGTAACCTGGAATCTTCCGAAGGGTGTGAAGCGTCTGAAATCCCGGGAGAACTCAAGCGCGAGGTGGAAGATGCTGGTTTACTGGCGGGCAGGGGGCGGGGAAGACCACCCGATCGACGTTTGGCAGAAGTGGATGTAACATTCGATTGTTCCCCTAGCGATTTTCGCTCCTCGTCTCCGTTCGCATATATAAAGCTCGAAGCTGGGGAGGTCTTCCCCTGGGGTCTCGGGCGAGGGGCATCTGGCGGCTCCGAGGGATGTGAGGATCGTGCATCGGACGCATGAAAGAACAGTGGAGTTCCCGATGTCATATCTGAAAAAGAATTCGGGCGTGATATAGGCTGGTTCTCTGCCGTCAGGGTCTTCGCCCTTAGACTTCGGGGTTGTTCCGGCTTGACCCCGCGAGCCGGGCTGCGGTCTCGACGGCCATAACCGATTGTTGACTGAGAGTAAGGTATATGTGGGGAGGGAGAAGGGGCAGGTGATATATTTGTGGGGGAGTAAACAGCGCCATCTCGCCGGGTGGTTCGAGGACCAGATCGTGGAGTGACATTGGCGCTTAGAAAGGTCGGGACCGCGGGGGAGTCGTCTTTGGAGGGGGTGGAATAGTCTGCGAGGCGACGAGGGAATCCTGGACCTGGACTTGGACTTGCAAGCTTTGGTGTCAGGGGAGCCTTGTTACTCCTATGAAATGCAGCGCTGAGGGTGGGTGTAAACGGTTTGGCTAGACTGCCATTGTTTTGTTTATCGTAGGTCATAGTTGCGGGGGGTGCAGGTTATGGCATTGCATGCCACGGGACATGAGCATGGTGGCACCACAAAGAATCTGTCCTTTTTCCGTTTCAACAGAGAATTTGTGGCCTGATGGAAAGGGAAATTCAGGAAAGTCGAGAAAGTTGAAGTGACGAAAACAATGACACCCGATTGGGTTTAGGGCGCCGCTTCACCGCAACGTGGAATTCCTTACTTCAAGGGTCGAACTATTGATATTGATATGATTCAAGAGAATTTGGTCTTTATTATGAGAATTGATTCTACAAGACAATTGGCATGTCGTTGCCAATATATGCCCATACGGAAATCCCCCACCAAAAAAAAACAAGTATCCATACTTGCCCCTAGAAATCCCGCTTATATCCCGAATCTGGCGGCTGTCAAGTGGAGACTTGAAACACGGTGAGCCAGCAATAAGAATAATTGTTGTATTTCACACTAAGCCTGAGCCTGTGAGGAGAATAGGCTCGGTGTCGTTCTATTGGGAATGGGATTCCATGCCATGAGGGGGGTATTTCAGTGGGTTCAGACCTCGACGTTGACGCTGGATCGACAAAGACATCTGGGGGGAAACAAAGTCATTGAAAAAAAAGACGCCTCTGTTTTGGGTCCATTTCAGGAATATCAGCCTGCGATGGCATCTTCCTTTTTCTGGAATTGTGGGGTATCAAGGATGTTTCTTCGGTGTCCTGCGCCACTTCGCGGATTGTCTGTCTAGAGAGACAGAAGTCCACATGCTCGTTGAATGTGCGATCATCCGCAACCTGTGGCCGTGTACATATGGGGCAATCCCACATCGGGGGTGTTTCAACCACCTCTGGGGCCGCAGAGCTCTCTGGCTCACGGGAAACAGAACCGTCGGGTATTTCTTGACTCAGCTGCTCGAGATCATTCATCTCATCCTGAATTTCCTGCCGAGCGGCTGCCTCGAAAGCCTCCTCGGCACAAATCTCGTGATCTGCATTTATACCAGAGGCCGATATAGGGGGCTCCGAAGCAGGTGCAGTGGTAGATTTTGGTTGTGTCGCTATGCCGAAAAAGTTAAGCCCAACCTTCTGAGTGCTGACTAGATTTGAGCAGCGAAGACCGAGAAGCCGTAGCTTTATGTTCGGAATATCCTTCTCAAGCTTGGCTAGCATGGGCAAAGCAAAGGAATACAAGTCTTTTGCCAGGGAGACGGGACGAGATGGAGCTGTCTGGCGCGTGAGCACTTCGAAGGTATGCAGTTTGACTTTCAAGGCAAGCGTGCGGCCTTTGAACTGAGTTCGCGCCAGATCCTTTTCGAGCTCCTGCGCAGCCCACCAGAGCTTCGCTCGAAGTTCCTCTTTGTCTCCGATGTCATGAAACGTAGTCTCTGTACTGACGCTTTTACGTTCGTGGGTCTCGACGGGTTCAATTTTGGTCCGCCCAAGACCGAGGTAGCACTGAGCAAGGAATTGGAAAGCCTTCTCACCAAATAGCTTGGTCAATAACGCACGATGTGGGAAGATATCACCACAATTTTTGACGCCTATTGATTCCAGCTCTCGCTCGAATACTCGGCCAATGCCATTGACTTTGCGAACCGAGAGGTCACGCATGAATTCCATGATTGCGTCGCGTTCATTGGGCACTTGAAATTGCCCATTGGGCTTGTTGAGATTGGAGGCAATCTTTGCGATCTTCGCATTCGCACCAATTCCGGCTGAAACAGACACCTTGGTAGTTTCCAAGATCTCTGCACGCATCCGCTGAACAACCTCATCAGGTGGCAAGTTATTTTCATCGCAGTATGGTGTGATATTCAAATAGGCTTCGTCTATACTCGCACTCTCGAAAAGAGGGTCGTATTCGGCCAGGATAGTGCGGATTTCCTTGGCCTTGGAGGTATATTTGTCGTAGTTCTGCGGCAAAAGAACCAGCTGTGGGCAGAGCTTTTTCGCGACAAACGAGGCCATCCCACTTCTGACTCCAAACTTCCTCGCCAGATAATTGCAGGTTGTCAAGACTCCTTTGCCTACCGCCATAGGCACTGTCTTCAACTCTGGCCGGTCCAGCTCCTCGACGGCGGCAAAGAACGCATCACAATCCACGTGAATGACATATTGAGAAAGATCGCGGCTTATTTCTAGTTCAGCAAGGTATTCATCGGCACGTCGTAGCTCACTGCTCAAGTCTAGACGATCTAGCCGTGCCTTTTCTTTTAAAATTCGTTCGATTTTCAGTGTCAGGTTCCGATCCCGATCCTGTTCATGATTGAAGAACTTAGATCCCTTGGAGGCATTGTAGATAATCTCTGATACCTAGAAACTTTCAGCTATAGCTCAATATACATACAATCATCAAGCGCACCTTTTGCTGATCGACCGAGTCTTGGCCCGCTTTGGTTAAAGAGGGCCCGAGTAGCTGGTATTTCAGAGTGCCAAAATCTTCATCAGGAGCTGGCTCCTGTGGATTACTGGCAGGATTATCCCCTGAGGACTCCATGTTTTTGGGCGTCCCATTGATGGATTGACAAGGTGAGAGCGCGAAATCCCATTTGACGCGGAGTCACGTGGACACGCGTTTCAATTTGAGCTACGTAGCCCAACGAACAATAATCCCCCAGTATGCGGACTCATCGTCATGTGGATTCTCGATTCGACCGGTGACTTTCTAGAAAGTGGGTTATTTGATCGATAAAAAGTTGGAGCGGTTGCTAAAAAAATCCTCATAGGGAAGCGCGTATGGCTGCGCCCTGGAAAGAAGTATTTATTTGGTCGATTCTATCGAGATGGAGGTATGGCCCACTTCCTTCAGTTGAATGATTATACACTTTGACTGACCTCTTGTTGATAGTCCGCCATGCTGTCAACCACAATTCGATATCCCGCAAGCATATGACCATTGAAATCTCACCGGTCAACCCGAGAGATGGTGTACGGTTGACCCCCCCCCCCGCGGTGGTATACTTTCTCTAGCTAATCCCAGTCCAGTTATCACCACGAGCGCGATCGAATATCATTATAACCGATTTGGACTCGAAGAAAGGAACTGTCGTTGACGAAAGAAGAATCCAAGGAGAATGCAAGTTGGAGAAGAGCGATGAGCATGTCATCCAGCTCGCAAAATACCAGCATGCGCTCCGGTGCGTATGTCTGCTTTTAATAGGCTTGAATTCCCAGCTGATGATTTTGATAGGATCAAATGGGAGCCCGTGGTTCTAACCTTGTCAGCCTCATCCAAGGCGGTGCGAGGTGAGGATCCTCTTTCCCACGTTCGCTCACGTTTAGAAGACCTCGACATCAAGACCGTCATGGATTATATCGTTGATCACACAACACATGTGGTACAGCGTAAACGGAATACAGCCAAGGGTCTTCAGGCACTCGTCAACGGAAAGTACATAGTAGATGATTCATATATCGATGCACTCGTCTACGCAGCTACCCCCGGTGATCTCGAGAACGTCGAGTCACTCTGTCCGCTCGAAACCGACTTCGAATTGGCCTGGCCCGATCCAACCAAACACCTCCCGCCTCCTGGGAAAGAGCCAACTCAGCGTCCTGCCGCTGCTTTCGCTCCGAATTCCGCACGTCTTAATGTCTTTGAGGGTTATACGTTTATCTTCGGTGATTCAGCCCAGTTTGAAAACCTGCAAGGCCCAATCAACAATGGCCAGGGAAAGGCGCTTTTCTACGAAATTGAAGATGAGGTCACAACTGCCGCAGATATCGTTCGGTTCATGAAAAAGGCTGCAGGACGGAAAGGCGTGGGCAGTGAGCGACACGGCCCCGGTGGTGTCGTTCTTGTTCGCTTTCGGTCAAAAGGAGATCTCGAGCAATGGTCTATTGACATCGGTAATGAAGTGGCTCTAATGACGGACCAGCGTGTGATAGAGCAACGGGAGTTCCTTGACGCGATTCTGGGAAATGATGCATCACCCCTCTGCCGTGCCTTGCCTACGGAGGAGAGCTCTAGTCAGATCTCCGCATCTACACCAGCTGTCGAAGCTGAACAAACAAGCCAAGCCATCGCTATTGTGTCCCAATCGGTATCGCCGCCTGTTCCTGAGCCTAGCCAGCCCTCGAAATCCCAGGCGAAGAATCCCCGTGTGCGTGCATACATTAGTAAAATGAAAACCTTCGATGACGGATTCGACATGGAATCTGTCCCAGTGTATGCGCCTGAAGAAGAGGACAGCACCAATATCAACTCCACTCAGACCATGGACGTTGAAACTCAAGCGCCCTCCCAAGCAACGCAGCCCTTGGATATAGTAAAGGAAGAACCAGAGGAGGATCTGGTCGCTGATCTTCTCCCGGGCGCCCGTGCAATGAAGCGTCGTCGTGCGGAAATGACTCGCTACCACCCAGAGAGTGAGGATGTAATCGCCAACTCCGAGGCCCCAAAACGCAAGCGGCCTAAACTCGACGTGCTCGAAGCCGCACGGAAGCACCGGGAAGATGAAGAACAACAACGCAAGGAAGACTCACACCCAGCCGACATGGGCGATGTGGATGTGGACCAATTGAAGAACCTCGCCATCGTGGAAGAAATGGACATTCCCATCCGTAACGCACCCATGCGCGAGGATGAAAGCTCGGATCGATGGGACAATCAATGGAATGGGCGCAAAAATTTCAAGAAATTCCGGCGAAAGGGCGAGCCGCGTAGTCGAGCTCGCATCCAGACGGTGATCGTTCCCCTAGAAGAAGTGACTCGCAAAGACTATGGAATCGGCGATCACTATTGGGGCAGCAATTCTGCTGAGACGAACTCTCGAATCGAGGTTGAAGGTGCAGACTCTGAGGACCATCGTGATGAAGTTGCTCCACGCTCCGAGCCGTCAGTGACTGCACGCATCTCACCTGAACCAACTCCAGACCCAACTCCGGCTCGGCGTGCGAAGAGGCCTCGTGAGGAACGCGATTCGGATAGCGATGATGGACTTCGTTTCCGTTTCAGGCGTAAGCGCTAGTCTACAGCTTTTTTCTTCTCTTTGCAATGGTTTTGTAGCGTCTATTCTGCATTGATACCCTCAATCCCACTCATCTTGCTAATCTGTGTGTTCTCTATGTCTGTAAACAAATAATTTCCGAGTTAAATGACAATACCTATGGATTATCTTTGTCGTGTTTCTCATTGCCTAGGCGATGGTATCTCTCTATAATGGAGTCGAGAGAATCATGACGGTTCAAACACACGATCTATATCGCATGCACATGTGATATAGTTATGAATCAATAAGAAACATGTACAATGCAAGCTCCGATCTATTCTGGTCATGTTCATGTTCTTTTATTGGTCGTGATACTAGTTCTCGTTCTTGATAGCCCCAATATCAAGTATCCCTACAGTAAAACTCCGTGTCGCGCAACGTCTATCCTCTTTACTCTTAACCACCTCCCCCCATATATCGTCACTTTCCTCTCTGTACTTTGCATTGCTTTTCTTTCTTTAGTAGGCTCTTTCTTTCTTGTCATCTTCTCATCTCTTTAAGTCTCCGGGCTTATCTCTCTTCCCGCCAATCCCCTTCCAACCCGTCTCATCAAGCTGCCCGACGGCCTGATCGGCGAGTCACTCCCTTTCTGTAATTTGTCTTCTTATTTTCGTGCATGTGATCCACTGAGAAACTCCGTCTGTAGCAAGGCCGAACATCAGGCCGGTGTGGGTTTGATATCACCGGTTAACCACAGCTGGTGAGTACAATGTATATGCATAGCGACATGGCCTGTTTGCTCACTGACGTATGCCACATTATAGCTATTATCAGTTTCTCAGTTGAAGAAGAGCAAGTCACATCAATGACCTCTAGCCCTTCTGATCATATCTCGTCTTCACCCCTACCACCCCTCATGATATCCGCAGTTCCCCCTCCCCGGCCGGTGTCGGTCAGTCCGCCAGCCAGTGGATCCGTTACAGTTCCTGCAAGCACAGGGGAATCCAACGGCAGTGCAGATAATCTCTGCCGGGGTAGCTATAAAAATCGCACCTCCAGCCCTATCACCAGTCAGGATCAATCTCATATCCCCGCAAAAGTCCCAACATCGACAATCTCAGCCCCGGCCCAGTCTGGAATCAAATTTGTGAACCTCCCAGTTGAGATCCATGAGATTATTCTGGATCAAATCTTTGGCAAAAGAGCCTCAGCTGGTAACCATGCAGCATATGGTAAATCTTCTACTCAGAAATGGACCAAGGCTCTCCATCATCCACGCCGGAAGGCCCTTTCCAACTTAGCCTTGACTTGCCGAGTGTGGACTGGACTTGTTCAAAGCCGAATATACCGCCATAGTGAGTTCCATCTGACTGTAGATCTGAATCTCAAAGGGATTATACTGATAACTGACTGCTTATCTAGTCAGAATTAAGGGCAGCCTAGATGAATTGACCAACTGTGCGCGGTGGTTCAAGAAAAACCGACATTTGATTTCGTATGTCTGTCACATTGAAGTTTGGGTGCCTATCTGGGGAGATCGGGCTCTTTGGCCTAACATTCCTCGGTCAAATGTGGAGCAATATGCCGCTCAGGCAGCTGCAGGGCGTGTTGTACCCATGCAGTGGAATCATGATCATCATCGGGCAGAAGACCACTTTTATTATCACCGTGCAACCAACAACGCTTCCTTGGAGGATATTTTCGGGCTTGTTCGGCGGTTTTTCCCCGCTGCCCGAGTTCTCACCCTGGAGGGAGGCCACTGCAGGAACTCACCTATGATCCGACATTTCCGCCCCGCTCACAGCATGTACAGGCAGGGTCTCACCCCCCAGCGCCTTCCAGTTCTTGAACACATACAGGCATTTGTCATGCGAGGTGCCTGGAACCTGATGCGACAACTCGACGACTGGCACAACATCGAACGGGCATTGCCAGCCTTGAGTGAATGGCATTTTGCCTGGGCTCAACCACATCTGAATGCCTACTTAATCATGATACACATCCTGACCTACCCTCCAGTTCAAATCCGACATATCAATCTCAGCCTGGAGGGGTTTCACAACAACCATGATAGTTTGCTAGCTGGGCTTACTGGGCCTCGAAACTCCCTTCCCCCGATCTGCAGTCTGCTTGGAGATACAGCTCCACGTTTAGAATCATTTACCTACACCGGTCGAGTGTGTTGGTACTTCTTTGAGGCATTGAAACAACGCGCAACGACAATGGATTCTCGTTCTCCGCTCAGGTCGATGGATATTGTAGTCAAGGCATGCTGTCACAACCAGCAGGTGGACAGATCGAATTACTGGTCGCAGATGAGCCAGGGAATAGGTGGAATTACCAGCATGGGGTTCATTCGCGCATTCGAGGCAATGGTGATCAAGGCAATCGAGTGTCTATCGGTACTCCCTGCCCTAGAGTACTTGCGGATCCGTTTCATTGACCTCGACTCAAGCTGTCCGCCTCTGAACCCTTATTTCCAACTTCTGAACAACGAGTGCACAGGCCTGTGGAGTGATGACATCCTGGAAGCTTTGCACATGAACCGGCCATCGGCCTCATTTGTCGAGCTTACAGATGGAATATATGCAGAGTACGATGATCAGCAAATTGTTGGCGCCTTGATGCCCCGAGTCCGCCCCCTAGGTATTCAAGCTAGCATGTACAGCCTCATTGCCGATAACTCCAACCCTTACTAAACCCACAGCTTGCCTTGATCTTCTCTAAGCATTTCGACCTGTTTTTTATCGTTTCCTCTCGTCATTCAGCATAATACCCCATCTTCACTTCTGTCATCTCAGCGATTTTCTTATTCAGCATCCAAAATTCGCCCTTTTCTTTGTGATATCACATCGGTGGATATCATTCTAAGAGATATATGGGCTCTTATGTGCCGTTCGGCGCATGATCTCACTCGTGCTTCTCTATTTCATTTTCTTCCTGTTAATGTGCCAGAGTGCGCAATTGCCTGAGGGCTGCGAATTTCTCCGAATCAGAGAAATGAACCCTAAAATGTTCTCTGTGCATACTTTCTTGTCGCACTGCTTTTCTGTTTTCAACTTATCATTTCCAAGTTGCGGTTTGAGTACAAAAGCATCATCGCCATGCGATGTCGCGCTTTGATCGGAGTAGTTAATCGGCGAATCGGAGGAATCGGAGGATCATGTTCTTGTGTTTTCGCCGGTTGGCTTGGTTCCCTGGGCCTATCGGGCATGTCTGATGGGTTTGTTTGTATGTATTGTATGTAGTTCAATGTCGTCCTGATCAATCATTATTGATTTTATCGTAGCCATGCATACATCTCTATTAAATACATCATTTTAATGCAACTGTGATCTCACCAGCACCCTCCCCTCCATCCCGAACGATGATACCCAGGATCCAGACGTTCACAGCGAAGAAGAAAATTCCTGCGAGGAACAGCCCAGGTACAAATGACGGCAGTCCCAGGAATTCGAGGTTGTAACCTTGGTGCAGCCAAAGGGCCTATATGGTTTGTCAGTGTTAGAGTTTCAAGTGAGGATTGTGGCACCAGAGGATTAGTAAACAATACATACCTGTCCAGCAATCCACAGTATCGCTGCCGATACGCCCATAGTCGGCTTTCGGATGAGCGAGGAAGAGGGTAGGTAAAACGGAAGCAGGATGAGGTACCAGAGGAAGTACTAGATAGGTCAGCTAACAGTATGACCATTTTCGGGCAAAATCACATACCTGACTAGTACAGACTTTGTTGAAAGTGACGAAGGTAAAAGTCTGCGCGAGCATCGCAGTAGTCAAGCTCTTCTTTGCCAGAACGAGAGGCAAAGCAACAACCACAAGTATTAACTGCGGGAGGAAAGCCAGTGCCTCAAAGCGAGTTTCGGCCCCACCGGCAGCAGATAGATAGAGCAGTGTACTATAAGGAGAGAAATTATGGCGGTGGTCGATGCGCGTAAGATGGTGGAAGAATGTGTGATGGAGGAATGGTTGGCCGTACTGGAGGTACATGACAAGATTCAACGCCACGAAGCTGCCCAGTGCTGCGACAGTAAACTTCACCCGGGACGGGGTAATGAATCCCACAACCTTTGAGAGCAGCCCTGAGCCGGTCGTTGCAGACCCATCGCGCTCGGCATCCCACCACCAGAGAATGGAAACACCATAGATGAACGGATAAATTTTGAAATGGACAGCAAGACCCAGGATAAGCCCGGCAAGAATAGGCTTCTTCGTCAAAGTTGCCCACAGAAGCGCCGCAACAAGCACACCGAGCAGTCCTTCCGAACTACCACGGGTACTGATATTGGCAACCATGGGATTCCACAGCCAAACAGCGGCAACATATCGCAGAGCGCGCTCAACAGGAAAGTGGTAGCAACGGACCAGCAGCTGGACAACGAGCCATCCAGCAAGAACATCAGACAGTGCAAAAAGCGCCTTTCCAAAGGCGAAAGTTAGTGTTGACCAAGGCGCGGCACCCTCCCACGCAGTGGGGAGAAGCATCCACGCCAAGAGCGGCGTGTAGCGGTAGGTATCACGAGCATAGGGCGATTCGCCCTTTGAAACGTAGCGCGCAGCATCAGTGAACACCATGTAGTCGATATCGGTGTATTTCACAGCAGAGTGTGCATCCTGCCAGCCTCCATAGACGAGGAGGATGAGGCGGAGGGCTGTTGCTGCGAGGAAGACTCGCGCTGGAGAGTTGAAGAGAGCCATTCTCTTATCGTAGACTTTTTTTTCCTTTCTTTTTGGCCCTTTGATAATAACCGAATGATGAAATTAGAGGTTGCTAGATTGTCTGTTGCGGCTAGTTCGCATAATTCTTGATGAACCCCTTAGCGGATGTCGTGGGAAATTCAAGAGCTGCACATCCAACCCAACTTTTTTTTTCGGTGGGATCTGTAGTGACAGTGTGAATTAATTCAATTCCATTCTTGTCTGGTCAACCGAATTGTTTACATGGAAGATGTTGATGCCACCAGGGGCATTTTCCGGTCGCTGACTCAGCATGGTCCGTGTCCTGCCTAATCGGGATATGTATACATCTAGGTACAGGTACATTTAAGTTGACATGAATTGACATTGATTCACAAGGAACCACCTGCATCTGCGGATTATCCACACCCGTAAATACGGAGATAATCAAGGGGCGACGGGAGATGATCAACCGGATTGAAAGATTTTGAATCAATGGGGCCCTTGCTATCTCCCGCGCCACGAGCTAGATACTATAGCGTATGGGCTTCAACACTGAGATGCCTGAGTTGTGGAAAGTCTTTCAAGGAGACGCGCTGTGGTGCGATTTCTAGGACTATCTTTCACAGCTCTGCCATTGCTCATAATCTTTCTACTCATCCTCGGTCATCGTTTCCCCTTCACTAGCTATGTATTCCTCATCGTAGGGTTCCTGTCGAGGTGAATGGCCCTCTATATTCTGATTCAGTTTTTCCAGGGTGTGGCGATGCATTCAAAGGGACTTGAATATCGGAGTCACGCATAACATGAGTATGCCCCCGTCAGGGTAACAACGACCGCTGGTAGTAGAAGTAAAACTGTTCAAAGTCTTGGTGGATTCAATACGGCAAATTAGGAGTCTCCGCATTATCTAGTGGATTTTATTGAGGTCAGAGAAGTGTTCCGTGAAGCCTTAGGGTAACTATAGGAGACCCTCTTACAAAGTACATCCTCTGGCCAAACAGACTCTACGGGCGATCTGAAGTCCAAGTCCCACGAAAACAAGGCCCAAGCACATAAATGCGGGGAAGGCCATTGCGGGGATATCAACATCCTTCTATACAGTGTAATGTTATTCTTGGCCAGAGAAGATCAATATTTATTAGGATGTTGTGGCTAATACATGGGTACGCCACTAAGAGTTACTGGATGACTGAGACTTTCCCTTCGGATCCTGTGTATTTTGATATATTTCCTTTAAATTGGGAAGTGTAGAAAGGTTCATGTGAGAAAGTAGACAGTACATGTTTCATGCTTCTTGTGCAGACTTGTACGTTAATACCCAGGTCCATGTCTTGATGTTTCAACCAGGCAGTTAAATGATGCTATCCCCTATATGATTGAGTGAATAATCCCAACTACAATAGAAGGTTCTGATTGAATAATCAAAGAAATCAGAAGCTGAATTACACAATCTGAACTGATGGCCAGCTTTCAAGGATGCCCAGGGTATCAAGAGGCTAGGCATCCTCCAATTGAGGCACATTATTACAGCTCAAACCTGTATCACTCAAGCCGCTTGCGTAAGAAGTCATCGTCCCGAGGTCCGCTTTTATAATATGACTGGGCAAATTTGAACTGGATCTAATAGGTCAGATGTCGTCAGATGATGTGGTCTACTTTACTACTAAACATGAATCTAATTTAAACCTGGCCAGTTCTAACAGAGATTATCTAGTTCATTGGCCAAAAACGTACAGTTTCGTCCATGTCTATGTACTTCATATCCCGTACATGGCGAAGATGGCGATCCCCCGCAAAAGAAACGAAGCGATGTTATAAAACTTAATTGTCTGGTCCTCGGTATGTTTTCATGGACATATGATAATTTCATAAGTGGTGACTATATAGATAGATCTCCTGTATGCTTCTCTGCATTAAAGACTTCATCATGGGTAGGGGAAAGTATATCATCGGAGGCAATCGAGGCATTCTCAACCTAGAACGGGATGAGTCCGGAAAGCTTGAGAAGGTTGGATCCTCGGTGAGCTCAACCTCAAAACGGAATAGGTTTCGCCGGCATTGCAGGCGATTCTGGTGTATCTACCTCATCGTCAATGTGATCTGCTTGGCTATTTTCTTACCTGTTTTGTAAGTCAGCCCTTTTGCTCATTCACCTGTGTATTATCAAATCTAACCTTCCAAAACAAGCTTTCTGATCGCGATTCCTGCCATCGCGCAACTGGTTGTCAACAAATCGGATCTACGAATCGTCAATGCCGAAGTGATGCACCCAACACCAGATACAGTACGAATGACCCTAGAAGCAAAGGTAAACCTGAAGCTTGCACTGGGCGTTCGGCTCGATCCAGTCGTCTTCTATACCTTTGTGCGCTCCTCCGGCCATGAGAACGCATATGCAGGAATTAAGATCCCCGGGCAAACTATCAAGGGGAATTATTCACTTGGGGTCACTGACCAGTTGACGTCAATCCTAAATCTTACTTCCTGGGAAACCTTTGTGAGACAAGCGGTCTTCCAAAAAGAAACTGCACTATCGCTCTATGGAGTGACCACTGGATACCTCGGAGTACTGAAAAATCACATTGTATTGGATAAAGATGTGGTGATGCCAAGTAAGTAATTCACTATGGTGTTTCCAGCATTTGCTAATCTCGGAAATAGCTTTAAACAAGTTCAAAGGCTTCTCTATCGCAAACAGTACCTTTGTCCTACCAGTAGAGGACGACGGATCCAACCTCGTTGCCAATATTACACTCCCAAACCCAACCGCTCTCAGCTTTGAAGTCGGCACCATCACACTTGACCTTAAGAGCGGCAATACAGACCTAGTCATTGGCAATGCAACGGTCAAAGACGTCACACTTAGACCAGGCAACAACACATTCCCGTTGAGAGGTGTGCTCGACATCGGTACGATGATTGCCAACCTCACCGAAATTCTCAGCTCACAGGGATCCGCCCTCAATAAAGGCGCAGTGAGCCTGACAGCTGTGACCAAGTCAATTGTATCCAACGGCACTCGGATCCCGTACTATACAAAAGTACTCGGCTCACTGCCCCTGGTAGCAAACGTGAGCATCGGCGACGTCCTCAGAAACTCGCTCGCTCACCTAGGCTCGAGTGGAATATTGTCAGACACCGATGACAAACGCAGGAGAGACCCTGTGCAGTTGGACGGCCCAGTTGGATACGGTAACGCATATAACGAGGTCGCAAGTCTGAAACACAACAGACACGTTCAAAAGATCTTCAAGGATGAAGACCCCAAGCGACGAGACGCAATGATAGATTCGCTGGCTCGATATTATGCCTCGCTATGAATGTATTTATGAATTGAATTTAACGATATCTCCCATGACACGTTTTCTCCCTGGGTTAAATCCCGATATCCTCTGTCTATTCAATATGACAGTAGCGTTATGGAAATATGAGAAATTCTACAATTTACTACTTGAAGAATTAGAATGAAAAATTAAATCTGTCATACATTCATTTCCATATATGCCCTATGCTAACATGCTGAAGCAAGAAATTCCAAAGGAACCAAAAAATAAAAAATAAAAGAGAAGACAAGACAAGAGAAGAGAAGAGAACAAACGTTCAGTAATAAAGCCCGCCATTTGCAAAATACCCAGAATCCGGCATGGGATCAAAATACGCAGGTTGTTCTCCGTATTTTGGGCCTTTCTCATGATCGGGGGTCAACAGAGTCATCGCATCGTTCCTCCCATCAATATCAGCGGCAACCCCTGGCCACAAATTATTGTCACTCCAGCTCAGATATTCCCAGAGATACTGGCCTCCTGAATCATCCGTGAACGGGGTAGTGGCGAGGGGGTCAAGGAACCCATTCTCGCCTATGGCCATGTTGCCACGACCCGCGCCAGGTGCCGGGAACATGAGTGACATATCCCGACCAGCGGGATAAGAGCCACTCAGAATACTAGTGGAAGAATCAGGATCGAGGTCCTGCCCCCGCTTGCTAGCCTCATAGATACGCGAGATAGCATCCAGCGACCGCTTTGCCGTATGGCCGAAGGACTGCATACGGGCCAAAGTCATCATGGCCATTTCCACCTGCGCCTGACAGGACTCAATGGAAGCTCGGGGGTCATCCACCGTTGGATCGTTAAGGAACAACCCCACCAAGGGAACAAGAGAAGCCTGGAAAGTCCACCAGACAGCATTCCACCCGCACAGCTGGTTAAGCTGTGCCGTAGCAGCGATATTCCGAATAGATTCCTCTGCGACTGCGCGACATTTCTCAATCGCGGTGCGCTCCTCGGATCGCAGTGCGATATAAGGCACGCGTCGCATGGCATAGCTGAGCAGTGTTGGTCGATATAGGAGGATCCGTTGGTTGTAGTAGCGCCAGCGCATGACTGTGCGGACAGTGTTTATTGACTCTGAGCAGGGCTCATGGTCTTTCAGGACGGAGGGGAGATTGTCCCACCACTCAAGGAGCTGTGTATCTGCGTGGGCCATTTCTTGGTGCTTGACTAGCGGTGCTGCAGCGAGGGACTCTTGGACTTGGGTTGCAATCTTGGCGAAGCGGATGTTTTCCACCAAGGGAAGGATCTCGAGGACGTTTTCCTATTAGAATATAATTAGTCAACTGAACATTTCTTTTCTGGAAAGGAACAAAGCCTACCTTGTCTCGACAGAGTGGGGGTTTCACTGTAATGGTTGAACCTATCCGACCCATACTAGGTCGGCCCAGTGTCATGCAAGCCCAGGTATCCATGCAAAACAAAGACCACCAGACGCGACGCTTAAGATCCATGGAGGCTAGCTTCGCCGGACTCGGTATTTGACGAGATTCCGCAAACTCCTTGTGCAGTCCCAAGGCAGCCGCCATACGCAGCGCAGCACCCATAAGGGAGTATGCCAGATTTGGCTGGCTGATATAGTGGCAGTACCAGCCGCCCATCAGGCCCAGCGCCTGGATAGTCTCGATATGGGAACTTCCCAAGGAACTCAGACTAAGGTGACCCTTGCATCGCAAGAAGTATGTCTGGTGTGTTACATCATCAGGTCCTGTAGCGGCAATGCAACCAAGCGCAAGAACGATGTTCAGCAACGCAAGCCAATGGTCATCTCTTCGACGACCGGCGCAGTAAGCCTCGCGGAAGGAGCGCTCATCGATCATGGGAGCGAAGGCTTGGAAATAGAGGAAATATGCATCGAGCATTTGCATCTCTGAGGGTGGAATAAGGGGTTGTGGGGGTGTGACAGGCGCACGATGTTGCCATGCTATCGGGTTCTCCTGTTCGTTTGCGGGAGTTCGAGAAAAGTACGAGGCACAACCTGGGTCCAACCAGACAATGACCTTGATCACAGCTTGGATAGATGATACACCCAGGTAAGATGAAGGCTGGCGAGCTGACAGCGACAGCCCATTCACGTCATCCGAGACACCCTCTACTAGATCCGAGGAGCTGGTATTACGGCTATCCGGTAGTTCCTCGGGCATAGTTTGCAGAGCCTCGAGGTTATCATCATCATTTGACAGAGGTGAGACATGGGCTTCCAATGAAGCCGATGTAGATGGTGAATCGGCATGATGTGATAGGGCTTGCATGTGAGAACCCGACGAAGCGGTTGTGAGCTCCAGAAGTTTCTCTCGTGGCAGATTTGTCAATGACTCTGGAGAAAAGTTTGGGAATAACTTTCCCAGGATACTTCGATATTCTTCCAGAGTTGTAGACAGTTTTTCTACATGTCTATATGGGATTATACGGGGTTAGATGGTTGGTAGAAGAGAATGGGGGGGCGAGTGACTTACCTCCGCGATGGCCGCGGGTCTGAATAATGGCATTGATCCGACTTCTTATACCATCGACATGCCTCACATGGCTTCTCACCATCACACTTGATCTTGCGATGACGACAAGATGTACAAGCGCGCAAGGTTGTCACACGACGACTAATAGATTCACGTCTTTCGCTGGTAGATCGGTTGCGAGCAGGAGTTGCTGCCGTTGGGTTCTCAAACCCTTCGAATGTATGAAACATGATGAATAGTTATATAAGTTATAGATGACCACACCTGGTCAGTAAATAGGCGACATAGAGTATATAAAAGGTTGTGTTCACATCGTTGAAAGGTGGCAAGTCATCTAAGATAGAAAAAAACGGATAAAACCAAAGCAGACTAAAACCAAAACGAAAATCAAAAAGAAAAAAAGAAAAGAAAAAAGGGCTGATCCGCTTAATCTCCCCGCATTTTATGGATACTTTAACTTGTCTTCTTCTCGGCTCAGTTGGATTATAGTGATTGGTCGGGATTGGTCGGGATTATTATGGAGTGATCTTGAGCGAGACTTTCGGATCTGATAGAAAAAAGAGAAAAAAATCGCCGTTCCCCCGGTTGAAGAGGTTGAACGTGAGATTCCCGTAGTAACTCCCGGCATATAAAACCACCTGGAGGGGGGTTTTATGGGGTCAAACCAGGATTAACTGGGGTTGTAAAGTCCCGAGCTGCAGTAATTCAGCCGGGAAATGCCACGCCAGCATGAACAGGGGTGCAGATGTGCCCATTCACACGGACATCCAATTTCGCTTGCGGTGTCATATACGCCACAGAACATGGTCCTTCAAGTGAGGGGCAATTTCCCCGGACTCATTTTGGCGAAAGTCACTGCAGACTTGGACGATCGTATGGGGAAGATCACAGTCTCTTCTGGGGTGGAGATTAGGTCCGATAGTCCAGTTACCCAATTTCCTCTCGGCCAGATACTCCAAACCTGTGCCCATATTAAACCTCGTTTCTATAATGTCTGGGGATCCTCCGTGTGCTCCGTCCGGAGTAGACCATAATGGCTCTAAGCCTGACGCCTGACGCCCGCAATGAGGGATTTTCACAAAAATCAAGGGGCTAGTGCTCATGCTTACCCCGTGTATCAGGAGGTACCCTATTTTCACACCTTGCCACTGGGGGGTCCTAGTTGCCGAGATAATTTCGCGCCATGTCTCGTTCCAGTCAAGGGCCCGAAATGGAGACACGGTTAGGGATTCTCCCCATATTTTTTTTCTTGATTTTCAAAGGGAAAAAAAGAAAATTAAGGCCAAGAGTATCCAACTCCGCAAACTCGAGGTAAATTTAAACCAAGCACTCTGCAGATGCTCCACGCTGTGATTGATCTCCAGGAAAGTTATCGGGGGGTGGACATTGCCAAGCCTGACGAGAAAGGCCGTTGGCTGCCGAGGCTTGAGCGGTGATTGACTTGATTGGCTCGGTTGGGACGTGTGACTCATGCATACTAACGGCAAATTAGTGCAATAAATGAAGTGTAGGGCGTCTGTCCGAAAGAGGGTGCCTGCACAAGGGGAACATGCAGATGATATAGTGTGAGCCTCCCAAGTTTAAAAATTCCAGCTAGAAAAGGAACGTCATCAATGATGCATAGCATTTGGGAGCTTCACGGCACATTTTCCGTGACCAACAAAGCTATTGAGTGGATATAAACAACCCCAGAGGGTTCGAGGGGAATGCCGGATGGTGGAGAGACATCTGAAGACCATTATTGAAATTTTGCAGATTTGCAAATTTTCATGATTTCACTGTATTTGAAGTATACAATTTGCAAATATACAGGTCATGTGTTACACTAGTCCCTTTTGAACACGGCAGGTTTCATTTTTCCCAAAAGGGAAACGGGGGGCTCCGGGCTTATCGATAAGGAAAGTCGGTCTCCCAACTATGTATAAATCCCGGGGAAGACGAAAGCTACTTCTTTCATATGTCAATTGCTTTTCATTATGGCTAAGCTTGTACACTCTCTATCTTCTGGCTGGTCCTTTAAGGACCGGGACACCGACGAATGGCTGCCAGTAGCTACGGTCCCGTCCGTGGTACAGCAGGATCTCATTGCTAATAACAAGTGAGCTATTTTTTCTTTTCTTTTTCTCAAAAAAAATTGTTTTCCAAATCTAATAACCTTCTTACAATAGGCTCGATGATCCTTATATCGGATTCAAGGAATTAGACGCCCGCTGGGTCAACGAGAAGTCATGGGTCTACCGAAATGTGATCCAGAAGCCATCCGCCCCCGCCGGCTCTTCAATTGTGCTGGTCTTCGATGGTCTTGATACCTTCGCCAAGGTCAAATTGGACGGACAAGTGATTCTGGAGAGTGATAACATGTTCCTGGGTCACCGGGTGGACGTAACCAAAGCATTGGAAGCAGAGGGCGACCACACGCTCGAGGTTGAGTTCGACTGTGCACTCCTCAAGGCACGTGAGCTCCGAGCCCAGGACACCAAGCATAAATGGGTTGGTTTCAACGGTGACCCAGCACGCATGGCTGTGCGGAAAGCCCAGTACCACTGGGGCTGGGACTGGGGACCAGTGTTGATGACCGCGGGCATCTGGCGTGCCGTACGGTTCGAGGTGTACCATGCCCGCGTGGCCAATCTGTGGCCCCAAACCCAGCTATCTGCAGACCACCAGACAGCTGAGGTGACGGCCGTCATCGATGTGGAGACCGTCGGTGATGGAGAATATACGGCCCAGTTTAGCTTAAGCTTAAATGGGAACGAGATTGCAAGCAATGCTATCCCAGTGTCTGGGAAAACATCTCAAGTAACATTCCCAGTCGATCAGCCAGCTCTGTGGTGGCCCCATGGATATGGCGAGCAGACTCTATACGACGTATCGGTGTCGCTACTTCGCAATGGTGAACAGGTTGACCAGACATCTAAGAAGTTTGGTATCCGCACCGCCGAGATAGTTCAACAACCGGACAAGCATGGCAAGTCCTTTTTCTTCCGAATTAATGGGATGGACATTTTCTGCGGCGGTTCGTGCTGGATTCCGGCGGACAGTCTGCTCCCTGCTGTTAGTGCTGAGCGATACCGCAAGTGGATTGAACTTATGGTCGCTGGCAGACAAGTGATGATTCGGTAAGTTTCGCTTTGCTTTCTGATCTAGGATTTAACGTGGGTTTAGCTAACGTTGAACAAGTGTCTGGGGTGGTGGTATATATGAAGACGACTCCTTCTATGAGGCCTGCGACGAATTGGGAGTGTTGGTCTGGCAAGATTTCATGTTTGGATGTGGTAATTATCCCACATGGCCCGAGATGCTCGAGTCTGTCCGTCAAGAGACAATCTACAATCTAGAGCGTATGCGCCATCATCCTTCGATTGTGCTATATGCGGGCAACAACGAGGATTACCAGGTTGCAGAGTCAGAAGGCTTGACTTACAACTACGAGGACAAAGACCCCGAGAGCTGGTTGAAAACAGATTTCCCGGCACGATATATCTATGAGAAGCTGCTTCCCGATGTGGTGGCCGAATACTCACCTAGCACATTCTACCACCCTGGAAGTCCATGGGGAGATGGCAAGATATCGTCAGATACCACTGTTGGTGATATGCACCAGTGGAACGGTGAGCATTCTCCAACAGACTTCGCGTTCTTACGCTAATCATCAGAATAGTGTGGCATGGAACACAGGAGAAGTATCAAATCTTCGATACTCTCGGCGGCCGATTCAACAGCGAGTTTGGAATGGAGGCATTCCCCCACATCTCTACCATTGACTACTTTGTCGAGAATCCGGAGGACAAATTCCCCCAATCCCATGTTATCGACTTCCACAACAAGGCCGACGGTCACGAACGAAGACTGGCGACGTACCTTGTAGAGAATCTGCGGTCCGCCACAGACCTCGAGGTATGACTACCACCATGATGACCATCGATCCAGGCTAACCTCTCCAGACCTATATCTATCTCACTCAGGTTGTCCAAGCCGAGACCATGATGTTTGGCTACCGAGGCTGGCGCCGCCAATGGGGCGATGAGCGACACTGCGGTGGAGCACTGCTCTGGCAGCTGAACGACTGCTGGCCGACAATCTCGTGGGCCATCGTGGACTACTTCCTGAAGCCAAAGCCAGCATACTACGCTGTCAAGCGAGTTTTGAACCCAATCGCCGTCGGGGTCCGACGTGAGCACCACGACTGGAGCGTGGCACACGCTCAGCCACCCAAGACCAGCAAGTACGAGCTTTGGATCGCCAGCAATCAACCAGGGACCGTTCAGGGCAGTGTGGAGCTACGTTTCCTGTCTGTCAACACAGGCCGCGATATTCGGGCTCCAATCGTGCGCGAAAACATCACCATCACTGCCAATGGCACCACGGATATCATCACTGATGGTGTTCTCGACCACATCGCCGAGCCAGAGCCACATGTCCTCGCTGCCCGGTTGTGGGTGGACAACCAGATTGTAGCACGGGATGTCGACTGGCCACAGCCATTGAAGTATCTCAATTTGTCCGCGCGACAGGTCGAGGTTAAGAGGCAGGCAGGAAAATCCGGTGAGACGGTGTTGGTGATCAATGCCCGCAAGCCGGTCAAGTGTCTTGTTTTCGAGGAGCAAGAAGGTGTACTGCTTGGGGACAACGCTATTGACATTGTGCCTGGTGATGAGCAGATAGTCACAGTTACTGGCCTTGGAAGCGAGCCTCTTAGGTACCGGTACCTGGGACAAGAATCTTGCGAGATTGTTGAATGAGCTACTAGAGTGTATAGCAAAAATATGATCTCGAGCATAAGCACTCAAATAACACACAAGATAACTGTAAACATCAATTTGTAGACGATGTGAACAAGGAGAGCTCTAAAAGAAGATCATCTCATATCTTATCGGAGATCTGAACTTAGCCACCTCCAACTTTTTGCCAATGGGTACCAAACGCTCCTGGGAAGGCCAGCCACTCGAGCTCAATCCTCAAGATACAATCATGGCAGAAGCAGAAACAAAGTCAGCTCCTTCAATCCTGTCAATCTTTGAGAACTTCCGCGACGAGCTAGACGAGCACCATGATCGCCGCGAGCGTATCATCAAGAAAAGCCGCGACATTACCGCCCTGAGCAAGAAGATGTATGCCTTCACCTCCAGCTCAAGAACTCATCACTAATTGAGATCGCCTTAGTATCTTTGCCCTCCAACGAGTCCGCACAACGAACCAACCCCTCCCTCCCAAAATCGCCCAAGAAAACCAAACCCGCTTCGACCAAATCCACGCGCTGTTCGAAGGGGTCGTCCCCGAACAACTAGGCATCAATGGCTGGCGATACCAACGCCAAATCAGTGCAGGAATCCAAGAATTCATCGAAGCCGTCTCCTTCGACCACTACCTACGCACGCAAACGCTAATCACCCACGCCGAGTGCTCCGCCCGTGTCCCACCCGGAATCTTCGTTTCAGAAGAAGACTACCTAATGGGGCTGTACGACCTCACCGGAGAGATGATGCGCTTCGCAGTTCTATCACTGAGCTCCGGAAACGCAACTGCCACCAATGCGACCGAGAATACAGCAAGCGACAGCGAGAAATCGACGGTCGCTTCGTCGCAGGGTGGTATTGTGGTTGATCTACGTGCTATTCGCGCAGGCTTTGAGGCGCTCACTTTACCACAGCGGCATTACATGTTCCGGGATATGGCGAAGAAGCAGGACGTGATGCAGAACAGTGTGGAGAAGGTTGAGCGGGCGGCGTATGGGATTGTCGTTCGTGGGAGTGAGAGACCAAGTGGGTGGACGCCTGATCTGTCGGGCGCAGTCGAGGTACCATCCTACTAGGAAACTACATAGGTATCCAGCAATCAATGACTTTTGAATGACAGTACATGTAGTCTGTTATAGTTCGAGGGTATTTCCCTATGGAACTATATGTAATTGAGTCTTTCTCTATATTCCTCTCCATCAATATCCAAAATTTATGTCTTATTTCTACTAGTACTTTGAACAGTTATACATTTGATGCAATTTCATGACATTGCTATACAGCACGATGACATCAAGTAAAGACAGTAGAAACCTCACGAAGACACTTAGGTGTCAAGGGAAACAAAGCATTTCCATAGGGGGAAAAAAAAGAAAAGCAATAAAACGCCGTCAAACGATCGTGTCACCCATATCTCATAGCACCAACATTGTAGAACCAATGTGGCGATGTTACTCTCCAAAATCAGACAGGCGAGCGTGGGTTCTCATCCTCGGAAAGAATACCCTGAGAAATCAACTCTTCAGGCTGTGGCCTATTCTGAATCTTATGTTCGAGGTTATCGGCCAGCATGTGCTTCTCGAGTTCACGGGCGTGGGCCTGCAATGCTGGGGCGGCGGAGGTTGCGGGGAGGATATTACCTTGGCGGGTTGTTAGTATATTGAAAGAAATCCCAGGTACCATCTCAGGTACCAGTCGAAAGTGAGAAATAAATCAAAGAGAAAGGGAAAAAGAAAGGAAAACAAACGCTCAACCAGCTGGTCCTTCTCAGGTCGCTTCTCCAGGTTCTTCTTCAGACTATCTGTAGCACGCTGGCGGTCGAGCTCCTGGCGGGCAGATTGAAGGGCTCTGTCAATATGTTAATCATATCTCAAGAGACTGAGAATATTGCAAACACCCACGGAGCCACATTGGTATCCAGCAGGATGTGGCGGTTCTTGAGGTCCTGCATTTCCGGACGAGTTTGGAGATGTTTCTCCAGCGAGTTGCGACGCTCGTTGGTTGGAGGAAGAGATTGTTCGATAGAAGACATTGTGAGTGATGAAGTGTGAAGAAGTGAAAATCAAGGAATGAAGTAATTAAGGCAAAAAAGTCAAGTGATCTCCCACGCGGGGAAATCGGCGGTCTATACACTACAACATTGAACCCATACAACATATAGGCCTATTGGGGGGGGTGGGGAAAAAAAATTCAAGATAAAATTCAAGATAAATCTGGGATAATTTGGGATAACTGGAATCCTAGTAGATCATACAATCTACCATTTCCCAAAAGAAAGCAACCGTCTCAACGTCTCCGCAATTTGAAGATCTCCCATCTCCATCTCCTAGGGAAAGGGTGAAAAGGGAAAGAAAAAAAAATAGGGGGGCACAGGCTTTCCGAAGTAGACATATTCAAGCAGCGCATCACAGCCGCGGGTTGAATCCACCATGGGATTCATGTCCTTTCGTATCCGAGATCCGATCATGTCGGGATTCTGGGATGATTGATGCCGGGGGAAGAGGGAAAAACACACTCTGCAGGCAATCACAGATCCAGATCCAGATCCCCGCATTCGGGGGGTTTATTGCAGTCCTGCAAAGAGAAAAGAGACACTCTGTCCGGTTCTGGATGCATTGGTTCACAAAACACTCCAGTCTACTGTCAAGAGAGATGACATGGAGTAGACCGTTTTGCTCGTGCCAATCAAGGAACCCAGAGCTTACCACGGCCACGACCATTACCTCGTGCACCGCGCGAGGATCCACCACGGCGACCATTAGATGAGCGGCGAGAGGCTCCAGCGTTGCCGCGGGGCGCACCGGTGGCACCGGCGGTACCCTGTTGGACGCTCGCGTCTACAGTGGGCGGCTTGGTTGCACCACCCAGAGATCGGCTGAAAGAGTCCGGGTCGATGGGCTTGGTAGGAACTTCCACGGTAGCAGTAGGCTCAACAGGAGGTGGCGCAGCCTTGGGGGCAGCCTTTCGCTGACCCCCACCACGCGAAGCACCTCGGGGGTTCCTTTTCCACGACCGCGGGGGACAAACACCAACTCATCTTCGTCGCTCTCTTCTTCGTAGGACAACAATGTCTTCGGCTCGGCGGGTTGGGTCTGGGTTTTCTCGACATATTTGCAGCGGTTTTTGTACTCACGCTCCTCGTACTGGATAGCCGTGCGTAACTGGAGAATGTTCTTGACACCAATGCCAAACTTCTGAGCCCACACCTGGGTCGCACGGTCATTGGAGATGAGGATGCACGTCTTGGCAGAGTTCTCAGCATCGGGACCGGTATGCAACCGCCAGAGCAGAGCGCTCAGCAATGGGCGCAGAGCGGGCGGCGCGGTCGGGATGACCGTTCCGGAGATGGTGCGCTGGTGGTTGGAAGACTTGCTCTTGGTCCTGTCATTCTTTGTTCCATTGCTGGACTCGTGCTGGGCGCACTCGGGGCTGGTACGGGAGCTGCGAGAGGATGTGCGCGATCCAGGTCCACTGGGGGTGCCGACGGAGGTGATCGAGACGGCCTCCGGGTCCTTTTTGAAGTTTAGCTTGGACAAGAGCATCTGTGACAAATCATCCGACTCGTTCTTGGTCAACGTATCATCGGCGCTAGGTTCGATCGCCGGTTCGCCATTGGTAGCTGCTTCGTCAATTACCTCGGGCTCCTCTTCAAATTCCGGCAGGAAGAATTTCTCTGCCTCCTCCCAGCGCTCATATTGCTCCATGGGGCCCTGGAGTAGAACTCGGTCGGCGGCGATGTGATCTTTACCGGAAGTGACCCGGTCAAGAAAACGGACTGCCTCGCGGGCATTGATGGCGACCTGCGATCCCGCTCGCTTCAGCGCATGGAGTCGTTCAAGTGCTAATCGGAGGATAATGGTTAGACCGGCAAGCACTGCAGTGATGGAATCGCCCTTGAACAGATACTCACTGTAGAGAGGAACCACAAGATCGATAGCACCATTAGCGGTCCATTTCTTGATTTCGCTAATATTGGTGGACAGGGCCGTCTCGTCCACGGCACAGTGGAAGACCTTGCGTCCGGTCGACATGGCGGATATTGAACGAATGCGTTCGTATATTTGTAGTGAGAGATACAGGGCAAAGACCGCCCTATATCGGAAGACTATAAGTGTAGACAACCGCGACTGAATCGGGGCCGGTCAGCACGGGCCTAGAGCTGAGGAAGGAGGTTTGACGATGGAGGGACCTGAGAATGTGGGGGGAGGAAGGGGAGTAGTGGGATGTCGGTTGATGGAGTCGTAAATTTTCACTCACGATTAAAAGGCAGTTGATAGGATGTTTCCATCTGCAGCATCTTTGTAACAATACAGATCTTGCCTGGCAAAGAACGCACCTTGAGAAATGATGCGATGGGAGGTAGAAATATGCTGACTAAGCGTGCTTCAGGAACAGACCGAATTTAAAGAGAGAAGTGAGGGTTTCTTTATATATTGAGGAGTACAGTCTAAAGGTGGAAAGAAGAAGAAAAAGAAAAGAAAGGATGTTAAAGAAAAAGGATACCAGAGTCCCCTGATCTATGACTTCACCTTCTTGATGAGGCCATCCGATTCCTTAACTCGTTGCGCCCACTCACTGAGGTTCATATTAGTACTAGTAGCAATTACAAAGGGAAAGATATACTTACGTCCAGCTGCCGTCATATACCCGACGCAGGTTTGGGTCACCATACTCCGCCTCACTCAGGGCTGTCTCGATGATGGAGGCAGTCACACCAGTACCGCACGAGCTAATAATTGTTTGGCTTGGATCCACCTTGTGATCCTCAAAGACCTTTCGCAGATCTTCAGCAGGGAGATAGGCTTTTGTTTCAGGGTCCAGTAATTCTTGGAAGGGCATACTCTTGGAACCAGGAATATGGCCCGATGACAGGCCAGGGCGTGGCTCCGGGTCAGTTCCAGCCCAGCGGCCATAGGAGCGTGCATCTAGAATCTCCACTTCCTCTGCACCTTCTTTTCCATAGTCCAATGCCAACTCCTTCATCTCGCGGAAGGAGATCACTAGTCGCGCGTCGTATGTCGGAACAGTGTACTTGGACTTCTCCACCACCGCTGGCTCACCGCCCTCCGTTGGAAGACCTTCTTTGACCCAGAGACGATAGTTATTGAGGATATGCACATTGGGGTGGCCAAAGACGCGCAGCGTCCAGCCTACACGGGGCGCACTGAAGATGCCCAGGTCGGCAGTGTCGTAAACCACCACCTCGTCGTCGCGACGGATCCCCAGCTCGCTCATAGCCTCGGCAAAGGTCTCACAAGTGGGAAGCATGTGGGGATAAGGTGAATCTTGATCTTTGATAGCGTCAAGGTCGAAAAATCGGGCCTGGGGGATGCGCGAGTTACGGAAGGAGTCAATTCCCTTGCGACCCTCTGGGTCGTTCGGCATGAACCATGCTGCACAGAGGGGAATCACGCGCGGGGAAGTTGAGATTTTTGTCGTGGGGTTCTTCTTAAGTGCTTCATTCAGCTGCTTTGGTGTCACTAAATACGAAGAAAAAGAGACATTGCGCTTGGTATGGAGCCCTGTGGAGATGGACATATTGGGGCGGAAGAGACGAGCAAAAGATCTGACTGCAAAAGTCATAGTGGAAAGAAAAAGGAACCTTTTTAAACCAATTTACATAACGAGGCAAAGCCCTAGGGAATAAATGCAGCAGAGGGAAGAGCAATATGAGGAGTACTATTGCGTGTTATGGCGGAATGTCCGTGGAGAACCATGTGATAAGATGATAAGAGATAACACTGTTTTCCCCCAAGGCCTCTCTTCACCTCTTCCTTGGCTCTCCATATACTCCACAATGAAGGTCGCCATTAAAGAATGGAATGCAGTTGCTACTTGGCACTGGAATATCCCCGAGGATGAAGTGTGTGGCATCTGTCGTGTTCAGTTCGATGGCACTTGTCCAACCTGCAAATTCCCTGGCGACGACTGCGCGCTTGGTGGGTGACCTTGATACTCCTTCTATGCTAGATACTGACTATGATGACTACTATAGTGCAAGGAAGATGTAACCACGCTTTTCATATGGTAAGACTGCGGAGTGACCCATATAAGCTAGCACTGAACTGATCGACGCTTTTGAAAACAGCATTGCTTGATGACCTGGATTGACCTGGAGTCTTCCAAGGGACTATGTCCAATGTGCCGACAAAGTAAGTTTTCACTAGATTGTCTGTGTGATATTGGGCTAACTTTCTCCAGAATTCGAATGGAAGGACAAGGAATAACGGCCAATTTAGTCTTTTTTTTTTTTCTTCTCAATGGTTATCAAGGCGTTGTCGGACGAATTCAAGATACCCATTTGTGTTTTTATTGGGCATGCAAAATTGGATTGGAAAAGTTGCTGTCACCTTAGTGTCAATTAAGCATAAAAACAATGCCGTGGTCGGAATGAGATTGAGACTGAGACTGATCAATCCATTCCATTTACAGTTCAATCTTTGTTATGGAGATATCTAGGTATATATCTTGCAAATTGGCCCGGGAAAGTCAACTTAAATCACGCCCAAGCGGCATACACAACAACTTACTCTCTCTCCAAGAATGAAGAATTACAACATCTCAGATAGTAATATCAATATCCAAGTCATTTGATACAACCTTGGAACTATATACACCCCAGGGCTGTCACTTCATCTGACCGTCACGTGGCGCTATCGATAAGCAGCTCTCCGCACGCGATCCAGAACCTCATCCTATCCCAAGCTCTTCTCCAGAATGATGTAGCCTCAGCTTATGGAGATGTCTGTAAACAACTCTCCCTACCATCCCCTGTCCTCTTCCTCATCCCGGCAGTCCCTGCACAAAGAAACACCCTCTCGGCCCGGCACCGCCTCTTCGCGGCCGAGTGATCGACACTCAAGAGGGCAACTGCCTGAGGGCCGCATATCAACTCATCAACCCCCAGAAACAATTGAATCGTGCCAAGATGCAGTTCCGGAGGAAAGCGAAGATCATCCCGAGGAAGGCCAAGAGCAACCTCCGTCTCACCCCGCATTCCAACCGTTCTTCACCTTGATCGAAGACGCCCATACCTCAGATTACCACCACCCAACGGTACACTACATATTCTCCGACGATGACACCGACATCGTGACAGAGGCAGCCCTACGTAGTCTGGCCGCGCAGCAAGAAGCCCTCTCCGATTCCAAGAAAGATCAGATCGCGCAGACCGAAGCATCCAATCTCCAGGACGAGATCAAAGACTCCTCTGATCCAGATCCAGCCAAGACCACCCTACTCCCACCACCAGTTCCAGGTGTCCGGGAGAACTATGTCATCCTTGACGTAGAGCCCTCACCATACACACCTGAGACAGCGCAAACCAGTCCGATGATCGAACAACTAGCATCAGGCAAAGGTAGGGGTGGCACGAGGTCCATATCATCGTCACCAGCGAACGTTTCCGCGCTCCCACAGGATCAGGGACAGCCACACCCGCAGTATCGCGTTACCGCGGCGCAGAGTTTCTCATCAACATGGCAGGTCCTCCACACGGAAGTGATGCCGGCGCCCACTTTTGAGAATAGCAATCCTGGGGAGTCACTAGGACATGGGTTGATGCTGAAGATCCGTGGCACAGGTGGGCTGCCGATTGAGGTGGGTGGCAAGGAGAAGGGGCGTACACTTGAGGAGATGATGGATCAGTTTGCGAAGCGGATGAGTGAGTTGCAGGTTGTTATCGATGCTGCTGAGGCTGCAGAGTCGAAGGAAGAACATGACGAGGAAGAACTCGTGCAGCATCCCTTCTCTACAGATACAGCTGAAGATACCATCCAGGGTGAGGGATATAGTGCGGCATATGCTGCAGCAGTTGAAGCGGAACACTCTTGATGATTTATTATCGCTGTTTTTGGCGCATCGCGGGGGAATCGTCGACGTTTGTGTTGTATACAGGCTAGTGCCGGGTGAACCTCATGCATATACTTTGAATACAAGACGAACCAATCCAAACCGGGAGATCAAGGATGGTATTAAGATCAAATTTGACATTCCTATAGGAATATCAATGTTGTCAAACTAGAAACGCCAAGTAAAACGCCTTTCTATGGCACTCAGACAAAAGAAGAGATACAAGAGAATGACCAACCCAACACTGTTTTTTTCAGCCAAAAACTCCAACCCAGAGTGGAAAGCCCAGCGACTATCGGGTATCAAAAATTGTCAGAAAAAAATAGGAAAAAAAAAAAAAAAAAAAAGAGAAACGAGCAGAAAATAACACGGAAACCACCTAATCAGAGGTGCGGTTTCTAAATCTTCGGCCACTGGTGGTGGCCGAGGGGGGCATATTTTCGCGACCCTCCTTCATGCCAGCCATCCTTTTTGAGAGCATGGTTTTGGGGAGTTTGGTTTCTGGATTGTTGTTTGAAGTCGAGCGGCGCCGTTTGCGGGAAGCTTGTTCTGGCTCTTCCTTTTCTGGCGTCTCGTCCAGGTCCATAGATATGGCCAACGCGGGGGTTTCCGGCTTGCTGGGAGGTAATGCATCGTCGCCATCAGACACGACCGGTCTGGCGACGTTTAGGTCGACTTCTCTAAGGCCAGTGTTGGAAGGTGGGGCTGCGGATGATGGAAGAGAGTGGCCTACCTCTTCCGGGGTATCATTATACACGAATTTCTTGGGCGGTGAAGCTACCACCTGGGGCGAGGTGGGAGTAGGGGAGTCCAGTTGTTCCTCCTCGCTGAATGGCAGAGCAGTGAACTGCTTGGATGTTCGGTGTCGAGTGCGGAGACCATCGTGAGCTTCCGTTTGGGGCATTTCCGAAGGGTACTCGTATCGTCGTTTCTGAGGGGTTATACCTGTTGGGACATACTCTTTCAGGGGGTGGCTCTGAATGTTGGACCGCATTTCTAAAAGTGGCCGGCGGACTTCAGTGTGTAGAGATGTAGTAGTTTGTTCCAGGTTCTCCGTACGCATATCGACATCCGTCTGGAACTGCTCGACACGTCCAGTGAACCCATCGAGTTGGCCATATACGTTTGAGCGGGACTGTCGGACATTCTTAGCCATGGCATTCAAGCTGCCTAGGTGTGATTCATGGAAGCGGCCATTCTGGGACCGTGCTTTGGCAACGAAGTCGTCCAAAGCTTCCATTTGTGTGCCCATGTCACCCATTTGAGCATCAACAATCCGCACAGTCTCTTGGTGCACAGACTCCGTTGCCCGATGAATCGAGGCATTGCGCTGGTCAAAAGTCTACTTTCGTTAGTTTCATTTCACAACCCAAAGATGTCAGTTGGTCTTACCTCCCAATCATTCTGCATCCTGGTCTTAATTTCATCCTTGGATGCAGTAATGTCCTTGGCAAACTGTTCCTCCTTGAAAATCCATTCATCAATGTGTCTGTCGTGCTGCGCAGTGGCTTGCTCAAGAGAGTCGCCTGATGTTGATATGTCGGTGCGAAGGGCATCAAATTTCCCCTTGAGGCGGTTATTCTGTTTATGATTTGAGTCCTCAAGGAGTCCTCGGATGTGAGACATAAGAAGTTCTCGCTCGGCTTGTGCACTCGCATGCTCCTCTTCCAGAACCTGTGCTAGATTGGATGAAGCCTTTCTATTGGCCTCCACCGTCTGGCGATTAGCTGCCTGCAGCTCGAGACGTAGTTTGTGGACTTCGGATTTCTGTTCATCGAGGTGCTTTGCCATGTCCTCGAACATGGTTTTGAAGTCTTTGCCGAGTGTGCTGTATGACGAGTGAAGTTGGGAGTGGAACTCTGAGAATTCCCCAATAACCTCTTCGGATATCCGCGCAGCAGCAGCTGACAAGCCGTTGAGGCCTTCGCCAACTTTGGACTTGACTTCTTCTCGAAGAACCTTGATCTCCTCGAGAACTTCATTCATCTCATTGTGGGCAGTGGAGGTGTTGTTTTTCGCATCTGCCTCGACCTTGTCAAAGGAGGCATCAAGATCCTTAAGTTGGGAGCGGGTGGACTGCACAGTGTTTAGTTCATGATCCACAAATTGGTGAATTTTGCCAGATATGTCCTCTAGCAGCTTCGCATGCTGCGTCTGGAATATCTGCATGCGAGCATCGACCCGTTGTGTGACATGCGATACCTCACCGGTCGAGGTCTGCCAGGTCTTCCGGTTATCAGTCTCCAAGTTGTCTTTGCGATCCAATTTCGCGTGCAGCCCATTCACGTCTTGAATGGTACCATTTAAAGTGGTAACTAGGCCGGCACCAATGTGACGAAGTTGCTTTTCCGTATTCTCATGGGCCTTCCGCACAATCTTCTCCTCGTCCAGCTTCTCCTGGGTATCCTTCCAAAACCTTTCTGTTTCGTTGAGAACATCGCGCGTTTCTTTGAGTTTGGATTGAGTATCCTCATTGTCATGCTTTAATGAGTTAAAGTTGCCCGTGATAGAAAGAAGCTCTTGGACCTTGTGTCGAAGGCTTGCCTCCATCGACTCGATCTTGGCACGCTGTTCTTCGTTGACGATTCGCCGCGATTCACTTTCCATCGTCATTTCTTCAAACGCATCAGGTGTCATATAGACACCATTGCGATGGCGGGTGGCAATGAGCTCGCTCTTCAGCTTCTGGACTTCCATCCCGATATCTCGCAGAAGCTTGGTTTTGGAGATGATGGAATTAATCTGGGGTTTGTTGCGGATGTTCTTAGCTCGGAAGGCATAATCAAGGGTCGAGATAGTCTCCTCTAGGTTGTTGCGGGCAGGCGAAACAGTGGCGATGATACATGTTTTTGTTCGTCCTCCAAGTGAATCTTGTAATAGTCTCGTGAGTTTGGACTCGCGATAAGGAATGTGCGAGCTCTTATCCACCAGGGCGTTGATCACCCTGCCAAGCGTAAGTAGACTCTTGTTGATGAGACCTGCCTCCGTTGCCCGTTTATTTTCTGCACCGCTGCGTCCGATGTTTTCGCTACCCGCGAGATCAACCAGGTTCAACTTGCCCGAGCTAACATAGTCCTCGCCAGATTCGGTCGTGCGGTTTGTGAGAACGGTGATGGTGAAAACTGTATGACTACGGGAACTCAGGTCATTGCATTTCGTCGCTGCCACTTGGCGTTTGTGGCTGCCCGTTTGAAGTAATCTGATTCCGGTGGACGCAGAGTCGATGTAGGTCTCCTCCATGCCCTGAACCATTGTGCTGTGTCCTCCCTTTTTCTCATTTTCGAAAATCTTGAGCTTGGTGCTATCGTCGTATGACAGAAGATCGCGAAGTTCCTCGTTATAAAGTTCGATAAAGGAGCATTTCACTGTGCTTTCTGTGTCCTCGAGCTTGTGAAACAGGGCGTAAAGGGTACGTGGAATGATTCCAGCATCGTCGGACAGGATTCCCAATGTATCGGTCATGTCTCCTGACATGGTGTATGTCTTTCCTGTTCCAGTCTGTCCGTACGCGAAGATTGTGCAATTGTATCCTGCCAACATCTGTACGGAATTAGCGCAGTCATTCGAATTCATGCGCGGTGAATATACTAACCTCGTCGAGGACCGGCACAACTACATCCTCATAGACAGTTGTTTGATCAGCGGCCGGGGAAAAGACCTTGTCGAAAGCATATGTCTTGTTCGAAACCGCGTTCGGTCCCATCGAGAGATCGAGGGTCTTGCCCTTCACACCTTCTGGTGTCGACAAGACTACACCGTTGTTCTCTTTGATCTCGCGATCGCTGCGGCCGCGACAGCGGACCACGACATGAATGCTTGTGTCCTCGTTGATCTCCCGTTCAAAATCCTTCTCCTTCCTCTTACTCGCAACGCTCGATTTTTCAGGACTCCTCGCCGCACGAGCTGCGCTCATTGCAGAGGATCTCACTGACGGTGTAGACACCCCAGGCGGTGCATGGCGTTCGGGGACTGCCGAACCCGCTCGTCGAACCGGTTGGCGCAAACCCGACCTTCTCGTGGTGGGGAGAGTGGACGGGGGCCTTGGTGGGCCAACCATGTTGATAACGCGACACTCGGAGTGTAATAGTATTATTTTGTAGCAATATTCGGCTAGTTTGAAAGCTGATTTGATCTTTTCACCTCGGAGTCTAGCGTTGTGTATATGGAGCTTTGTCTCAAACGGGAAAACATAAACAAAGGCTTACATAATCCAGTCATTTTCCCCTCTCACATGATTGCGCGTCATCGCCTTATCGTTATCCCCCTCATACCATGTGGACATCCCTTACATCTTTGGCCTTTTAACTAACAACAGTTCGACTATCGTATGGACTTTTGTTCATAGTCGGGCCATTAAAACAGATAGACCAGTATGACTACTTCTACTTTCCCAACGCAGGCACAAATCTTCCCCGGGAAAGGACTCGGGTTTATCAGTATGTCTCTTTAACCCTCAAAGCCTTTCCAGCGGTTCTCGCTAATACTTTGGAAGCCCTGGGAGCTTCGCTCCATAATGTCCTAACCCGTGTCAAGTCATATCCCCAAACCTATCCCGCCATCGACTTAGCCTACTCCCCCGCAGATCCGCTTCGCAAACCAGTGGTACTGCAGTTGCCTTCAAATGGCCTGCGACTTCGATTTGATGGCCCTGACCAGAGGCTCCGTTTAATTGAAGTTCTCGACTTCTCTCGAGTAAACCTGGTATACAAAAACCAGGAAGTACTCAAAGGTGGGAAGTCAGTAGAACAACCCTTGTCTTCGCACGGCCCCAGCTTCCGGCACGTCTACAATCGCTTGTTTGGTCCCTCATACCCAGGAGAATACGTGCCACCGGCAGATCTGCAGTCGCCATATGGTACCTATGTGCTCTCATATCCCGGGGTTGCATTCTCGTTTCCCCTTCAGCACTCGGCCTGGTCCGACCAGTGTGATTTTGTAGCGTTGTTATCCTCTTCGGCTGCCCTTCCGGCCACATCCATGTCAATCTTCCAAGGGTCATCATGGCCTGAGGTCCGAACCAAGTTGTTCACGCAACAGGCACAGTACCCACGCTCGTCGGCTTTGATTGGCAAATCCCGAGAATCGCTGGCGGATGAAATCGAGGAGTGGCATGTCCTGGGTGCCGGGAAACTTGAAGTGGCTCGCAGGACGGGTTCTCCCTTGTACATAACACTAGGAGAGACAACTCCCCAGGACTTGATTGCGGATTTTGGTCCACCCGATGCGATCTATCGTAAGAACGACCGCCGAATCTCGATTCATCGTGCAACCGGGGGCGGGGACCTGCACCTGAGTCCCTCTCCAGGCAGAGGAATCGAGATTCCGGACGCCGATCACTCATCCACTAACAGCGTAACTGATGATTCTGACGAAGAGATGGCTACCTTCAATATTGGAGACCCCACCTCACTGCCCGCAGAGTGCTTTTTGAATTACTTCCACCATGGATTCGATGCCTTCATTTCGTATCCAACAACAGCTGGACCTGCTTTCCCTGCCTCCGGTCTTCCAGATTCATCACCTCAGCCAGCATCTTCCCAGCTGACAGTGACAAAGATTATCCTTCATGGGAACGTCCCAGGTTCTTATCCATTTAATCGTCACCGCCGAAGTCGCTGGCTAATTCATTTGGATGCATCTGGCGACTGTCTGACTTCGGAATCGCCCTATGATGAAGTCTTAGAGCGGCTGCGCGCTACTTGGAAAGGATCTTACGCCAGCCCCGCCGAGGAGCGTGCTCTGCAACGGCCAATGGTGCTGAACCGTGGCTGGGGAGATAGTCCTGAGAGCAGTGTTGAGTTCCTCGGTGGCTGGGAGGAGAGCACGGCGAAAGGTCCTCGGAGTGGTGCCGATGGCCAGGATGGGGGATTAGGCAACACCGAGCTTTTTGGGTTTCCGGGGCTTTTATTTGAAGTTCTCAAGAATGGCGCCGTGAGTTGCTTGACAGTGTACTGATTTGAGACTATCGAAAGCGCCGTTTAATCATATTTGAATGCATTATGAGTCATGATAATCCCAGGTATCCGAGACTGTACACTATTGCCCACTCGATGACGGTAGCATTTCCATCGATGCTAGTATCTGCTCGATGAAGAACTTATTACATCTAGTTTTCCAACTATGTGTAGAGTCCCTAAGCTCATAGAACCTAACAGTGGGATTATCCTGTATTGGGGTAAAGGGACACATTTAGGATGCGTGGCTTTGGACCAGGTTGCGAGCGGGCTAAATAATATTGTCCGTTTGCTGGGATTTTTCGATGGAACTCGCTGGGTGGCCCGGGCTCATAGCCTATTTGTATGGGGCGTACACTAGTGTTGGAAAGCTGGGGTTTTATGACATAGTTATGAAAGAGTTGGAGAGGGAGGAAACATTTGAGTAGTAAAAGTGAACTCATGTATGACGATTTGCACCCCTGAAGACACACAGGATATGACGTTTCACCCGATCAAGTGCCTAGATTCTGAGCCTCGCACATCTTCGGATAAAGTCGACCTTTTCCTAATAATTCCTCATGGGTTCCAGACTCGGCAATCTTGCCCCCATCAAACACGCAAATCATATCCGCATGGCGAATAGTCGACAACCGATGGGCAACCGCAATCGTGATTCTATCCTCCTGGGAAGCCGCCTCATTTAGCGCATCTTGGACAATTCTCTCTGACTGAGTATCCAATGCACTTGTTGCTTCATCTAAGAGGAGTAAACGTGGATTTCGGAGTAACGCCCTGGCAATGGCAATGCGTTGACGTTGCCCACCAGAAAGTTGTGTCCCGTTGGTTCCACAAAGAGTCATGAGGCCATCAGGCAGAGAAGAGATGAATTCCCACGCGTTAGCGGCCCGACAGGTAGCTTCAATGTCACCGTCAGGAACCGTTGATGCGCAATCGGTTGGTGTCCCCATGGAGACGTTTTCGCGAATGGTTCCGGGATAGAGAGTGGGCTCTTGCTGAACAAGTGCCACTTGGTCTCGATACAGCCACGGATTCATGCGGTCTAATGTAAGGGCGTCGACTTTGATGTGGCCGGCTACTGGATCATAAAAGCGTTCGAGCATGCTGATCATAGTGCTTTTCCCACAGCCAGATGCGCCGACGAATGCGACAAATTGACCTTTTTTTATCTGTACAAAGTGTTAGCAATGAGTAATGATATGCGTTATGGCACCGACTCAGTAGACCAAAGAACACAAATAAAGATAGCAAGATAGCACGGGTTGGGCTGGCATACATGAAGGTCTATCCCACGTAGTACGCGAGCGTGGGGTCTCATCGGGTAAGAGAATTGCAGGTTTTCCAAGTGCAGAGACTTGAAGTCACCAGGTCCAATGTCGTGGTTTTCTTCGGTCTCTCGAATGGTAGGCTGAAGCTGTTCAAGCCAAAATATGTAATTGGCCGCATTGGTTGCCTTTGTCATGCCTGAATAGCTGTTAGCAATCTGCTTCTACCTCACACATAGGCTTGGGATGTATCTTACTGCTTGAAAATCCAAAAAGAATTGAAGCCTGCTGGCCAGAAAAGAACACACTTAGAAAACTGATGTAAAAGTTGACCTCGCTCAAATCTCCGAATGAGACAAGCCGGCATCCATACCTATGTCGAGATGATCCAATTTTTAGCATCCAGCCATGAAAACCAAGAACGAGAATAAAGATGACAGACAAACATACCAGAAACCAAGTGCCAGGAACGAGTATTCAACAGTCTGAGTGAATGCAAAAGGAAGCATGATGGAAAGCACTGGCTTCGTGGACGTCGCAATCGCCCGGTCAAGCTCCTGGGTGTATAGCTCCAAAACAGAAGATTCGATCGCCAAAGAAGACACCGTCCGGATAGCATTCACGGCCTCTGAGGCAATGGATGCACTTTTGGAAAATAATTTTGAAATCTTGTGATCCATTGCAGCCTCCATTCTGATGCGAGCATAACCGGAAAGGAGCATGGGTGGAAGTCCTGCTAAGACAATGACAAGGCCAAGCTTCCATGCATATACAATTGACAGAATAGAGCATGACAATACACCAACCGTTGCAACCAGTATTAGAGCAATATTGAAGCCCATAAGCTCAAACACAGCCTGTGGGTAAGAGTCAGCACGGCTGGCCAGGGCCCCTGTAGTGTTCTCGGTGCGATCAAAAAATTGCAGGTCTTGCTTCATCATGTCGTTGAGGACTTGCTTCCGGTATTTGTGGTTCATTGTCTTGATGAGTTCGTCAACCCGAGATCCACGTATATACGAGAGAGACTTACCTGTGCCACAACGTTTGATGTCCACCCGATAACAAAGTAGACGACGAAAGATCCAAGTCCGAGAACGAAAAACATGAGAGCGAAAAAGTTCCCTTTCGTCCGCATGGCTGCACCTGTGAATTGAAATACGTCGATGAACTTGGACATCAAAATTGCTTGACCAGGATATGAAGCAGCTATAGTTTCGGTCAGTTTCAGGCTGCGAAATTTGGACCTCAAAATGCCTTACCTCCTGTCAAACAAGCCATAATCAGAATCGCAAAAGTCCAATTGAGCTCCGGGGTCGATTTTGTCAATCGCCAAACTGTTTGAAGAAGCCCCAATCTTTTCCAATTGTCAAAATCATCCCGACTCAACTGCTTCCCCAAAGCCGATCTCGTCATAGTCGAGTACCGGGTCAATTCACTAGTCAATGCAACATGGTCTTCTTTGTTTGCTTCATCCGGGCTACTTGGGATATCTTCGGGGTCCGGCGTGGCTACAGACAAATCCTGAGCCCGCACCAATCGTGAATACGCGCCATTCGATTCCAAAAGGGCGTCATGCGTACCTTGCTCGAGAATACGGCCATTTTCCATGACGACAATATTATCAGCATCTCGTATAGTGGCTAGTTTGTGTGCAATGGTGATTGTTGTGCGTCCCTTTGAAACATTGTTCAGTGCCCGTTGAACGACTTCCTCGGCATGAGGATCAAGTGCACTCGTTGCCTCATCCAGAAGAAGAATTCGTGGCTGAGAAACAATGCTGCGAGCAATTGCAACCCGTTGCTTCTGACCACCGGATAATAGCCCACCTCTCTCCCCAA